CGATTTCAGAGACGACCTGGCCATCACAAATGATAGCTCAACGCGTGATGTTGATTCTAAATATGGAGAGAAAAACCGAAAGATCCGGAGAGAGAGACACGCTAACTCCAAATATACAGCAGCAAGCGTCAGGGTCTGGATCGAACCCACGACCTCCTGTAGACCAGACGAAGTTGTTAACATCTCGCGACCTGGCCATCACAAATGATAGCTCAACGCGTGATGTTGATTCTAAATATGGAGAGAAAAACCGAAAGATCCGGAGAGAGAGAGACACGCTAACTCCAAATATACAGCAGCAGGCGTCAGGGTTTGGATCGAACCCACGACCTCCTGTATACCAGGCGAAGTTGTTAACATCTCGCCCCTGCGCTTCATATTGCTTGCTCACGGCCACTGCTGGCGGAAGGGCCGCTTCCACTCAAGGAAGCTCTATATTATCTAAGCGACTTTACCGAAAGAGCAAAAGAGTAATTCCTGCGGTCACGAAAGTTATAATGAAGTTGTTTTCCTCTAGGGTATGTTGGCCTACTCTTCCACGCTGGTTGGACGTGGGAGTATATAGTGCTTAAATTTTAATTTAAAGCTTTCGTGACTGCAGTAATTCACATTCTTGGTTCTTTCGGTAAAGTCACGTTGAAGGGAAACAATAAAATATATATAAAACAATTGTTTATTGTTTTATATATTAAAATAAAAAATATATAAAACAATTGTTTATTGTTTTATATATTATTTTATTGTTTCCCTTCAACGTGACTTTACCGAAAGAACCAAGAATATATATAGTGCTTGTAGTGGAACACAATCCCTCTGAAGATCTTGCCCCATATACAAGGGAACTGAGGGTCTATATGGCATGTGGCACCCCAACAGTGATGACTTACTGCAGTGATGATAATAGCTAACAAGCCCTGCAGCTCGTGGCTGTGACATGGGTTGTGATAAGCTGACAGCCACGCGGCTGCCAGTTAAGGGAGGAAGCTCAAGGGCAGTTAAGGAAGTTGAAGGGTAGATAAAAGGGGTGGAAGGGCAGTTTAGACTCAGTTAACCCTGGAGAAGAAGAGAACGACTCCGTTGTGAAAGGTGTATAATAGGTGTCACGGTGAAAGTAGACACGCTTCCGATTGTTCCGAGTGTACAACGGTATATTTTAGCAGGTTATGACATCTTTTCACCCACTTGCGTTCCAAAGTACAACATTGGCGGAGTTTGCTCAGGCTGTTTACGCATCGTAAAACATTCGGCGACATTACACATAAACCCACCAAACTTTATCGCCGATTATGAGACGTTCCGAAAGGCAAGACTCGCGCCCAAACGTTGTTGCCCGCTGCCAATTAAACGCAAGACAGTACAGGGCGGGTTTCTCTATCTTTTTACTTCAGAATATCGGGGTAATGCGCCTCTTCTAATGGGGACAATGCGGCCAAAGTTCGTTGGGCGGTGACCCCCGCGGCCCCGTGTGTGTGTGTGTGCACCTGCGCCCCGCCGTGTTAACGCGCGAGGCTCTCTGCTTTCTGCGAGTGACCGTGCGATGTTGAATCACATCAGCAACCAGTGGAGTAAGTGTGCGCTTCCCTTCGAAGGAAAGTTTTACCATAGGGGCCGTCCATAAATGACGTCACGCACCTGGGGGGAGGGGGGGGGTCAGACATTTGTGACGATGTGTGACATCAAAATGCGCAATATTAAATAAATATAGACAACACGTTCTACTGAATTAAATAGACTTTTTAATAAATGTTTTCTCCTACAACATTAGAGTGCAGCGCCACATTAAATACGCACTACAATGACAATAGTTTAAAGCAATTTGAAGCATGTTTTATTTGGGGGGGGGGGCAGAGCTTTGTGACGTCATATTTGATGGGGGGTCTGACTTTTTTTGTCGCAATGTGAGGACGGGGGGGGGTCAAAAATCATCCAAAATCACGTGACGTCATTTATGGACGGCCCCATACGCAAGAAGAGAAGATTGCAGTCACAAATGCACGTGTTATTTATCCCAGAATCAAAATATTTATACTGGAGAAATCCGATGAGTTATAAAGCTCTTTTTCCACAGATGTCCAGATCTCTTATACAACCAGCAGCTTCACAAGAAGCGATTATTTATTTTCACGTGCGTGTTGTACCTCATTAAACCCTACACGCATTCGTGCAAAATAAGCATGATTTATTGTGTGAGAATTGAAATTAAAATCTATGTTTTAAGTTGTACGTTCTTTCGGCGATTGACCGTGGTTGAAGCACAATGTATGCTGAACTTCTTTCGCACCGTACGTAGCCAACTGTGCTAACCGGAGGTGCGGGGGAAAGACAACAGACTAAACACAAACAAAAACACAGTTTTGTTGCGGATGGAATTATGTTCAGGAGTTAAATGGGGGGGGGGGGGGGATGTGGAAGTCTCCCAGCCACGACACGGGGGCTTCAGGAGAGAGGAGAGTTCGTGGGAGCTTTGCCATTCCTCCTCCGTGGACGGAGCACAGACCCCACATCGGTTGTTACACGGTCCAGAGTTGGGTTGCGTGGCCAAAAATTGCACCGTGACGCTGCCCACTGCAGGTGGCACTGTGTACCATCGCACATTGGGAGCAGTCCTTTTCCATGCCCGTGGTGAATTAAAGGGAGACATCTGCCCCTCCCTGGGCGCTCCGACAAGAGCGCCACAATGAGCGGGGAGGCAGTCACCGCTCCTGCATTCTCCTGCAAGGGCAGTGGCCAACGACATAATTTTGCAAGATACGCTACAATGTAAAAATGTCACCGTTTTTACGATGAACGAGATAATTAATTTACATCATTAGACCTTTGCCAGTACCAAAATATAATAATAGGGGTTTTCCCCTTTTTTTTCTGGCAACAAAACTGAAACCTTTTTTTTTACAAGGATTCATGTCTGCATTAACCACAATACCTGCAGTCAAATTGCAAATAAAAAACATATTATGATAATATATGCATTGTCCTTGAAACTGATTGGTGTGGACCAATCAGTTTCAAGGACAATGCATATATTATCAATCGCCGACAGTATGTACAACTTAAGGTATTGTGGTTAATGCAGACATGATTCCTTGTAAAAAGGTTTCAGTTCTGTTGCGAGAATAAAAGGGGAAAAACCCTATTATTATGAGATAATTAATTGTTTTCACGTAGCGTTGCAAAAGTATTCGAACTTTGATCGTGGCACACAGTGGCGGTAGAGTCAACGATACTTACGTATGTATGTCCGTCCGTCGTGCATCCAAAAATGGGAGGGGTGGGGCTGGGTGGAGAGGGGAGGGTGGGGAGGGGCTGGGTGGGGAGGGAGGGGCTGGGTGCGGAGGGGCTGGGTGGGGAGGGGCTGGGTGGGGAGGGAGGGGCTGGGTGCGGAGGGGCTGGGTGGGGAGGGGCTGGGTGGGGAGGGGCTGGGTGGGGAGGGAGGGGCTGGGTGGGGAGGGGCTGGGTGGGGAGGGAGGGGCTGGGTGCGGAGGGGCTGGGTGGGGAGGGGCTGGGCGGGGAGGGGCTGGGTGGAGAGGGTTGAGAGGGTGGGGAGGGGCTGGGTGGGGAGGGTGGGGCTGGGTGGGGAGGGAGGGGCTGGGTGTGGAGGGAGGGGCTGGGTGAGGAGGGCTGGGTGGGGAGGGTGGGGCTGGGTGGGGAGGGTGGGGAGGGGCTGGGTGGGGAGGGTGGGGCTGGGTGGGGAGGGGCTGGGTGGGGAGGGTGAGGCTGGATGGGGGGGTGGGGAGTGGCTGGGTGGGAGGGGTGGGGCTGGGTGGGGAGGGGCTGGTCACCCCGTGGTGCCCTTATAAAACTCAACGTTTAACCTACTCACGCCGGTTTGTGCCCGCCCTCACAGTCGGGCATATTTGCAGAATACACCACGTGCCGCCGTTGTTGACCCTGGCCATTGACCGAGCAACCCAACGTTCCTACCAGCTCCCTCCGCAGGAATGTGTTCTGTTTGGGCGAAGAAATGCCCGACAGTCATGAACGCAGGGAACTGGGCCGGAGTGACTAGAAAGGCATGAGCCAGATCAGCCCACTAACAATGGTAGGCCGCTAGACTTCTGTGCAGCCCATGGGCTATAGGCTACACGGGGATCTGTGTGTGGACATGAGAAATATCAGACTTAAAGAGTTGTCTCGACCCTCCCTAATTTGTCAGATAGGTTACGACAATCGGAGGTGCAGGGGAAGAACAGCCTAAACACACCGGGTGAATAAAGTCTGCAATGAAGACCAAGGCCTTCAATGTCACTCAATGAGTAGACATGTTAATCCCAGGCACGTGATCACAGCGACCACCCCACCCAAAGACAATATCCCCCATATAGTCTTCACAGACTTTTTTTTGTTGCAAGCGCTGTTATTGAGCAACCATTTAAGGCCGATACAGCACACGAGGGGGGTGGCCAGCACCACACCAAGCCGCCTTTGTCTCCCTAGGGGGCGATGTTTACAGTTCACACCAGGTTACTCATTTGAAGACTGAATCGACCTAGGGGAAGGTCCAGATAATTATCTGGACCTTCCCCTAGGTCGATTATAATTTTCTGTTTGCACAGTCACATAGTCACTTTAAGATGTTTTCTTGTTCATGTTTTTGTTTGTTGCGGTTGCACCCGATTCAAGAGCCGAATGGCTCACAGGGCTAGACCAAATAAATGGAACTATGAACTATAATCGCCACTGGTGATGGCCGCGAGCGGGATCATCGTTCCGGTTCGTATCGCAGCGCGTCAACCGCTGCACCACCGCTCCTCCCCACCACCAACCAACAACAACAACAACCGCCATTCGCCACTAAGTGCCGGGGACGTCACCGCGGCGCTTTGTGCCAGGCTACGTGCACGCTGAGGCCACCGACCCCGACAGGACAAAACACCCGTCACGTGACACGCCGCACGAACAACAGCACGTGACTGACGATGATAACCGGTGTCACGTGCGCGGTGTCACGTGCGCGGTGCCACATGACCGCGGCGTGGGGGGGGGAGTGGGCAGGGAAATCTCTGGCCGCGCATGCGCAGTAGCCCGTCGGCGCTTCCTGCTCGGGGAAGACATGGCCTCGCCTTGAGGAGGTGTGCAGGCGCATCCCTGTGAGGAGACACGCGGGCGACACACGCGGTGGCAGGACACGGCCATTAGACACTGGGGTAGGATTTGTTTTGGGAGGAGGAGGGGGGGAACGACACACAACACACACCACACACGAGGGCACGGGGTAAAGACACGAGCGGCGAACATGCGGGCAGGGACGCGCCTAGGCACGCGGGCGCGCGGGCGCGCCACTGCATACATTCAGACGTACAGTGCTGGCGTGCACGCGTGCGTGTCGACGTTGACGAGTGCACGCACGACGCCACGGGGGCGAGTGTTGAAAGGCTACGAGCGAGGATGGAAGCGGAAATCTTGTCGTCGTGGGGTAGCGACGACGGGAGACGGGCGAACGCGTCGTTTTAACGGCCGAGAACCCCCACCCCGCGCTGTCTGGAAGTGCACCTAGCCTGGCACGGAGCGCCTTTGGTTGGCGTCGCTGACGCTCGGTGACCGATGGCGGCTGTCGATAGTGTGGCGATCGTTCGGTTCTCGGCCACGCGGTTTCGGTGGGTAAAGGGGTATCTGAACCCGGAACCTGTCCGGGGCCTCCCCCTAGGTCAACTCAGCCGGAAACGAGTACCTGTGGTTTGTGTTAATGTTGGCATGGGGGGGTGGGGGGAGACAAAGGCGGTCGGGCGTGTTGCTGGTCACATCACAGCACAAGCACTGGCCCCCTAAGGTCTCTAATGCAATAATAGGAAGTGTGTAATACGCGGTGTGACGACGATGTGATTGTGTCTGCAGCAGTGATAGTTGTGAAATTATTACGGCCTGGTGACATGGTGATGTGTTGTTGGGAATGTGCGATATGTGGTGGGCACCAGGTGGTAGTGTAGTGACCTATGCTCTCACGTGTACGTTTGACACCTTCATCCGCCCGGTGTGGTGAAGTATGGTCAAACAACCTCCACGACCACCAACACGGTGTAAGGGGAGGCCCTTATCTTGACCGTAAAAGTCCACGATGTTGCCAATAGTCATGCGTCTCCAGTAGTGATGATGTTTAGCAATTATGTGCCTCGTAATGCAATTTAACTACGATGTAATGGTGTGGCTGTTGGAGTAATGTAGAGTAATGCGTTCGCCGTAATTGTGATGCGTGTATGCCATGTGTGTAAAATCTCGATAAGGTTACGTCTAGGGATAAGGATCTACGTAGTGGTACATATAAAACGTAGTGGTGATAGTGTATGTGTGGCCATTAATAGGTCTTCACAAGTTGTGAACTTTTTCACTCAATGGTGGAAGTGATGCTGTGAATGAAATCTGTAAATTAATGCGCAAAACTTAAAAGCTATTTCCATGGTTTTCAAAGCATTGACCAGGTAGCCACTGCCTTGTGTTATACTTGCGCTTTGCTTGGAAGTTACTTTTCCACGAGCTTTGTCTGGTTGTAAGATAATATTGTTAGTTTAGTGAATGAAAGAAATCCATAACATTTATATCATGTGGTTTTTTTTAGGGGACAAGCAGCCGTGGTCTGGTTGCATGCAGTGTTTGCTGGATTTTGAGCTGTACATCGGTTTCCTTAGTTTGATGTTTTTGATTGCATAATTTTTGAAAGTACAGCATACATCACGTTTAAATGGATGCTGAAATCATTGGCAGTGTTTTCTGGAGGTTATTACATCATGGATACACTTCTAAATATAATTAAAGCATTCATTTGAAGTATGAAGAGTGTAGGAACACGCTTCTTATGAGTGAGTTCAGTACTTTTAATTCGGAATCATTACTCAAGGGCTAACAGATTAAATTATTCATTCATCATGGACAAGGGCTAACATATTATTAATTCATCATGGACAACAGAGAATTAGGTGGACTCTCACTTGATTTTCAATAAATGTATTGCTTAGTGTAAAGTGGGTATCGCTCCTCATGCACTCTTAACATGTGTTTATTATTTTATCTCAGCGCTTGAATCTCATACCAGCACTCACTTGGCTATACCAAAGGATACACATGCCATTTGATTGACTGCCGAGTCTAGCAATTCTATGTATTGTTTCATTTTGGTAACTCTTTTAAATAGTGGCTGCAATGTTAGTGAATAATTAAATACAACTTTTAATCTCAATCGCCGACTTTTCTAGTTTTCTGATGTGTGTTTAAAGTTGTGCTGCATACTGTTCAGCATGTTGCCCGAAGTTTGCCTTCACGTGGTGAATATGCACAAGGAACTGAAGAAGCCCATATCATGTGGGGTGAAACGTTGGACATGCCGAACAACACGTGGTACAAACTGAAAGCAAATTGGAGTGCGATGCAGCCCAAATGCAAAAAAAAAAACCTATGCGATTGTACCAGTGATCAGAATGCTTAGTTTTGCCATTTTATAAAAAGTGTGGGCAGCATGTGCACGAGCTTTCTAGTTGCTGCCTTGTGTGACATTTAAATAGAAAAGCCTAGGTGTATGCGTGTTAGTGCAGTCTGCTCGTTATCACTTTGTAGCCCAGAATGGTGTGCGTGGCACTTTAACGCTGCTCCGCTGAAATAACTTCGCGTCACGCTGTCTTGGCAGTGCAAGGATGGAAATATATTTTCTTACGCTGGACTTAAAACCTGTTGTGTGTGTTTTTTTGATTCCGCCACCAGGAGTAAAAAAGAACAATGAATGTGCTGAAGGATAACAAGGACGTGGCCTGCTTTTTCACAACAAAGCATTCATGGCGGGGGAAGTAAGTCTGATTTTTTACAAATTATATATTGTGGGAAATTTTATGTTGCATACAATATGATTTAGCGTGCAAAAATACATGTCAGGCATACTCTTTTGGTAATATTGAAAATGTTTTATGCATGTGTATATATTCACTTCCATATTATACGTGTGTATTCGTAGATTTTATTTGTCATTCCTGAAAGTGATCAACTGGCACCAACTATTCCAGATGGCAATGTGCTTTCTCAGTGTGTAATTTAAACCATAATTAAAAGTCTTACTTTCATGGAGAAGGCTCGTCTTAATATTAAACCAGTACAATAGTTTTTATATAATTTTTTACCTACTCTTACATATCCATATATTTGCAGTCTCAAGGCATCGTTAAGTGTAATGCACTTCCTTTGTTTTCATTGCCTTAGCAGGTGACATGGTAGTTTACGTGGTTATAACTATACGTGATTGTGAGGCAAAGGTCTACATTTAAGAGATCATTGGGATTTCTACGACTCTACCAAGGAATAGCTGAAACAGTTGTGCTCATTGCATCTCTGACCAGCTGCACATCTTTGTTTTTTAACTGTTTTTGCAACAGTTTTTTTTCATTGTGCCATCAGGTGTTGCAAATAACCAGTTGAAATGTCACGTCATAAAAACATTACGCAATAGATTGTGTATTGGTTAAAGTGGGTTTCGAATCACTGGAACAAATATACTTGAGTGCATTGCAATTTGAAAGTAATTTTATTGCCAAAAAATACTTGCAGTTTGCGTAATTTTAAGGTGTGCATTTTTGACAGTGATACTTGTGCTATGCATATAGAGCCATCCATGATCTAAGGAAGATTAATGGAGTTTTTTTGTTACAGAGCTGCATATCATTTGTGATTAAATTAAAGACATTTAAAGCACTCAAATGCCACACTAGCATGCTTGCTGGTATTGACTGAATAGTGTAGCTCATGGCAGCTAGCCTGACATTCATTTAGAAGCTTTGCCATTAGACATGCTGTGAGAAATTCTTAAAGGATTATGTTTGGCCTGTTACCAATGTCCACCACACACGCATTTTTACATCATCGGCTAATAGATTCTATTGTAATTATTGTAAATGCAACTACTATTGTACTGAATAAATGGATGCTATATAATGTAATGCATATTATCAAATTACCCAGAATGTGCGCAGTTTTGTCAATTTCAAAAGCTAAGCAGATTCACGCCTGGACAGTGCTTGGATGGGTGGCCACCACACACGTTAGGTTATCATAGGCAGCTGTCTGGCTAAACGGTGGCAGCAGTAAAATACGTTGTACTGTATGTAATATGCTCCGACATCTATGCTCCTCGCTGTAAACCTGCACTGACCAACGTGCTGAAGTGTGATTAAATTACCCCCATGGGTAATGGTGATAATACCTGTGTATACGAATCATATCTGCAATTATTAGGTGTTTCAAAATCGCAATGTGTTGTCCGAGGGATTGATAGCCTTCCATTAAAGTACTGCCATGTATGAACTGAGTATCTGGAGATACTCAATGCTATTCGTGTTGTGAGTTATTTTACTCCCTTGTGTTTACTGCTTGTGTCATTATTTTAAATGTCATTCTCGGGCACTGTACTAGTAAATGGAATACCCCAATGGGCCTTGTCTGAAACTGTTAACTCAGTCGATTTTACATCATTAAATCGATGGCACCACATGCATTTCCAAAGGAGTTTTTTTATAGTGTTGTCACTAAGCCATATGTTACCTCGGTGCTTAGTGCTTGCTTGGCAAGAAAGGGCAAGATGCTCTTATTGTGATATGATAACATACACTTTGCTTGCCTGTGCTTCCGCCTCAAATTTGTTTGTAATATGAGGGAGTTTAAACATTTAAAATATTTCTCAGTGGTGCTCTACAATACATGAACAACTTTTGTTGGAGTAATTTCACCGTATAATTTCTGTCCTTTATTTTGATGGACTCTCTCCTGGTCAATAAAGTATTATTTATTGAGTCTTACTACCTTATACTTGTGAAATGAATTCAAGTGTGAGATTGATGTACAACTATACCAGTTATTTATAGTTAGTGTACTATATTGCCCACTGGTTATTATTTATAAAACTAGCCTTTTGCCCGTCCAAGGATTGGTGTATTGCAGTAAATCTGAAACTTGCAAGCGAAAAGTAGACCGCATGTGCAATTTGTAAGGGTGCGGTGACACAGACTTATTTCATTTAAAGGTTATATTCCCTTGTTCATCATGACGTCCTTTTTACTTCTATGTCTCAATAGCGTTACGGAGATCACGTGACGTGAGGGTTCTGCCTTTGTAGTGAGGGTTGTAAGTTGACGCTGAGGAGGGGGTAGGAGGTGCCTCGCCCCCCCCCCCATGCGGAGTGATGTCACCTGCTAATTATTATTAATAGGGGGGGTTCTCCATGCGGAGTGACGTCACACGCTCATGATTATTAATGAGGGGGGCTTGGCTACGTGGAGTGACGTCACGCGCGTTACACACTGACATTATTGGGTAAGTATAGTAGTAAATACAGGCATTATTCTCTTACACTGGTATGCTGCAGTATTCCACAGGCTTGTTTATACACCTCACTGTCTAGTTGCTAACACATGTACTTTGTTAACATCTGCCATAACAGCCACCTCGCCAGCCAACACAAGGCACCTGAATAATTTTTGGCCAACCATTGCTTGTTATTTTGGAGGCAATCAAAGAGTTCTCAAAAACCAATTGCACTTACCATATTACCAATTTTAATGTTGTGCTTGGAACTTAATGCAGTATTTGACTTCTTGATTTTAGGCATAATCACTTATATAAATGGATGTATAAGCACACGTGGTGACCTTTATTAAGCTTTGATTCTATTGAACCTTTTTTCCCTGGTTGTTGCTTACCCATTATGTATTCATCCGAGCAAGTACTGTGTGCTCTATTACAACCAGTGCACTACATGTGCCAAGTAAAGATGTCACCGTTTAAATTAATGAGACTATTTTAATGAGCAGGGCTTTGAGATTTGATTGATGATGGTGGTGTGACGATGAGCCAGTACTGTATAATTAATGGATCCCGAGCATGGTATGTTTCTAATACTTGTTTTTAGTAAAGGGGAATTAGAGAAATGCAGTCTGGACACATGGCATGGATTGCTGCTGCACACGACCAAAAGCAACAGCTGCAGTACAAGCATACATTTGCACAGCAATGGATGGAGAATTTTCGATCGTGATGACTTGCATATATTATTGCATTGTGTGGTGTAAACATGCAGTCACTGCAACTATAAGCAAGGAAGGCTTGTGCCTGCTGCTGTGCTTTTTATTGTTTTAATATTTTATGACTTCAGGGATTTCAGTGGAGCAGTAGCACGTAAAATTAATGAGCTTACATGGGTAGTAGTAACTTCTTTACCAATTAAACAGTGGTATTATGCATGTATGCTGCCATGGTGGGATTGTCAAAAATTGATTTCTTTATATGTTTTTTAACTGTTGATTTTTTTTATTGTACAGTGAGGGAAAAAGGTATTTGATCCCATGCTGATTTTGTACGTTTGCCCACTGACAAAGAAATGATCAGTTTATAATTTTAATGGTAGGTTTATTTGAATAGTGAGAGACAGAATAAGAACAAAAATCCAGAAAAACGCATGTCAAAAAGGTTATAAATTGATTTGCATTTTAATGAGGGAAATAAGTATTTGACCCCTCTGCAAACATGACTTAGTACTTGGTGGCCAAAACCCTTGTTGGCAATCACAGAGGTCAGACGTTTCTTGTAGTTGGCCACCAGGTTTGCACACATCTCAGGAGGGATTTTGTCCCACTCCTCTTTGCAGATCTTCTCCAAGTCATTAAGGTTTCGAGGCTGACGTTTGGCAACTCGAACCTTCAGCTCCCTCCACAGATTTTCTATGGGATTAAGGTCTGGAGACTGGCTAGGCCACTCCAGGACCTTAATGTGCTTCTTCTTGAGCCATTCCTTTGTTGCCTTGGCCGTGTGTTTTGGGTCATTGTCATGCTGGAATACCCATCCACGACCCACTTTCAATGCCCTGGCTGAGGGAAGGAGGTTCTCACCCAAGATTTGACGGTACATGGCCCCGTCCATCGTCCCTTTGATGCGGTGAAGTTGCCCTGTCCCCTTAGCAGAAAACACCCCCAAAGCATAATGTTTCCACCTCCATGTTTGACGGTGGGGATGGTGTTCTTGGGGTCATAGGCAGCATTCCTCCTCCTCCAAACACGGCGAGTTGAGTTGATGCCAAAGAGCTCCATTTTGGTCTCATCTGACCACAACACTTTCACTCAGTTGTCCCCTGAATCATTCAGATGTTTATTGGCAAACTTCAGACGGGCATGTATATGTGCTTTCTTGAGCAGGGGGACCTTGCAGGCGCTGCAGGATTTCAGTCCTTCACGGCGTAGTGTGTTACCAATTGTTTTCTTGGTGACTATGGTCCCAGCTGCCTTGAGATCATTGACAAGATCCTCCCGTGTAGTCCTGGGCTGAGTCCTTACTGTTCTCATGATCATTGCAACTCCACGAGGTGACATCTTGCATGGAGCCCCAGGCCGAGGGAGATTGACAGTTCTTTTGTGTTTCTTCCATTTGTGAATAATCGCACCAACTGTTGTCACCTTCTCACCAAGCTGCTTGACAATGGTATTGTAGCCCATTCCAGTCATCTTGTCCCTGACATCCTTGGAGAGCTCTTTGGTCTTGGCCATGGTGGAGAATTTGGAATTTGATTGATTGATTGCTTCTGTGGACAGGTGTTTTTTATACAGGTAACAGGCTGAGATTAGGAGCACTCCCTTTAAGAGTGTGCTCCTAATCTCAGCTCGTGGGCAGTGGGCAAACATACAAAATCAGCATGGGATCAAATACTTTTTTCCCTCACTAACTGCCATAAGATATTGTTCAATATGCTTTGCATCTATTGTCCGAAATATATTTTTAAATGTATGTTTATTAACTGTTGTGTTCAGCATAGTTTTTAGTGATGTTATTTTTAATTCATAAGCACAATAGCATGATACAATTACTCTAAAAATAAGTTCATGAACTTCTCAAACTTAAGCATGGCAAAACTCATGAGAACAAACTACAATTATGAGGGGAAAAAATAAAAGTTGCACATGTCCATCGGTTAGCGTGGCTAACATTCATGGAAAAATATTCATTTAAACAGTCTTATTCCACCACTTTATTTCAATGAGCTGCAGTTTTCATATCTGTTTCCTAATTTCCCTTCGTATCATTAAGCTGACGTCTGCTTTCAGGTACAAACGTGTACTCTCCGTGGGGACATTGGGAGTCGCCACCTACAATCCAACCACACTTGAAATCACAAATCAGGCAAGTTTCATTTTCATGCTCTTCATTAATGTCAGTGGATTTGCCACCAGGCATACAACTCTAAATTATTTAAATGGCAAAAAGTTGAGTGCATGAAAACTATCCTTACCAATTTCATGCGAGTTGATCATAGATTGGCTTTAAACAAATGGGAAAGTCACACTTTCTGAATTGGAATGAACTTTAGAGCTAATCTGCCAACCTATAACATTACAATTTTCAACTTTCGTTGTAGTTGCTACATTTTTTTTATTTCGGCATGTATGCCATTGGTTGATTGCTTCTAGGATCCATTTGAACATGGAAACACTAATTATAGTTGCATTCATCTTCTTTGGTTCTTTCGGTAAAGTCACGTAGAATGAGAATAAAATAATAAATTGATAAAATAACACAATAATATTCTCATGACGTTTTGCCCCCTTCACCTGATGAAGGCCGCTTGTGTTGTGGCCGAAACGTCGTGAGAATATTATTGTGTTATTTTATTTTATCAATTTATTATTTTATTCTCATTCTACGTGACTTTACCGAAAGAACCAAAGAAGATGAATCATTGCAGTCACGAAAGCTTTAAATCGAAAGATAGTTGCATTGTTCTGCTGAATGCGAGCGTGTTCTTGGAATAAAGCTACCATGTATGTGCCCCTCTGGTATTTCCATGAAGACTGTGTACTCCATGACACTAAAACATTTGAGTTAGACATTTCCATTGGCTACCTTAATACATCTGTGTATGTCAGATGTGGAAGATATGGCTTTGGTTTGCTCTGTTATCGTACAGTACAATACTAAGCAGTTAACATGAGAATTGTATATTTCATGTCTGGTAAATACAATAGCCACCCTTGAATTAAAGTCTTTTGGGAGTATGTGATGTCCTGGTAGGATAAAATGATGTTTCGTAAAAAGCCCGGGTTTATACTTTGATGTTGTGCATTTATCTTTGCAGTGGCCGTACAATGATATATGCAGCATCTCTCCTGTTGGCAAGGGACAGGGTACTGAGTTTAACCTTACATTCCGTAAAGGCAGTGGTAAGAAGTCGGAGACACTCAAGTTTTCCAGCGAGCACCGGACTGACTTGTTAACTGAAGCCCTCGTAAGTTGCTGTGCTTTTAACATGCTATACACAGCAGGCATAACCAACTCAATAATATATACAATGTATGTTGCTGTAAAAAGTAATGCATATGCACAATTGCACTAAAGAAGCACATGTAATGCAGTCCAAGTACATATATGTTTACGCTTCATAATGCGATTTAACATCCGGGTTCAACTTAACCCTTAAATGTAATTTCATGTGGCTTTTAATTCTGCAGAACACTTCATTGTCCATTGGTCTTGGCAAGTCATTAAACATGATTTTTCTACCTGTTTTCCCTGAACAGCGCCTCATAAAGCAAAATTTATTTGATTTATGGCATTATAACATGCAGTCAATGCATACAAATTGATTCAATGAAATGTTACACTGACCTAATATATTTATGTTGAAGCTCATCTGTCTGTACTAATGAGGATAAGTACATTGTTGAGTCTTGCACAATGTAAATGTAAATTTATTATTTTGTTAGTCTATTATCACTTTCCAGAAACATTTTAGCAATTTTTTATGTTTTTACTTCAACATCTTAACAATCTCTCTTGAGTAGCAGTGGCACAGTGATTAGCGCATTTTACACTATAAACCCAGCAGCAACCTGCGTTTCATTTCTGGCCAAGGCTAATATCAGTGGCGAGAGGTAATTGAAACGATTCTGGGCATCCCCTTCACCTACCTGCGCTGACCAGTTTGGTGAAGTTTGGTCAAATTACCTCCATGACCAACATGACAAGAGGCCTTCATCCAGCAGTAGATTGACAAAAGGTTGAAAATTATAATTATTTTAATCGACTCTTTAGAATTTTTGAAAATGATTTGGTTTCATTATACAACAGAGGTATAATGACACATTAATTCATCACATAATATCGATTGTTAAACTCATGATAAATGCATATAAAATTTCACGTCTAAGAATGATTAATTTCCGATTCATATTTTGTATGTTGTGGTAATCTGAGCCCTACTTCACGAGTTCCTTCTACACTCATTGAAAATAAGCATTTATTGAATGTATTCATGACCCTGAATTGTGCCAGTTAATTGAACCTCCAGGGGATGAATCCTGACACACCTTCCACACCTTTTAACATAATTGGATGTATATTTCCTCGTTTGTGTTGTCATAATCCAGAGCGAATTTACTGTGAGATTTAACATTTGTCTTCTTTTCTTGCAGCATTTTCGGACGGAGTTTGCGGAGGGTAAAATAGTCGGAAGGGTGAGTCAGTAGACGTATTTCTGTTGCCCGATTGGTTGCGGTACTTCGCATTAAAGTAATGGAACTATGTCTACTGCATCTTTCCGTGCAAATCCTGCAAGCTTCGGGTGATTTTGTTTACAGAGTTAACAACTTAACATGTGCCAATGACACTGCCTTTAAAGAAATGGCCCTTCTTTCTGGTACATTCATCATTTATGTGCAATTAAGAGGGGTCATTGCCTGAAACATGCCTTTTATATATGTTTAAGGCAGTGTTATTGAAGTATATGTTGAGTTTTTTTATTATTATTTGTGCACAACTGCCAATGCAATATCACCAAATAATTTGTTTCATTGTTGGAATCATTGCGTTGATTTCTTCTTTTTAAAACCTATGATTTGTTAGGCTTAACAGCAGTCACCTTCAGAAGAAACGAAGTGGTTTTAATACGGTGGAGACTCCTTGTAAAATCGTTTCATTATTGCTGTTTTTCATGGCTCAATTCTGCAGGATATCTTAATTTGTCATACAGTCATTTTAGCCATACACTTGTGGCCCAAGCTGTAAGCTCATTTATCAAAATTGTCAAATGTTTTGCTGTGGCTGATGTTTAATATTATTGCAATTGGAGGAGTGACCACCATGCACAAACAGTTGCCACAGGGCAACATGGCTATGTTATGGCAGTATTGGGCAGTATAGCAATAATTGGTTTATAGATTATTGATTTTAAATACACGACAATATATTTTTTACCAATTAAGCCAACTGAAACTACATATTGATAGAAATCAAGGTATATTAACATGGAAAAAAACATGCATGCCAAATCCAATATGAAATTGAAAAGTTTTATAACATGTATTGGAAATGGTGCGGCGTATATGATGGGCAGTTTCAGGCTCGAGCTAAAGCTTGGTCGTAAACACAAGTGGCTAGTTTACTGTTTTTATTACAATTGGTTATTGATGGGGCCACCCCCATCCTGTCATCTTCTTTTAACATTCTGCTGGCACAGCGGTACAACTGTTACAAACAGCACTGGAGCGACATACGCAAGTCGGTGGTGCTGGAGGTGACGCCAGGTGGTGTAGACCAGATCGACCTGGTGACGCACCGTGTGCTGTGCTCCTACGATTACCGCGACATCGAAGGCTTCACAGAGGTCTCGGACTACCCCGGGGGGTTCGCAATCATCTCCGGTGGATTCAGCCGACTGGTGAGCGCCCCACAAAGCGCGATGGCATTCCTTTCCACCGGCTGATCGTGCATTTGCACACTCAAAATGTGTCAAGATAAGATCGCAACACAAATAGATGCAGAGGATTGAGAAAATAACGATGTGCTATACATGTTCGTCATAAGCGCAAACGGAATTCTAAAGGGGATTGACCTGTAACCAGCATGCTGCACCTACTGCTGTGGATCATTTTTTTGAATGATTTGTCTTATATTTCAAAAGAGGCCTCAATCCTGTGCAACACAGCAGCCTGAGTTGTCAATATATTTTAAGTGACAGGCCTGACAATAACACATTCAGCTTTTGGGTTAATCCCATTATTTGTATCAAACTTCCTCATTCTTCGGCATTGTTAACTTTGTTAACTTCCCTCCCTTTTAAGTACATGCTAATGACATTTATCTTTCACCGAATATGTACTTATGGACTCCAAGGCTTGGTTATCATAATGGTCATATTTGTTTACATTCCTATTAAATCCGTGGACTACCACACCCACTCCCTGCAGTCGAGTATACTATTCCTCTCTTATTCTTAGCTCTTTCGGTAAAGTCACGTTGAAGGGAAACAATAAAATAATAAAATATATATAAACGTGACTTTACCGAAAGAGCTAAGAATATGAATTACTGCAGTCACGAAAGCTTTAAATCAAAATGTATTCCTCTCTTACTCAGTTCCCTGACTGCTTCCATCTATTTGCTTGCCTTCTGCATTTGCTTTACACATTATAGCCATTGCTGTGTATTTTTTTTGTATGGCTGCAGCAGAAGGAAACGACTTGGGCAGCAAATGCCTTTTTCCTGGGTTGTAAATGGAAGGCTGCCTTGATGTCTGTTTTTTGGCAGCATCTTTTTGCATCCGAACAAAGGGACGAGCTGATAAAAAGCGCCATCGAACATGCCGCCAACCACATTGGCATCGCACTGCGGCTCCGCAAGGAGGCCATCACCTTTGAGCAGTTCCAAAACAACCGCCTGGGAAAGTTCAGCGCCGACGATGCCATCACCTCCCTGGCCGAGTTCAACGTGCAGAAGCTCACAAACCGGCATTCGGTAAGCCACGGTTTGGGTGTGTTAATAAACAAAAACGTAATCACTGACTGCACGTGACTTGCTGTGCTGCTGCTCATCAGCACTTGTTGCAATGATTGACGGACGTTGCGGCCCTCTGATTGCTAGTAGTCACTGTAGAAGCATGTAATGAGTGATTGAGCCTCTCGGTGATTAGATGAATTGTTACATGACGGTGTCTAAATCCGTAATATTTTTTTTTATTTTTGTCTTGTTTTGTTCATCTCGTGTTATTATTTTTCCGTCTTGTTTATACGGTTTAGTTTTCTCCATTCGCTCAAATACAAGTATATGCTTTTTGTTACAATTTCCATAAATTGTAAGTGACGCATTCTCACGCTTGATTCCCTGAATGTGTTGTAAGTGTAAACATAGCTAGAGATCCATAGAATCAGCAGATTTTTATTGTTACGTCAAGCCACTTCCTCCTTAGGTACTGTATTTGTGGACCTTTGTTGGAGACAGATGTGATGTGGTTTTTTTGCATGCAGTTGTTCAAACAAACTAGTGGTCATTGCTTTTGTTTCCTATCTTTAAAACGTTTCGTTGAAGGCCTCTCTTCCTCCAACAATTGTCAGGAAATATAAACTGACTAAACTGTAAAGAATAAATTACGTACAATTTTAATTTGGTCTTTTACTAAAAGATTTTTGATTATCCTAAGTAACGATGAGCAAGCAGTGTAACACGGTCCTTCCGCAATGTTAGGAGCCACAAAGAAGGATCCTTGCGCTTACGGAGAGCTGTGTGGTGGAGCGTGATCCTGACACCTACAGCATCGTCAATGTCAAGCCTCTTGCCGAGGTGGGTTTCCCAAACTTGTAGATCGGTGGTTAAATTTTGATTTATATATATTATTATTTTATTGTTTCCCTTCAACGTGACTTTACCGAAAGAACTAAGAATATAATAAGATCGGTGGTTCTCAACCATTCTGGTTTGGCGACCCCCTAATCAAGACAAATGGTCCCCATGTACCCTTCCCTCCGTCCCCAGCTCCAAAACTAAGTTTGCAATAAAACATTAGTCACACGTTAACGCCATTAGTCAATGTCGTTAAAAAGTAATGAATTTCATGTTGTGTATGTGTGTATTTTTGTCGTCTCCTGCACAGTATCCATGCCGCATTCTGTACCCCCCCCCCCGCCCCCATCTGAAAGGCAGGGGGTGTGTGCCCCACAGGTTGATATATCCAGTCAAGTTTAATACCCACCAGTGATCTGTGCAGTTTTAAATAAACAATGCAGATGCGTTTATGCTTATGTTTTGGATATGAATATCACTCTTTGCCTCTAAGCCTCTCGCACTTGTTATTTTATTTTAGTGTACCAGTCTTATGTGTCACTCAACGTCGATAAGAAATTCAAGTTCTCGGCACGAGTGGTTTTAAAGCCTATTTGAAATTCATAGGGCATGTTATATGACATCGAGATACAATGCCATTGACTAGGTAGATGCAGTGACAGTCTATTGAAGATACATGTTGTCATTCGTGGCATCAACATTTCCTCAGCGTAGTCGTGTACTTTTTGGGTTTTTCATTGTGAAACCTCCGTAAGACAGGTTTTTTTGGGTTAGATCGCGTAAATATATAAATGCATCATCACGTAAACAGAATGTCAATTCGTTACGAGTACAGAACACCGGTTGTGTGTTGTAAAGCAACGCCACAACATTTACAATCTGACTACGAAGTTTCGCAAGTAATTACAACTAGTTCATCAGGCGACATCCAGATTCGTGTTAAATTGTAAAACCGATTTATCACAGTCGTATGCCTCCCTTGTCACTGTAATTCGCTGTCTGCAATGAACTTTCTCAGGTGTTCTGCCTGGTGAGTGATACCGAAAACCCTCAGCTCTTCACCATTGAATATATCAAGGGACAAATTAGGAGATACGCTTCAACAGAAAGGTAGAGTTTTATGTAGTTTTCATGTCTTCGTGATTCTTCGAGTTAACAACGTATCCTTTCCCTGCTGTGGATTGTTCACAATAATTAGATGTATTTGCAAAGAAAAATCTAAAATTATTCTGGCTACCACTGGTTATAATACTGGACCTGCATTTGCATAGCTGTGAATTAAATCCTGCACCATTTCGCATGCACTGTCATTGAGAAATTTCATGGTAGTCAATCCGACATTTTTAATTCTCAAACCTGACTTTTTTTCCCCCCAAATGAAATTAAAAACATTGACATTCGTTAATTTTTTCTGTGCCTTTATTGAGATAATCAACATATACTACACTTGAGTGTAACCCAGTTAAATCAAGAGTTGGCTTGCTAGGATTAGAACAGAGTGACGCTGACTCGGTGACCTTGCCTTCTGATCCACCTGGTTACCCCCTACACTTGCGTAAAAAATATATACGTCGTACACACCGACACGTAGCAGTGTGCAAACGTGGCGCGCTCCTTGACCTTTCACCCCGCTGTGCCCGTCGCACAGGGACTCGCTGCTTGCCAGCATGCTGGACGGCGTGCGTGCGTCTGGGAACCGTGACGTGTGCGTGAAAATGCGGCTGACGGAGCGCGGTCAGCGCTGGGGTCTCATGAGCACGCCCGTGGACGAGGAGGTGGAGAGCACGCACCTGCGCTTCCTCGCCTCGCCGCCCAGTGAGAGAGAGCGAGAGCGAGCGCTCGCGCGCGCGATGGAGTTTGCACAGAGGTCTATCGGTATCTCCGTGGCAAGAATCTGAAGTCTTTTTTTTAAATCTTTATTTAGCTTGGAGCAATCTGACGAGCTTATGAGAAGCTCTTTTTCACAGGTGTCCAGTGTTGTGGTCTCGGACCGTTTTGTTGTTGTTTTTGCTGCCTTCTATAATTAATAAATTTACTATTTATTTATATTTGGTGACTTGCTTTCCATTCTCTCTATTTTGCACTCCTATCGTTTTTTTTGTATCGTTTGCTGTTGCAACTTGCTGACCTGCCCATACTGGACGTCTGTGAATAATAGCTTCATAGCTCATCGGATTCCTCATCCAGTCTAAATGCAGATTTTGACCATGAATTGTATATCTGTTGAGCCGGGCCTGTCCCCAGCTCGGTGTGTGCAAGGCACGCTTGCACGGGATGGTAGTTTTATTTATTCACAAGTATAGATGAGTTAAAATATCACTTGCGTACCTTCAGGTGAAGGATCCCTCTCAGAAGAGTAATAGAGTTGATAATACAATGTGAATTTGCTTGCGAGTTTGACACAGAGTTGATATATATGTGCATAAACCTACAATATTTACATTTATGTTTAGGTGAGATTCAGCGTATACATTTAAGATTCTCATCACATCGGACATATGGTAGGATTCAAATTGTTTGCTAGTCGGTGCTTAAAACACTGCAATATGTATTCCCTACAAAGAAATCTATTTGTGGTGCTCTTGGTTAACAGAGTATTTCATTTTGGAGACGCCTTGCCTTTGTTCAAAGCCATTGATTTGTAAAGGAAGTGCTTTAGTTGGTACAGTGTATTGGTTTATGCACTCCACAGCCCCATTGCATGCATTTAAATACTGAATGGAAACTTAATGCACTGGTACGTCACGTCTCTCATCAATGCCAAACCTATTTGAGGTAGGGAGGTCTAGCTCTTATACACTATATACACTGATCAGTGATATCCCTTAGTAAATTTATAATGTGCTTTTATGGAAACAGCATTAATGTCAGCATGTTGTGCTTAGAATTTGTCTCGTCTTTTTTCTGTGAAATGCAACACTTCAAAGTGTGCATAATAAGCGCCGTGATTTTTTTCTTCTTTACAGATGGAAACTTTGCTGATGCTGTCTATAGGTTCAATGCCAATGTTTCCTACAGTGGCCTTCTTCATGCAGTTACACAAGATGTAAGAAAACTCTTTAGTGTTACATTTTTTGTATTAACAATATTTATACGATTGACCATGCACAATGTGAATGTCCTCTGTAATTATTTGTTCAGAGCCTTTCTCTCTGGATTGTGTAGCCAGTGGAGTGGGTTTTGGCTGGGTTGACCAATGTAGCAGATTCAGGAATGCATGACTAATGTCAATTATAAGCAAACTACAAAAGTTGTGTGAAATAAAATAAAATTGGCATTATTAATAAGTTCTTCACTTAATTAACATTTAGTGGTTTCCTCTTCTCCAATCTGTGATGTACATTTAATCTGAACGGCTAAATAGAATGTGTAATTGTATTTTTAAATACCATTTAAGAAATTGTCTTTTGGGTAGTCATCGTGGATTTCATTAAATTATTCAGACACTTTAAAGAGTGCAATTCAAATGATATAATTTACCATTTTGCCTTGTAATTTATGTAACAAAATGTGCATCATTTTGTCCATTGCATTCAGTTTAACCCGAATACACCCTCGTGCATGTTTGTCTCATAATGAAAGCACTGTCCCGTCGGGCTACAATCAGTCAATGAAAGGTGCAGTGCCAAAAACGACCAGTTGTCCTCATTGCAGACTGATGGCCAAAGCTATGGGTTGTGTTTTTTAGCGATTCTATAGCCCTACCTCCACGGGCACCAAATACAATCACGGAGAAAGCGATTAAAACCACGGACAAGGTTCTTCCGCACCGTTGATTCTGTCATGAGTAGTAAAACTGACACATTAATGTGGAAAATTGGTGGTGATGGGAGTGAAGTTTTTGGTTTACACTCACCTATTCACCAGTCTGGCCTTTTTAAAAATCATAGGCTCAGTGCACCTCAACGGTCTCAACTAAATAAATTAAAACCAACGGCAAGTTTCTTTGCCCACCTTTCACAATGTCTGCCACCAGTGAAATGCATGCGGTGGTGTTTAATGATTGAAATCACGTGGGGTGGCTGATTGTCGATGTACACTGACTTCTGAAAAGCATTCTGGCTTTTGTTGAAGATCACAGGTTTACTCTAGCTTCAGAGCGTAAGAGAGGGCCCTTTGCAATAGCACGAATACTCCTTCCATTTATTTATTTACTTATTCCGCATGGAATATACAGTATAATGAGATGTTGGCATGATATAATGGTTAGCACACTGGACAATCCAGAGGTTACAGAATTGATCTGCTGGCACGGCAGTTGTCATTATGGGTAAGTTTCTTAAATCCTCCCACATCTGTCCACCCATCTTTAGAAATGGGCACAGGACAGATAGTGGACAGGTTGCATGTGGCGGAGTAAATGGGGTACTCTTACCTCTTCCAAAATACATGGCTAGCATGGAAGAGTGGCTCAAAAGAGTTCTCTCGTGGAAGCCCTTCATCCAGCAGTCGTGTGAGTGGGCACTTGCAGGGTTGCACCATTAAATTATAATCTGTTTGCTGGCTTTCAGAGCTTCTTTGCGGAGAATAAGGAGAAGCTGATAAACGGGGCCATCACAGCCCTGCTGACACATGAGGGTGACCAGATGGCCACCAACCCAGAGTTGGAGAGCCAGTTCCAGGCCATTCGCCGACTCGTCGCTTCCAAGGCCGGCTTCATGGCGTTTACGCAGCTTCCAAAGTAATGAAGTGCTGCAGCAGCAAACATAAAACAAAATAATTGGAGCTAGGTCGAGTTACTTAGCTTTCCTGAAAGGTGAAGCTGATTTAATGGGGCTTTAGCCAGTGACTGCCAAGTTAGCACTTGTGGGCAGATAACAAATATTAGCCACGTACACATGCACACGTTCTTTGTTTACACAGAAAATATAAATAATGGATTACGTGGATCATATAAAAATCCTTGTTCAGCAGAGCCCTGGTCCAGCCAGCTGCACCATTAATGCAAATCAATTGAATATATTGCTAACAACCCTATAATCCTAGCTTCAATCAAAAACACAAAAACGAAGGAACAGGGAGTGGACGAGACTGAGCAGCTGGTTTGGGAGCTACAATCCACTCAGCTCTACATCACGCGCCACCTACTGGGCACGTGCATGCACTGCACCTCTGGTTGCATGCACTGCACCTCTGGGTGTGGCAGAACGCTGCCTTGAATTAATTTATTATTTCTCACTTTGGTCCTGCAAAATTCAGCTAGCTAGGGTTTTAATGGAGGAAAATAAGAAATGCTATTTATATATTAAGAGTTATGAAATTGGCTACATTTTGGGTATTCATTTCTAGTACAAAGAACAGCTTCATCTACAGCATCTTTTGTTGTTAACAGCGGTCATGAGATGTTTAACTGAACAAATGTTAGGAATGGTGGTAATGTTTTTAACCTGTGCTCAGACATTATTACGAAAGGAGTTCTTGTTGTTTTTGTTAAGTAACAAGTAAATTTGCATTCATAGGTTGCATTCTAAGTGGCCAAGCAATTGTATCTATAGGCATGCGTCTATTTTGATTAGCTTTTGTTTCATTGTGCAGTGTCTCTACCTTCATGGTGCACTGCTGACATGAAGCTGCTTTGTATAACTTTTATTTATTATAAACTAGATTTGAAGCTTTCGTGACTGCAGGAATTACTCTTTGGTTTTTCGGTAAAGTCATGTAGAAAGAAAATATTTATTATATCAAAGGAAAGGAAATCAAAGACAACATCTATTTATATCCTACCTGATAATTTTCCACCCCACCACAAAATGTTGTATCCTTTACTTCTTTCTGCATCCCTGCATACCGAAATTAAATAGCTTCCACTTTTTAAGATATGTTTTGATTTCTTAGACAGGGTAAACTATTTTGGGCCAAATTAAATTTTTTTACAAAGCAGCCAAATGCACACTGGCAATTTGCTCCGCTCACTCTTGGTAGTGAAGACATGGCATTCTGCCGACCATGGACCCAGACCCTTTGTATCATTGAGAGACTGAGGCCGGCCTTGTTGTTCTTTCGCAGGTTCCGTGAAAAGTTGGGCGTCAAAGTGGTGAGGGCCCTCAAGAAAAACTGTGATGGTGTGACTCATGCAGCCATTGATATGCTGTGCGCCCTCATGTGTGTAAGTAACATGTTGGTTGATGGAATCAATATATTGTCTGAAAAGACAATGCCAAATTCCCTGCATTACTATTTAGACAAATGTGCTGATCCATAACATAACCTATGTTTATATGATGGTCATAATTGTTCCGTTGGGTGTACATTAATTATAAAATTCATTTTAATGAACTACATGAAAAATTTTAGTTGCGTTTATGATTCGGTAATAGCTTTTGTAGGATTGTATCAGTCCATTCTGTTGAACCGTTTTAGTTAAACACTGTACAGTCGAGAGCACAAATCAAAAGTGGAATCTGTGTGTGGTGTGTTTTTGCAGCCCATGCACGATGATTATGACCTCCGGCAGGAGCAAATGAACAAGTGTTCCCTCCTCTCCTCCAAAAAGTTTCTCGAGAGCCTATTGGAGAAATTCAACACACACGTGGTAGGCACAACCAGGATTGCCCTTACGCTCGCTTCTAATAAAGCAGCACACTGGTTCATGTGAAAGTAAATGACCACTGTACAGTTCATTATAAAAAACCTCGTCCATTGTGGCTCGACACATTTATTCAGCGTTCAATTAAACAACAGTACTTGGATAATTTTTCTCTGATTTCTGGCCAAAGAGTGCTCTTCAGTACTGCGCTAAAGTTTGTCTTTAAATCAACAGATGTATGCACATCCAGAACAGCAGTGATGCAAATGATGCACATAATCCAGAAAATCATGCCTTTGTTTTGATTTAGCTTGAATCAGCGGGTTATGCTTTTCTTTCCCTAGCCGTGTTTTGCGAGACATTGCAGATGTGCTCCTCTCATTTATCCCTTTCCAGGTCATGCCACAGATGCTGAACCTATCCCATCTAGTATTCTTTTAAGTGCATTCGCTGACCAGATGCTCCTTGTGATAGTAAATCTGAAAACAATATACTAATAAATGAACCAAGAAACTAGCAGTCTTATTTATTTTGAACTTGTATGTGTGCACTCTGCATAAGTTTGCCTATATTTCTTCAGTGTGCAAATTTGAACACCTTTTTACCAGGCATGATACTTATAATACGTACTTATATATGTTGAACTTCTTTTCGCACCGGACGTGCTAGCCAACGATGCTAATCGGAGGTGCGGAGGTGAAGGACAACAAACTAAACACAAAAAGCAGTTCTAATCAAATGAGTTTTCAATCTTGTACAAAGGTAAGTTGTATGAGAAAAACGCAAAAGGCCACAACCTAGCTTTAATCGATCTTTGTCGTGTCTGTCATTCGAAGGGGCACGGGACAGGAGCGCTGGTGATCAGCTCTCTGCTGGACTTCTTGACGTTTGCGCTGTGTGCGCCCTACAGCGAGACCACAGACGGCCAGCAGTTTGACCTGCTGCTGGAGATGGTAGCAGATATGGGCCGCACCCTCTTTAGGCTCTTCCAGGTGACACAGGGCCCCCCCCATCATCATATGCTAAGTGTTCCCACCGACGTGTATGTATTTTTAAAGGGTTTTAAAGAATGGATTATAAGCAGTGGGTTATGCAGCTCGGGACGTTGATGCTCATTTAAATGTTATTTTTCAAACACCTCAGATCCTATGTTTCCTAATTTTTCACTTTTGCTCACTGGTATAGAATGTCATGAAAAAGGACTGGATAGCTTAAGTGTGGAAAATCCTAATTATCGCTTGACTTGTGTTCTTGTGGCAATATATATCTATGGACTGACAGCATCCGTCGATGGCCATAGTGAAGGGGACTGGGCTGGTCATGAAAGCCATAATTGAGGTGAGATTCTGTTTGCAACACTTAATCTATGCCCTTTTCTGAAGTATGTAACCACAGACACTTTGAAGAAAATGTATTAATATAACAAACCACTCTAAACTAGCACTTCATAATCTCATGCCTGAAAAAAACAAAATACTTGAGAAATTCTCTGCTGCTTTTTCCACTGTAAAATTAGTTTACAAGTGCAATGTGTGTGGGTTTTTTTTTTTTAAATCACTCATTCCAGTGAGCATCATGAGCACTGACTTCCTCCATCTGGCATTATTCTGTAGGAGGGGGATGAAGAAATTGCCACAAAGATGCAGGACCTGGCGCTCAGCGAGGGGGCCTTACCACGTCACCTGCACACCGCCATGTTCACCATCAGCACAGACCAGAGACTTCTCACCAACAGGTGCTTTAGGCGCTCCTCTCCGCCTGTGTTCAGCAGCGCTTCACGCATACCGATTTTTCTCCCATGTTTTTTGCTTACAAACGATCCAGAGTGCAACTTTCTATTTTTTGTTTTTGTTTTTCCTGTCTGAACAGTATTCGGTAAGTTATACACTCCTGCTCATGGTCTCAAAAATTGTTGTGGTCATTCACGTAACGTGACGCTGTGTTTTTGTGTGTTTGATGTGGGTGTGTTGGTAAAAAGTGTATACGAATTACGTCTAATTATTGTCATATGCCGTAAGTTTGTCATGCTTTATATATTACATGAACTTGCTTTAATTCGTGCTGCCTTTTACATTCCTGTTTAAAGGCAGTTGAGCAGACACCTCGTTGCTCTTTGGACGTCGGGCAACCCTACTTCTTTAAACTTGATGAAACGAATACTGGTGAGTATACTATGGGTTTATTTTCAGCAGTTCTCACGTGACAGATGTTATTGCTTTGTCACAGATTATTCCATTTCATTCTTTTCAGCCATCTGGTTTGATGGCGTGCCTCGACTCAGAAGAAAAAGTTTCAGACAAAGACATCGACAGAATGAATGTCAGGGACAACCTGAAAATCGCTTCAGTAAGTGACAAACATGTCCGATGTTGAATCAAGTCTCGTACTATATGCTCAACCATTGCGAAACAGCGATACAATCTAAAAGTGGCATTGGTGGTGGTGATGACATTTGAACTTTTTCTTTCACGTCTTAGGACCAATTCTTGAAGATGAGCAAAGTTCCAGAGTGGCAACGGATTGCAGGAAAGGCTGCCAAGGGGGTGGAGAAGTTTGCCAAAGAGAAGGTTGACTTTGTGCTCATCCACTGGAGGGATCGCATGGGCATCACCCAGAAGGAGGTGCCTACTCAACAAACACCATCGAACCCAGTCTACAGATGGCCTTCTCCATTCAACACATGGCCATCCAATATTTGCAATAATGGCCTGGCTCGGCGGATGAAAACATTAATTGTTATTTCACATGTAGGGCATATATCTCATTGTTGCTTGTTGATCGGAGGTTACCATGTGACGTGCTGGGTAATGAGCTTTTTTTTTTTAATTCACTTAAACCGCAAGCAGGGTTCAAAAAGTCCCGATGTTCAGCTGGAAAAAGGGGGGGTTATTGTGGCACTGGAAGGAGAATGCTATACCAGGCATTGCAATGTTTGGCACGTGGATTAACGAAGTGCTGGTCTTCCCTTATCTTCACAAGCACCTTCGCTAATGGCCATGCACAGTGCAGCTTTTTGTTTATAGCTGTTGTTTTAGTAAAAAAAAATAGGAAAGAGCTGCCAACAGTTTGCAGGGCATGTCTTAATTTGTATACATTTTGGCTCGTGTTAATTTCGGGCTTTCCACATTTATTGTAACAAATTGAATTAATCCACATTAACCACATTGTGATTTACATATGAATTGCACCAACTTATAACTTAAATAATTCAAGTATTGTTGATCGATTAATTCATTTGTATGATTTTTGCTATCGTTTACTGTAATTGCTTAAATCTTCACTCAAAAATGTAAGACCAAACTGCTATAATTGTAACATTTTCATGTTGATTTTGCACCCTGCACTCCAATTTGCTGATGGCCTGATGCTGACTTTCAGGACAGAAATAACCAGGTAAGCCAAAAAAAATTTGCTTTTATCATATACGCAAATAATTGACCACAAATTGAGACTCAAGGACACTCCGTAGCAGGACTGTGAACAGATTCAAACATTGGTATCGGACCTTTTTGCCAGTATCCAAAATTATACGGAATACTGGAATAATTTTCCCGTAAATATTACTGCTCGACCTGATCTATTATTGTGCTCATACTTGAATTGTCTTTATACTGTTTGCCTTTTGGTATTCTCTGGTCTAAGACTGGTGAGACAAAGCCATAAAGAAGGCTGTCTCTGGTATAGGCCAATCAGTTTCAAAGACAATGCCCATATATTATCAGAGCTTGTTTGTTTGCATGTTTTTACCCAATTGTGTGGTTATTGCAAACTTTTGATGCCTTGCAAAAGGTATCTATTTAGTGTTTGAACATCTTAACACCTCTTTTATTGCCAGAAATTGTAAAACCTATTCCTATTTTTCAAACAGATTAATCCATCTTGTAAACGAATGTCCACTGAATTCATTATCCGGAAATATCTGAGGTTTATGCCAAATCTCCCATAGCTTTTGACTGAATATCAAAATTTCGATTTCAAGCTTTCGTGACTGCAGGGATTCATCTTCTTGGTTCTTTCGGTAAAGTCACGTAGGAGGGAAATAACAAAATAATAAAAATGAAACATCAAATAAAACTCCTTTGTCAAGGCGTTCTGCTCCTCCCACCCAGCTTAAAATACGCTGCCAAGCTTAGCAGTGTTCATTGGAACGCTGTCTTTCTGACAGCAATTTCTTCGCCTGAAAACGGCTACTTGTGTTGTGGCCGAAACGTCGTGAGAATTTTATTTTATTGTTTTATTTTTATTATTTCCCTTCTACGTGACTTTACCGAAAGAACCAAGAAGATGAATATGAAAACTTCACATTATACTGTAATGTTTATTTTCCTCCAGTTGGCAGCATCATCATCACTGTTCTTATCTAACATGTACTAATTTTGTTTGCAAATTACAGAATGCCAACCAGAAACCTGTTGTCTTAAGGAAAAGGAGACAGAGAGTAAAGGTGGAATCCAACTGGGATTTGTTTTACTACAGGTGAGTATCTAACCCGATCGATTAGGGTAGCACATGGTCACAACTCATCCTACGTTATCATGTTACCAGAATTTAATCAAATGCATATATTTTTATATTCTTGGTTCTTTCGGTAAAGTCATGTAGAAGGGAAACAATAAAATAATAATAAAAAATATTTTTATTATTTTAAAATAATAAAAAATATTTTTATTATTTTATTGTTTCCCTTCTACGTGACTTTACCGAAAGAACCAAGAATATGAATCTCTGCAGTCACGAAAGCTTTAAATCACAAGCATATATTTTTCTGAAGGTTTGAGGAAGCAACTAACATATGCAAGAATGCACTTGTGTTGTGGCCGGGCTTTCTGCCCACCAACCACAAGAGTTGCAGTGTATTCCTTGAGACAGAACGTGGATTGTATGCAGGCTGTGAGCGACGTCATAAAAGTGTTCTTGTCGATTTAATTTTAGTACGGTCTGTGGTTTGCGAAATATGCAACGTTTTAAACAGCAGTCTCTTTGTGTTTGTTGGTCAGCAGTCGCTGTACACTGGTAACCGTTGCTCATGCATTAAACAAAATATTGCCATGGTGTATTACATAATCTACAGACTGCGTATGACATTAAAATAAGCATTTTGAAACCATTTAAATAAGGGGTAATGTTCACCATTCAATCGAAATTGTTTTGTCAAGTTGTTGTGGACTCTTGTTTTTGTTGTGTTTTTTTTAAGGTTTAACCAGGACCATGCGCGATCTAACCTGATCTGGAACTTCAAGACGAGGGAAGAGCTTAGAGATGGCCTGGAGTCGGAGATGAGAGCCTTCAATGTTGACCGAGAGCTTGGTAGCAATGTCACTATATCCTGGAACTACCAGGAGTTTGAGGTAATTTCTCACACACTCCAAAGAGCAACAACATGAAGATAATTTGTTTGGTTATATTTCTCTCATTCCATTAAGGGTACAACAAATCATTCCTCCCAGAAAATGTATGGCATGTCATTATTCAGGGTTGTAATTTGACTCGAGGGTTGGCTCATAGTTCGGAGTTCTGAGTTGGCACCTCTGAGTTAGGTTATTCAATGACTCCACAAAACCCTATTACATAAATAAGTGAGTTTTCACTTAATCTATCATGATTGCAGCTCTGAGAATTTAAAGCTTGGTTTAACTGTCGTACAGCAAATATCAATCAAATATTAGAGTGTGGCAAAATGCACCCCCTTGTCTAAATATTAAAATGGCCACTTGAAAGTTTTTTTTACAATTGTGTGACATCACGGATGTCACTGTGCAATGCCAGCCCTAGAGAGGCACGGCGTGCGATGTAGCGACATCGCGGGCACCGCGATGATGTGGGTGCAGTACCGGCCCTAGAGGGGCTCGGTGAGCGCTGACTGGCACTGCTGGATGGCACCACGCTCTGCGTGCACGGGATATGGTGTGAGAGTGCCGGCCATGGGAATGGGGTTACTAAGGGCCATATCACTCTGGTTGACCCCGAAGGACACTTGACCGGTGAAGTCTACACAGGGGCCCGCAGGTGGGGGCTAGGGGTGGTCACGTGTCAGGGTCGAGATCCTTCTCGAGGGTTTTAGAAGGTGGTCGTGGCTAAGGGCAGAGCCAGCCACACCACAGAGGATGTAAGCCGGGTCCCCGAGAGGGACCGGCTGCTGTTGCTCATCCTGAAGAATCTACGTCCTACGTTCTACAGACTCTCCAACACGTGGACCTGGCACCGAGCTGTGGTCCGGTCCGTTGTAGCTACTCCCGGTGTAATTAGTGTAGCTAGCCTGGTGGTCCACCACCATAGATTGTTATCTGGTAAAGGGGCAGTTATCCCTTTTGTGTTGGTGTTAATAAATGTGTTGCCTCCAAAGAGTACGTCTGCGACTCAGTTGAACTCGCTACACAATTATATGCTCTTGGGCATATGTGGCTGTATTGATTTATGCTAGATTATTTATCTAGTGACGTCATACCGATAGCACTCCAGGCATAGAACCAGGAAAATACCAAAAAATAAGGACCAATAAATATATACTTTTTACCTACCTCATAAATGTAGTGTCTGTTTGGGTCACGGAACCCTTTACAGCCTATATGAATCAAAGCACATGGACTTTTACATGTGATTTGATGAATGTAACTTGAATGAGAATCAATATTAATTGATTGGTCTGTGGCATTATTACTCCTACTTTCGATAGGAAGTACTTCTTGATAACTGTGTATGGCCATTTCCAAGCTGAAACTAAACATAGCTGTAAATGTATTTATAATGGTCTTGATTTGCCAGCACATCGCTTTAATGTATACAATAAACATCTCTACCTATGGGGGGGAGGGGGGGGTGTATGTCTACTATGCTGTATTAGCTGGAGACTTTTCTCTAAGAGTATCTCTCTTTGTCGCTGAAGGTGCGGTACGACTGCTTATCGGATGAAATTAAGATCGGAGATTACTATCTCCGTCTGCTCTTAGAAGAGGATGACAGCGAGGAAGCAGGAGCAATAAAGCGATCGTAAGTTCATCAGTCCACCGAAATCTGAATCTGCACAAACTTCAAACAGTTGCTTGTATTTTGTTTACGTTTTGGTGAATTGTGGGTGATTGTCTCAAAAGGTAAAATATGCAGCCCTATAATTGCTTGCTTGAACCAATAGTGGTGAAAGATGGGGAGCTCTTGACAGCCTCTGCAGATGTAATTTTTTAACCTACTCTTCCATGCTGGTCAAACAATACAGCATAGTCTTCGTGATGTTGCAAAGAGTTAGGTCACTGACTCCATTTGTTGTGGACTGGTTTTCACAGAAAACTTTGCTACATTTGATTAATCATACCAACGTTAAACATCTTTAACATGACGAGGAGCTAGATGTAGGGTGTTGTGCGTAAATCTACGTGTATGTTTGCGCACGTGCGTGCCTTTTGTATACCCACAGGTACGAGTTTTTCAACGATCTCTACCACCGCTTCTTGCTCACGCCCAAGATCAACATGAAGTGCCTCTGTCTGCAAGCACTGGCCATAGTGTATGGCAAGTGCTACGAGGAGATTGGACCTTTCAATGACACAAAGTACATTGTCGGCATGCTTGAGAGGGTGCGTGTTCGCTGCTTCCCATCAATCATGAACACTTGTACCTGTAGAGACAACATTGGGATGAGTTGTATATAATATATTTTACCATTAAGCATTGTTTAATTTGTTTTGAATATTTTGTGAATTAAATCTGTGTAGATTATACATTATTAAGGATATGTTTTACAAAATACATAGCATTCTAATTGCAAATCAATGCTCGTGCAATTCATTGTGTGTTATTGCATCAAATTTCAAATCTACTTTTTTGGTTAATTCAGTGCAATTAAAAGGTGTGTGGTCTCCATTACAGTATAATATTATATCAATTTCTTATTTAGGATGCCATTCTATACTTGGTAATTTGTCTAACAATAACAGAAAATAGCTTGCACTACTTTAAAAGGAGTAGCACTTCACTAAAGTGTTGTAGTGTTCCCTGTGCTTAATACATGAGAGGAATTTCAAGTTGTTGATTGCAACTGTGTAATCCTAGTCCTTTTTAGGTCTGTTACATGTAGCTCACTGTAAAATATCTTGTAATTTTTTTCTGTTGCAGTGTACGGATCGACTTGAAAGAGACCGACTGATTCTCTTCCTTCATAAGCTCATCCTCAATCAGGTAAGATAAGTCTGTCATCTCATTACCTTAATAATATTAAACCCAAAATGTATTTAGCCAGGTGGTGGTGCCGCCATGTACCTATAATCGAGTACTGTGGAGGCAAAGGTTGGTGGATCGCACAAATGCTTTGAAACTCCCTTCCCATGGGTGTCGAGGTGCCATAGCTTGGCTTGCCAGGATAAGGCAGGACAGCAAAAATGTGGACTCACCTCTTCCATCTGTATTGTATTGTTTACCCTCTCATGTGGGTTTCCTTCCACATGTATAAGCACCCATTAATTGACAGAAAACATCTTCATATATGGGGGACCACAGAGCTTTGGCATTTGTTGGTGGCGGCTCATGACCAAGCCACCTTCCCCCTTATCTAGATCCTCGCAGCTCCGAGTTTCTCGCTTTGAGAATTGAGTGAGTACTATGCTAGTCATGCGTTGAAATTACGATTAATTATTATTATCGAGTTTAAAGGAAGCCCATTCATATAATCAACTTCTGTATTTTTACAATCCTTGCTTTGCTCTTTGGTTCTATTCGGTAAAGTAAAATAAAACAGAAATTTTTTGTTTTATTTTTTACCTACGTGACTTTACCGAATAGAACCAAACAGTATGGATCATTGCAGTCAGGAAAGCTTCAAATCTAGAATCCTTGCTTTCCCAACTATGACACGTAATATCTGTGCTGCTCATGCTGGGCGAACGCTACGTTGGCATTCAACAGAAAAATGTGAAGGAGCTGATGGATGCCAATGGAACGAGGATTCTGGTCGACCTTTTAACCATGGCTCATCTTCACACGTCACGTGCGACTGTTCCCCTGCAGGTAATCACCCTGTGCAATTAATTACATCCAACCATCCACCTGATGCCTGCTGTCATACGGGGTGTCCATAATGGTATCTATTTATACAGAACGACAATTATATGGCAATGCGAACTGTGTGGTTGAAATGTTGACAATGTATTACGTATAAACCCCATCGTGGGGGTTACGTTCTTGAATATAGCCACGATTGGCAAATCCGCAAAATCAAATGCATATGGGAAAAATGTGGTTTGGTTCACAGTTGACAGTTTTATTTTTGCCAGTTGTGTGAAAATATAATTTGGAAGGCAGTGAATATGGTTCGAACAAAGCATGTCATCAGTTTTCTTCCCCGCTGTTCATGTGCTTTATCAATGTAAGAGAAGCAATGAAAGAAAATGAACCATTCATGCTAAACCTTACAATATTGTACTGCCTGCATTCAAAGCAGAAGGATTTGCAATCTGCTGTGTCTAAGAAAATGTTTTTCAACAGAGCAAAATAAATGGACTAATATCCTCATAGTGGATTGAAGTGCTTCTTGCAGATGCAATGTGCATTGCAAATTTAAATATGAAAAGTTGAGTTCAATCTTTTTTTTATCATTTCATAAATGTGCCACCTTATATGACCTGCTTTTTTATTTTACATTTATGTACTACAGCCTGACTGAAGATAGGCCTGAGTTGTAATGTTTTTTTTTTTGCATTTTATAGAGCAATGTGATCGAAGCGTCACCAGACATGAAAAGGGAAAGTGAGAAGGAGTGGTATTATGGGAATGCTGAGAAAGAAAGACTCGGACCATATGGATTTGATGAGGTGAGCTGTATTAAGTAGTTATACTCTTTCACGTGTTAATGCTTTTTTAACTTGGTCGATTACGTTTTATGAAATGGCAATGAGATTTATTTTAATATCAACTATTTTAGCTGCACATCATATTTCCCCACCAAAAAACTCATAGCCTTATTTAATTTTACCAAGGCAGGTGTCCACATAATTTCCCCAACCTCTGAAACAAAACCCATGCAATAGCCTGGTCAGTTGTAAATGATATGTTCTGTCTCAATACATTTTTCGGGTGGAAATTTTGCAATAAGAACAAACAAAACACCCAAACGCACCGTATATGAATGCTGTCGAGCAGATGCAGGAACTGTGGCAGAGCGGAGTTCTGACGCCCAAGACGCGTTGCTGGGCCCAGGGCATGGATGGCTGGCGTCCTCTGCACTCCATCCCACAGCTCAAGTGGTGCCTCATGGCCACAGGGCAGGCAGTGCTCGACGAAAGCGAACTCGCCACCCTCGTACTCAATATGCTCATCGCCATGTGCCATTACTTCCCCAGCAGGTCAGTGGGGGAAGGTTTGCATGCTGCGGTTTTTTGAACATGTTTAAAGTAATGTGGGAAATTGACAAATTTAGTATAAAAGTCTACAGGGCCAAGTGCTTGCTACTGTTAGTGAGCGTCTATAAAGGTTGACATGGCACACAACGGAGGTGGTTGGACCAGCACCATTAAGGCATTTGCACACAAGTAGAGGGCTTAATTCATGTCTCTGCTGGGACATCTCATAAAAATGTTGATGCGCCGACTATGCTGTGTACCATCAAATTCACGTCCACAGAGTTCAGCGGCCAATAATTCTTAGCACCCTTTGTAAATTACCCACCAGCCACTAGCAAGTCAGAGACCCACTCGACAACGTCGGGGCCCATTCTGTGTGACTGGCCCATGGAGAGGAGGGTGCCCTTTCACGTGCCTGTGGTTACGACCACATCACACGACTGCCTGTTGGTACCCTTGCTGACTGGCGGCATCAGTGTAGAAGGACCACTGCCACAGCTGGTGAGCTGCGGTTTCCAACGCTGCATGAGAGGACTTGGGGGCACAGGGAGTGAGGATGAGTGGGAGTTGTGTGGTTAGCTCAAGGGGGTCGCTGTGTCTGCAGGGCACTCATTTGTTGCCAATGACAAATGAGCCTTCTACTCACTGCTGTCACTCCGTGGTAGCTTTTGGTATTACAATGATAGTGTTTTATATACACTCAGCTAACAGGCTATTATTGTACCACTGCAAGTTAAGAATATATGCTCCAACCACAAAGAGGGTAAAATGCATAAAACATTGTTAATTGGTCACTTGAATGTGAATGTAAAATGTGCAGATATATGAAGATGATAAGTTAAGCATTGTGTGAGGAATGAGAGACATGTGCATCTGATTTGAGTGTGTTTGCAGCAAAGACATGAAAATAATACCTTTTTAAAAAAAGAATAAATAAAATGTAGGTGGAAGAGCCCAAATTATGAAATTGGAAACGAGGTTGACTTACTTACAATGGGAAAACCCCAGATTGTCAGAGGTCCCTGTCCCCAACAAATAAAAAAAAGAAGCAACACACAGACTGGTGTGATGCAAGTTACTCTTCAACATAACCAGAGAAAGGGCAACACGAGATACAGGAATTACTTTAAAAAAGCCAACAATACAATCGCAAAAGCTGAGGATGGACATTACAGGGTTTAACATTTTGCATGTAAAACCCTTCATTTTGACAAAAATTGTCTGAATTTTTTGTTGTTAACTGTTGTGTTTTTTGTGCCCCGCAGAGACCAAGATGATGCCATAATTAGGCCCTTACCGAGAATTAAGAGGTTGCTGTCAGAAAACATCTGCTTGCCTCACATTGTTCAAGTACGTTGCAATTCGATTTATCCTGTCTCTCTGTTTTGTCTCTTTGCATATCCGTTTGTATGTCCAAATCCATCTCACAATTGATTGCAACACAGGGAGAGAGAGGGACGTGTTGAAACTATTCCAACACACTTTTATCTGCTTTGGAATAAATATTGCATATTAGCTCAAAATAGCCAAAACAAAGACATCCAGAGCGATTAATCACACTGATGCGATCTGCCTTGCTCTGCCGGTGCAGCTGCTGCTGACCTTCGACCCGATCCTGGTGGAGAAGGTGGCTGTGCTGTTGGGACTGGTGATGCAGGACAATCCTCAGCTTCCACGTCTCTACCTCACTGGGGTCTTCTTCTTCATCATGATGTACACTGGCTCCAACCTCTTGCCCATTGCCAGGTAGCCTGCTGCACTTGCCATTGGCACAGATTCTACACGGCTCCCCCGAATTCCAGCTCATCATGCTCAATTTATCTCACCCCCAGCTTTTATTCGCTCCCATTATCTCAGACTTAACCAGCTCCTATAACATTTCCATTAACATCGGTCAACACTTCTTCTACTGGATGTACCTAAAATTAGTCAGGCTTGAGTTTCATTTACAACTGTTTCCTTAACCCTGAAACCTTATAACAGGTTCACTGCCTTCATCCCTCAGTCTTCTGATACCAAATGCTGCAATTGCCAGTTCACAGCAAGCCTCATCACTTCAGAATACTTGTTTAGTTGTGGCACTAAGATCTCAAATAATAAGACTGCTTCCCTTAACTGTTAATTCAGGAGTGTTTCCTGAATGTCACCCATGGCAATGTATTATCGGTTATGCAACTCTGCAATATTTAATTATCCTTTCATGAGCAAAATGTCATTTTTTAAGCTAGGCTTCAAGCCACTCATGTTCATCTTTACTTCTCGTTCTGAAATGTTTTACATGCATAGTTGTATTGAGCTGATTTCCATTCTAATTGCAGTTTTCTGAAGTACGCGCACATCAAGCAGGCTTTCAGATCTGAAGAGGTAGGAGTCTTTGCAGTGAATGCTGCTTTCACGAAAGCTTCAATAACATCCACATGGCATGAGTGTTATTTCACTCGTAACACGTGCAAAACATACAGCTTCAGATCCTTAGAGCATATGTTCATGTATTGATGCTGTTGTCTCATAATTTTGACAATTTTAGTTATTCCCTAGTAGTTTGTCAAATGCAATGTTATGTCGGCTAGTAAAGATTGCTTGACTAAAACAAGTGAAACCAGATTCTGCAGGAGCATACACCAAACTAATCAATTATTTTCTTTTTCCATGCTTTTCGGCCTTCAAAAATAAAGGCATGCCAGTTTGTTTTATACTAGGTGATAATTGACAATATGATCAAAGATGGCAATCAATGATCAAAGCGCTTGCCCCATTATTAGAGAGCATGTCATGATGGTGTGTGCCTTCGCGACACAGACAAAGGGCCAGGAGCTGGTGCAGCGCAGCATTCTAGGCCACATGCTGCCCGAGGCCATGGTCTGCTATCTGGAAAACTACCTGCCGGAAAAGTTTGCCGAGATCTTTCTGGGGGAGTTTGACACGCCCGAGGCCATCTGGAGCAATGAAATGCGGTACGGCTGTGGAAGATTTAGAGCCTTAATTAAGGGAATATTCCCCGGGGGGGGTGGCTTAGGGGTGTCTATTTGTGTTGTGAATGATGGACGAATCAAATCCAGAGTGCTATTAGTTTACATCTGACTCGGACTTAAATGGCTGGAACGCATTAATGACATGGCTATTTTTTGCTGACATGCTACGGTAATGGAAATACCGTGTGCTTCATTCTGCTATTGAATGGTCTCAGAAATATTTTGTAGCAAGCTTACCATGATTCTTCTTACGGATGGATGTAGTTTTATTTTGAAACTTGTAACGCAAGTTTGACTTGTTTTGCTCACTAGTGCTTAACGACCAAAACACTAATAGCCAGCACTTAAGCAACAATCAAACATTACCTGAGTTTGACCCTTGTGAGCGTTCGGGTGGCATTGTTTATGCTGATGTGCCCCACCAGGAGGCTGATGATAGAGAAGATCTCGGCACACCTGGCGGACTTCTCCCCTCGGCTACAAAGCAACACCCGGGCGCTGTACCAGTATTGCCCCATCCCACTGATCAGCTTCCCTCAGCTGGACAATGAGCTCTTCTGCAACATATACTATCTCAAGCACCTGTGTGACACCGTCCGCTTCCCGGACTGGCTGATCAAACACCCCGTGAGGCTCCACATCTTCATTTTCTCCACAATTACCAATAATGTGATCGTTTACCAATTAAAATATTTCTCCTATTGCAACTAGCTTCATCTTAACTGAAACATCGTCATCCTCACTACCACCCTCATTTTCATCATCATCCACTGCTGAATGGAAGGGATACCCAAACCTTATCGCTCATGTTGGTTTGTTGACCACACTTCACCCCACGCTGGTCAGTTGGTTGGTTTAGATTGGACCCAGAACTTGGCACCGATGTTAGCCATGGCCAGAAATTGGCATAATGTGCCAATTACTGCACTACCACTCTCCCCACTCCCCTAACCCTCCATCGTCATTAAAATGCTTATATCATTACCACTGGCATCATCACCACCATTTACTTTTTATGTTCATTATTCATCACCTTGATGAGAGTTTCCATTCAATATTACTACCTGTCACATAATTCACTGTTCATATGCCTATCCACTGCTATATCACGTGCCCATGGCCGTGGTCACATGCACACGCGTTTATGTTCAGCACATGCCTTAGTTATGTATATGCTTTTGTGGACGATAGGTAAAGCTGTTGAAGGACACACTCGATGCCTGGAAAAAGGAGGTAGAGAAGAAGCCCTCGGCCATGTCCGTGGATGACGCCTATGAGGTGCTGCACCTGCCCAAGGGCCAGGGCGTGTGAGTATCCATATAGCTAACATACTACTTGTGAAATATATTTTATATATAACGGGTGTACTTATGTATATATATAAAAATGTGTTTTTTAAGTGTCATTTGGTAGGTTTTATACAGTGGAACTCTACCTATTGGCATCAATATAGGAGACCTCATCATAGAAAAGAAAATTCAAAGATGAGTTTTATTCTTGATGTCTGTGGCAAAAACTAATTGTGTCTTATGACTTATCTGCAATAAACTTGGATGCCAGAATGAGTTTTCCACGTGTTACAGTACCACAGGTACCTTCTGTGAGGGTAAATAAAGGATTATTTACAAAGTATTCCAAAAAGACTGGCATGAATCATGTTGGCGAGATCCCATGCATGTTAGGAGTCACAGAAAAGGGATATTATTTTATTAAAAAGGTTTTTGTAGCTAATTCTAACAATGTTATTGGTGTTCACACAAATTAGATGTACAATTTGAACATTAATGCCACGTCCTTAAAACATTCTGTTTGCATGTTCAGTATTGTATTATACAAGGACAATGTGTAATACATACTGAATGCATGTGTGCAGCCAAAAATTCACATTAATTTCATCCTGTTCACCCACTGAAATGTATAATGTTTTGCATTGCATCAGTGAGTGTAATTTTATGCCCAGTAAAGATAAACTTTTTCTTTAAGGTTTCAGACGTCTTGTATGTATGAATGTAGCCAAGTAATGTTTTGTTTTCCATGCTTTTGACTTACAAACCCATTAAGATGCCACTATAATGCGGCATTGGGTGCATGTCGAACCAATGTGTTGTGTAGAATTTTTTATTGTGGTTCGTGTGATTTTGCAGACATGATGAAGCCAAGATCAGGAAGGCGTACTTCCGGTTGGCCCAAAAATACCATCCAGACAAAAATCCGGAGGGCAGGGTATGTACCAATGTACAGAACTTTTTGTGGTCACTAAATCTTAACGTGTAAAATAATACCTATTACAGCGCAATGTTTTACAATTGCAAAATGTCAAATAATTTTACTTCCTGTTTTGTTGAATTGTTTTGAGGATAAAAAATTAAGTTAATTTATATTTTATCTCTTATCAATGCATCATTGTTAAAATTACACTTGTATTTAATACAACTGTTCGAATAACAGGATGACCATATTATTGGCCTTTTCTTTCTGTTTAAATCTTAATTTTAAAAACGTTACAAAATGTTCGCACCACAATTGTTTAAATTTCCGCATGTTCAGACCGGATGTCTTGTTTACCATCTTACAAATCAGGACATGTTCGAGAAAGTGAACAAGGCCTACGAGTTCCTGTGCAGCAAGTCGGCCAAAACAGTGGATGGCCCTGACCCAGAGAACATCATCCTCATTCTCAAGACGCAGAGCATCCTCTACAACCGGCACAAAGAAGGTGGGCACTACCAGCTGCAGGTCCTTTACCCACAATGCACCTGCTCGTGAAGTGCGTTCCACTGAGATTTTATGAACGGCATAAATGTATGTATGTTGAACTTCTTCCACACGTTCATAGCCAACCATGATAATCGGAGGTGCGGGAGGGCAACAAGCTAAACACAAAAATCAGTTAAATAACAATGCCCTGTTCAACTAACTGATCACTGCACTCTCACCCCATTGTGTCAATGGCAAGCCTTAATAGGGGTTCTCAAACAGCACTTGCTCGTCTATTATTGTGCGTGGTATTTACCTAAATTGCATTAAATATTCCCGGATCTTGACAACTCAGAAGCTAAGCAGGGCTGAGTCAGGCCAATGCTAGGATATGCGACCACAATACATAAAACAGCAGATGCTGTAGGTTGCTGCTTGATCACGTCATCAGAGGGTGGTGCAGAAAATCCATTGTTGTCCTGTACGATGCGCCTTTGCTCCCTGCATTCACTAACCGGCTGTTTCTGTGTGTGTGTGTGTGTGGCAGAGCTGCAGCCGTACAAGTACGCGGGGTACCCGATGCTGATCAAGACCCTAACAATGGAGACCGAGGATCAGCAACTCTTCTCGAAGCTCTCGCCTCTCTTGCCGGCCGCAACTGAGCTGGCCTTCCACACCGTCAATTGCTCGGCCCTGAACGCTGAGGAGCTGCGAAGGGAGGATGGCATTGAGGTACCCATCTACAGTTGTACATTCTCCATATTTACCCCCACCACCATCTGCTCTCTCCTGGTAGCGCCCCCTGCATGTCAGTGTTATACATGCTATTCAGATAATGCCATGTCTCGTGAAGACACAAGGCAGGATCAAATTTCGATTTAAAGCTTTCGTGACTGCAAGGATTCATCTTCTTTGGTTCTTTCGGTAAAGTCACGTAGAATGAGAATAAAGTAAATTGATAAAATAAAATAACACAATATTCTCACGACGTCTGGAGGACAGCGCTGGAGTGAAAAAGCCACGCTCAGATCGCGACCTTTAAGCTGTGTGAGAAGAAACAAAGCGCCTTGACAAAGGAATTAGCATATAGTTTAGCATTGAAATGGCTGAGTGATTAGCTTGTGACTGGTCACAGAAATGGCTATGTTAAAGTTAAAGCATACACAAGGCAGGATCAATCTTTATTTTATCAATACAGGTTATGCCCTTTCATAGATTTTTATGGTCTAGACTGTTTCTTTACCATTCATATCCTTTAAAGTGATTATTGTTATTTCACAGATAAGCGTGTGTTTCTCTTACAATTCGTCTGTTAAAGCGGAATACTTGAAAATGCTAGCATTTAAAAACCCAAGACATGTTTTCAATGCAATCCGTGATTTATATATGTATACAAAGCAATCATCACTCCCTGCTGCAAAACAACAAAAACTTGGCAGGAACCCTCCTGAAAAAAGAGACGTTAGATCCACTGAGGTTTTTCCAGATCAACAAGTGTGATCGTATTTTAAAAAAAGAACCAATGGATAATTGTGGATTTTCATTGCAGATTCTTCAGGAGGCGCTCGCACGCTGTGTGGCTGTTCTCTCTCCATCCAGTAAAGTTAATGACATGCCTGTTCAGGTACAGTTTTTTACACACCTCACATGTATGATCATTATCAACACAAAGGTGTTTTTTCAGTTTATGTCCACAGTGTATATTATCATTTTTTACGTAAATAAAGTCTTTTTTATTTTATAATAAAGGTTTTTGGGTTAGATCGAGTTATTTTTAAATGTGTGGTAACTCTCCACCACCCGACACGGCCAATCAATCAAAAAGTGTCACGTTGACAAAAGACAAATAGTTCACTACTTTAGCCCACCGGTGTGTTGAAGAGTGAATCCACAACATTTACAGTTTGAATACGACGTTTCGCTGGTAATTACATCCAGCATCATCGGGCAATTCGCCAGAATGGTAAATCTCTCACTTGCTCCCGGTCTTAAATAGAGCAGCAGGGTGACGTCATTTAACTCATTCAGGTGCAGTAATTTGAGGGGGGGGGTATTGTAATTATATAATCGATTGGTAATCAGCCAATGGTTATGATTAGTAATGAGTTGTAGATTAGTAATTAGTTGTAATGTGTGTTATTGTGATTATATGCTGCGTTAGTAATCCGTTAATTAGTATGTTTCCCCTATAAGGAATTGTAATATGTATTATTTAATAATATGCTTCCAAGCCGCACTAAGCCTGTAGCTGTCAGAGCAATTAAAGTTTATTTCTATTTCTCTCAATTTAAATGGATTCTCTAATTAGTCTTTGCCAGTAATAATTAGTTTTACACAACACTCTAACGTTATCAAAATCAATTGAGTGTCCTTGTTGACAAGCATGTTCTGCCACTGCCGACAGTTGTGTTTGAGATAATTTAATATTTCTTTGGTGTTCTTTTAGTCTTATGCTGATGTTACGTCCCGTCTGTCCAATATAGCATCTGCCACATAAACAATTAATCCGTTATACACTTTCTATTGATAATTTAGGTAATTCGTCTTTAGTGCAAGAAACTAGTTTTTGAATTTGGTGTACTGTACCAAATCTTGCTGTAATGTTTTGCTTTTGCAAAACACGGGCTAATTTGTCAGTTACTCCTGAGATGTATGGAATTTAAATTGTTTTAACAATCTGATCGCTTTCAGCAGTGTTGCATTGCAATCGTGATTTGGCATTCAGTGCTCTGTTAATTTGAGTGTTATTGTAGCCATTCTGTCGTAATGCTTTTTTAACGTGTTTGATCTCTCTCACTAGACTTTCACCATCTGACTCTGTTTTAGCCCGATATATGAGCGTCTTGATAAGAGAGGATTTCTGAGCTGGATGATGATGCGAATCTGCATTCAGATAGGCATCAGTGTGCGTTTGCTTTCTGTAAACGCTGTGTGTTATTTTACCGTTTAGGCCATGTCCAAGCAAAATAGCTAGGAACGGGAGTGTGTTATTCACCTCCATTTCCATGGTGAACTGGATGGCCGGGTTTTGTGCATTGAGATGATTTAGAAAATCGTTAAGTGTATCTTTACCATGTGGCCAGACAACCAAAGTGTCATCCACATATCTAAACCAAAAAGATGGTTTTAATGTGCTCGAGGCAAGTGCTCTTATTTCAAAGTTTTCCATGTAAGATTTGCTATAGCAGGAGATAAAGGAGAGCCCATTGCTGCTCCTTTTGTTTAAAGAAATCCCCTCTCCATAAGAAGTGTTATTTAATCAATGGTCAGCAAGTTTAGAATATCTTTTGGTAAACCTGTATTCTTTACTCGTGTATCAAGTAATTTAAGCGATTTGTTCACTGGAACCTTAGTGAATAGAGAAATCCCATCAAAACTTACCAGAATATCATTGAGATTAATTTTAATATCTTTAATCACATTCACAAGATGTTCTGAATTTGTTATGAATGAAGATGTCCTACCGATGTAGGGCTGTGTATTTGTTTAGTTATATATTTTGCTAATTTATATGTGGCAGAGCCAATTGTACTGACTATGGGTCGTAATGGGATGCCGATTTTATGAATCTTTGGTAGCCCATACAGTCTAGGTGGTTTTGAGGCCCTTGACTTAATTTGGTATTGCTCATTCTTAGGGATTAAAGAATTTGCAATTATTGCAGTAGTCTTACGTTCTAAAGTATTAGTTGGATCTCGTTTAATTTTAACGTAGGTACTTTCCTCTATTAAATTTCTAATTTTATTATCATAATCGGCTCGTGACATCACTACAGTAGTGCGTCTTTTATCAGCCGACAGGATTTGGATATCTTTATTTACACGGAGCTCTCTTAAGGCTTTTGCTTCATTAGAGCTAATATTTACTTTTGGAAGTTTGCTATTCTCAATTATTTCGGCAACTTTGTATCTAGTCATCTCAGCCTCATTATGTGGAAGGAGTCTTACTGCTGATTCTACCTCAGCAATTATCTCATCCACTGGAATTGTGCGTGGGTTAACGGCAAAGTTAAGGCCTTTAGAAAGGACGGAGATCATGTCACTGGTTAAAACAGTGTTAATCAAGTTCATTACGGTTTTGTTTTTAAATTGTTCGTTTTTAGAAGGGATTTGTTTATTATGAAGTCTAGAAAATGTATGCATTTGGTTAGTTTTTGTTAGATTAAACACATTAGCTGATTTTTGTGTTATGGTATCGATTATATTCCAATAATGCATGGATATGCTATTGCTTATATCTAAGTGTAACTGCTTTAGCGATTCCGAAATGTAAGATAATTCACTCCTGTTGTGCTGTATTCTCTCTATTAATAATAATTCGCTAGCTTTGTTTAGTATTTGGTTAGCTTTAGAAGACTTTATGTGATGTGTTATTTTAACTGCATTTGGTATTACCTTTGAATCTCTGCACCTTTTGACGAACGCCAGTGAAGATATCAATTTCATCCGCTTAAGCCTACGTGTTAAACTATTATTATTTAAACTCATTGATATGAAATGTATATGTTTTCAATTATGTCTCGGTTTTGTTTCCCATGCTGAATTTATTTCACCGTGTAATTAACCATATACAGTATACACAAAAAAATCTAAATATAATATCCATGGACTATGTACATATACACACAAAGCTTTTGACCAGTTTACCCAGAATGCAACCACTTGCATCTAATGTTGAAAGCTGAGCAGGGATGGGGTGACCACCAAGCACAACAGGTGTTATAGACTTCGGGTCGAAGTGGTGGGCAGCAGAGGACAAAGTCAATTGTTATACTGTATTTCTATACTCCCACGTCTGCTCTCCGCCTTCACCAATGCACACTTACACGGCATGGGAAGGCCTTCATCAGTGGATTGACGAAAGGCTGTACATATACATTTTTATGAATACTGCTGTTGACTATACTTTGTGATGATCACTCAGCTACATTCAAGTTTGTTAACCTAATGAGCTTTTATGTTTGTTTTCCCCCTTTTCATGTTCGCCCTGTTAGGTGTGCGGCCACATCTGCAGGTGTTACAGTGTGGCTGCACAGTTTGAAGACTGCCGGGAAAAGATTGCCGAGCTTCCACCTATCATACGGGATCTCTGCAGGGTACTCTTCTTTGGCAAGGTTTGACATGTTTTAGATCAGTTATCTTCAACAATTGGATGTAATTATATTTAAGTATCCATTTAATTTCACGAGCAATTTAATTTTTGATTTAAAGCTTTCGTGACTGCAGTAATTCATATTCTTAGTTTTTTCGGTAAAGTCACGTTGAAGAGAAACAACAAAATAACAAAATATATATAAAACAATAAAAAATTCTCACGACGTTTCGACCATAACTCAAACGGTCATCATCAGGTGTGTCGGTTTGCATAATGCATAATGCAAACCAACGGTCATCATCAGGTGTGTCGGTTTGCATAATGCATAATGCAAACCGACACACCTGATGATGACCGTTTGAGTTATGGTCGAAACGTCGTGAGAATTTTTTATTGTTTTATATATATTTTGTTATTTTGTTGTTTCTCTTCAACGTGACTTTACCGAAAAAACTAAGAATATGAGCAATTTAATGTTAATGCGTCCGTTTCTATTTTCATAACTTTGAATGCATGCTTGTGCGCGCACGCACTGCGTTCCAATCTTCGGATGAGCCTAATGCCACCATTGGGCCTGTGGTTGCAGTACCTTCCTCGACTGGCTACAGTAGCGGTCGAGTGCGTGAGTGCCTTCGCCGTGGATTATTGGCTGCAGACGCACCTGCTCCAGGCCGGTGCTCTGTGGCATCTTCTCGTCTACCTCTTCAAATACGACTACACGCTGGAGGAGAGTGGTGTTGTGGCCAATGAGGAAACCAACCAGCAGGTCTCGCTTGCCCGACGGACATCGTAGACCCAGTACTGCCGCCCCTGTGCCCAAGTGCCTGTGGTCACGTCACAAGACTCGCACACTAACAGAGTGCTCACATGGACTTATGCCTTTGACCGGCATTTTTTTTGGCAGTTCCTTCATAAATCTTAAGAGGATGGATCCATCGAAGCATTCATATATGCGGAATATAATCTAACGTGTCTGTATGCTATAATGGAACATTTATTTTAACGTGACACTTCTGCCTTGCCTCTTGAACATGAAAACCGTTGTAATGTTGCGATTTGTTTAGCATTTGCTCATTGCGGTTGCTCATGACATCAGTCCACACGATGGAGCCTGGATAGATATTATGTAATCACAACCTTATTGTTGTTAATATATTTGTGCTTATTTATCAGGAGGTAGCAAACAACCTTGCCAAGCTGAGCCTGCAGGCGTTGAGTAGGCTTGGGGGCTATGCGGAGGGGGAGGGTGGCACGCCCGAGAACCCTGCCATCAAGCGCTGCCTCATGGCCATGCTCACGCCCTACGTGGCCCGCAAGCTGGGTCAGGGTCCTTCAGCTGAGGTACTATTCACACCTTTATTATGTTAAACACATGAACGGCAGATCAGATAGGTCCACCAAGATGCTAGAGCCTTATTCTATAGATTTTCTCAAATCCAAAATGTTCACGTACAGTGTTGTATTCTTAATATTCTGTTACATTCGCTTCAAAAGTACACCACAGAATTTCCCCGTGGTATAAAGAATTTTGTGTAGAATTTTCTCCAGTAACATATTTGTGCGGAGAATAATTTTCATTTTCTCCAGATGTTCACATCTCCGCCTGTACCTCAGTCCCCAGCGAATCGGATATATGCGACATAGCGTTTTTGTACCATGGTTTTTTTGTGCTCAGCCTCAGTGGGTCATCGGTGCCTCTTCAATCAACAGGTCCTCAAGCTTCTGAACAGCAACTCTGAGAACCCGTACTTGATCTGGAACAATGGTACTCGTGCAGAGCTCCTCGAGTTCCTGCAAAGTGAGCAGGACAGCATGATCAAGAAGGTGAGCTACTGAGCAGGGGTCTATACAGACACTTCTTGCACAGGATGCCACCTGTGCTCTCAACATCTTTGATTTAAATGCATGGCTATGAAGTCCCATTAGACAGAATATAATGCACGTTTTTGGATCACATCGTATTTATAATATGTGTTACATAGTTATAACAATAAAAATTAATTGTTTGGTCATTTGTTGATGCTAGATGAAGGCTTCCTGACTCAGTTTTGGGGATTGTTTGACCATACTTCGCCATGCTGGTCAGTGCAGGCTGGTAAAGGGGGTGATGACCAAGTAGGATATTATACGACACGGGTGTTAGCCACGGTATGGAAGCAAATTAAACTCGCTTCAGAGTAATAAGAATACTTTAATCAATTTTTAGTTATGTTTTTGATGAATTTCAAAAATTTTCACATCAGTGGTACTCTTTGATAGGCCAATTATGTTAAAAGATTGTATATGTAGCAAGTTATACTATTTGGAACACTTAGAGATCCACGATTTGGTGACCTACTTTGTTCCATTATCTAAAACTAGATTACATCCTTTCGAGACAATGGTGTTTCTGATAATTCCTGGGAAACATGAGCTGCAGAACAAATTGAATGATAGCAATGCAGTTAATAACAGTTAAGTAGCACATACAAATAATTTAATGTAACTGGGATGTATTTTTTTCACAGCTGGAAAGCGTTTTTTTACAGAACATCGTCTCGTTGTCATTCGTTTATTTTCATATTATAATCTGATTGCAGGTGTCCATTGGCAAGTGTTAGTGTCGTATGGGTCACATTTCAGTGAGGGTTGTGAGTTGACGCCGAGGAGGGGGGAGGAGCCTTCCCCTCCCCCATGTGGAGTGACGTCAGCCGCTAATTATTATGAATGTGGGGGGAGGGTCCATTTGGAGGACGACACCTGTTAATGATTATCAATGAGGGGGGCTGTTCTATGTGGAGTGACGCCACTTGCTCATGATTAGTGAGGAGGGGGGGGGGAGTACTCCATATTGAGTGATGTCACCCGCTCATGATTATTAATGAGGAGAGGTGGGGGAGTGTCCATTTGGAGGACATCACCTGCTCATGAATATTAATGAGGGTGCCTGGTCGAAGAACAGACATTCCTGGGTGATTATAGTCGGGATATCCTGAGAAAGCTGTACCTATATATTTGCTAGTTGTATGGTCAGACATGAGGCCCCTTTTGTCAGCATAACCTTGTGTAATGTGTGGGCCTGCATGTGTGTTTGTACAAGTTTAAATCCGCTCTTAAGTTGTCATGCATGCAGTCCCACAGTGGGCCAAGACAATATTGAAATTGATGTTCTGTATGCTTTGTTACCGTAATTAATATTTGCACAAATGAAGCGTGTGAGAAAGGAGGGTGTGGGAAATTAGGGACGTCAATCGAGTACATTAACAGTTATGAGTGCACTTCGTGTGTGAATGAGACGTGTACACTTTGATTCATTATATCTTTTGTTGGGACACTTGTGTGCATTACATTTGTGTGTTGGTTTTTTGCAGGGTGAATGTGACAAGTCATATGGCTCCGAGTTTGTGTTCAGTGACTATGCCAAGGAGCTCATTGTGGGGGAAATATTCGTACGAGTCTACAATGAACAGCCCACATACACTCTGGAGGTATCGCATTTGTTGACTTTTGTATAGCTTGATATGTTTATACATTGCCTCTTCAAGTCCTGTATATATGTGGCTGAAACCCCTTTGCAAAGAACCCAAACTTGCTTGGCTGTTTGGTGGCCAAATGACAGCAGTATATCTCGTACATTATTTAATCAGCCAGTGTGCAGTGTGAAGCAATGTCCCCACATATGCATGGGTCTTCTCCATACCCCCCATTGTCCTCCCACATACAACACACCCGTTAATAAAATTCACCAATCATTCTGGTACCACTGAAACCAGTATACTTTGACTCACTCCTTAAAATAGCAAGTAAATTTGTCCCATTTTAATATATACATTCGTCATCATCATGAATTATGATAGCATATTAAATGTGTCCCATTGTAATACCAGACGGTAGTGCAACACTCTTTTACACTTTCTTGAAACACGGCTGCACATTTGAAACAACCTCCACATGTAGGAGACTGCTTCACGGCCATGTTTAACCTCAGCTAATGTGCAGCGTTGACCACACGTGCTCGATTTTCTCAGCTGCCGAAGGTGTTTGCCGCGAGCCTGCTCGACAGCCTGGGCTCACAGGCTCAGTACCTGCACACCCTCATGGCCATCAACCAAGACCGCAAGGTGGAGACGGAGCAGCAGCTGGAGCGGCTGAGCCGCGCTGAGATGGGACTCGAGGCCCTTCGCAACGTCATCAAGAACAACCCAGGTGTGCGCTTATCTCATGGGGGGTCATCTGTGTTAGGTATGTAACGACGAATCGATTCATCGACTGAAAATTAAATCCTGTGGTTTGCGATACATGATTTGAATGGTGCCTGTAAGCATTGTTTATTTTAGATTTGTATATGTTTGGTTCATGTAACCTCTGCACGTTCACCGTAATATTAAGCACATCTTAAATCAAACCATGATCCCAAATCCTGACAATTCATCAGTGTTGAGGAATGGGGCAAATCATTACATTCATAGCATGTAAGACTGTATCAGGTGCATTACCTACTCTGGAATTGTGGTTTTGTGTCCTCTTTGTAAACACTCATTAATGGCCGATAACACCTTAATGTACTGTTCTCTCTCTTCTAGAGCGCGTGAACACGGGGGTGCATATTATAACTGGAATAATAATTATTATGATTTTAATTGCCCGCTATCATGCCTGTTTCAGGTACATTAAACTCTGACTTCCAAAGAGTCCTGAAACATAACAGTGTATAACAATTGAGATAATTAAGAGATATAAGTGAACATTTTTTCCATTATACTCTGCAGTCCTACTTTGCAGTTCTTCCATCTGCTTTTGACAGCAGTCCTGCTAAACATTTGATCCATAGAATTATTGGCTTGTGGTAGGAAAAGTGAGACAATTTTATATATATGCATACTATATGGTAAAATCGACTTGTAAATGCGATTCCATGCACATTGCAATCAAACTATTTCATATTCTTTTGTTCTTTTGGTAACGTCACGTAGATAGAAAAAAAACTATTTCATTCCACAAAGCATTGCAGAAAATTAACATGCTGAAATCAATAGGTAAACTCCATCTCCTCATTCAACCATGTGTGACCACCTTCTTGGTTCTTTGAAGGAGATGTAGAACCCCACCAAACAGTTTTAGCATATATCATTAAAAATACTCCTGCTGCTGTTCTACCTTTACACCCTCTTGACATTCCAATTACACAAGACCATCGCATGTCGGGTTAAGCAAACTGTTTTATTCCTTGCCAAAATAAGGCAATGTGCTTGCAGCAATGCGAGCACGGTGTGGTAATGGCATACCATGGCATACCATTGTATTTTGAAATGTGGGCATCAACTCGAGCCATGAACTCTCTGTCTGCGCAGGCACGGAGTCTGAATGCATCGGCCACTTCAAGCTCATCTTTTCTCTACTGCGAGTGCAGAGTGCTGGCTCCGTGCAGAAACTTGCGTTGGAGGTGTGTGTAGCAGCTGTTAATGTAAAAAAATAATGCACTTAGTTAATCCACAGTGTCTTAAGGGGGGGGGGTCCTGCATTGCTACGTATGGCCAGTTCACTTTGCGAGTGTTTGAATGTGGAAAGAAATCCGTTCTTGGGAAAAAAAGCCCTACATATGAAAGGCACGGAGCTCAAAGCTCCTCAGATTTGATAATCCATTGCTGTAGCGTCATCTCCTGGCCAATTCGCAGCCTAATCCTACAACACCTGGAATTCCCTCGCAGTCTCCTCCCCATAATACCAACCAGATTCCACAGTGTTTAGCGTCTGAGATCTGATCAAATGGGATGCATTCAGGATTATTTGGTCATAGGCATTAAATGGCTTGTGGTGCAACGATTCCTTGAATAACATAAATTATTGTAGCTCGCAATGTATGTACCGAATTATTCATGTTTTAATTGAAATTACACGCTATGGAACCGGAAGCCAGTGAAGCTTCCGGAGTCCATGGTCATATCGCCTATATATGCCAATGATATATTAATGTTACATTTAGGCGAATTAATTACTCAAAACTGTACAAACTATATGTAAAATTACGAGAATCACTATGAATAAAATGGTAAAAACTAATCTACGCTGAAACCATTAATGAATCAAACCACGACACTAAATCATGATTTGTTAAATTTCCAGTGGTAGGTGTGGTGAGTTTTTGGCAGCATTGCAAAACTATATAGCAACAATGCCTAGTTTTCATTAAGTGCAATATATAACTTCCAAGATGCATAGGTTTATATAAAAAATTAAACGTTATTTGGATTGTTTACATTTTTTTCAATGTTTCAAAAATTTCATGTTCATATTTTATATTTAAATCAATGCAAGTTTGAGTGAATTATGTGCTGACAAGTTTTTTTTTGCTTGTGCATGCCTAATATATTGTGTCACAGTGTTGAAATGCGCAGATGCAATGTTATTCATTCATATTTGTTTTTGCAATTACTTTATGATGGTACATGGCAGGGGTGATGATGTTTACAAATGTCAGCAGCGGTCACCGTACCATACCGGTATTTCGGTTAACTTGGGTCAGAAAACACCTTGGTTTGCACAGGTGCAGCCTTGGTAGAACCAAGTGGTCAGATATTTTTAATGTGAAGTAAATTGCAGTTTTTTATGAGGTTTCCTCTTTGGTCACAGCTCTTTATCGTTACTGCATTCTAGTAAATGTACCAGTGCAGTGTGGGACTACCTGATTGGTGAGTTTGTTATTTAGAGATGGTTTTCAAGGGTTAGAAATTAACAATGACAAGCCGACTTGAATGCTCGTTATTGTGACTGAAAACTTTATCGGAGATATTACTGCTTTGCAAAAACCTCAATAGACTTAAGAGTGCTTTCTGTCTCTTATCATTTCTATTCATAAATTTTAAAACACCCTTCTGGAAGCAGTTGGTAAAACAAATGAAAATATGTATTTATGTTATGGTGTTGTCTTTTGCACTGCAGGTGATTAATAACGTAGCGAGCAACCAGGAATGTGTGAACAGTATTGCCGACTCGCTCGTGCTGGCCAATCTGCTGCTGTTGCTGCATTCCCTACTCTCCAGTGAGTGACGGTAACTGTTGTCGGCACTCCACAACAAACACAGAGCCTTAGATCACAACTCAGAAACTGCATCAACAAACCATTATGCTGTTTGCTCTCTTTACTACTCTTGGACCAAGCAAGAACCTTTCCACTGTCCCTGACATTGTGGCCATAGCTGACAATAAACTGCTAGGTTCTGTTCCAACAATTAATGTCAGTCGGGCCACAGACGCAGCGTTGTGATCACACCTGGAATTAATCATTGACAGTTTCCGGTTAACTTGAATAACTGAGCAATCACTGTAGCCAGTAACGCCCAGTATGTTGTGTGATCCAGCAAGTGAAATAAATGTTGTTTTCTGTGTTGCCTTGGTAATTATATTTGCTACAAATTTCACATAAATACAATCTACCTCTTTATTTGTGATACAAAGGAAGGTCCATTGCTCAAAATGTTTACTATTATATACATGGTTTCCTTTGAAGACAGTATTATTGATGAATGTGATACTTAGCAATGCAGCATGCTGCTTTACAAGTAACATGTTCAGGGCTGGTCACTATGAAAGATTAGCCATCCCAGTGCTGTTCATTAGGTGTACATAAAGCCAGTTTGTATCAATGTTGTTTTCCTGCAGGCCGTCAGCTCGTCCTAGAAACACTGTATGCACTGACTTCCAATACCAAGATCATCAAAGAAGCGATGGCTAAAGGTGTGCTTTAGAACTATTTGCATTTCCTTGTGTTTAAAAAAAAAAACATTTTATGCATGACAATTAGTGCAATAATTTAATGTAAAATGTTAGGGTTTTGATATTTATGTTTTGGCTTATTGTTTCCAACCTTTAGGAGCTCTCATCTATCTTATGGACTTGTTCTGCAACTCAACCAACCCTCAAATTCGGTCCCAGACTGCTGAACTCTTTGCCAAAATGACATCCGATCGGCTCATTGGACCTAAGGTGAGAGCTGCTCAAGTTTGTTTTCTGGTATTGGGGATAAACAATGCGCCACGACGCTCATTGATAGAGCACGTTTGTTGTTACCTTACCAGGCTGACCCAGGACCATAAGTGACGATGTGGATCAAGGTTAAGCATGCGTGTTGTTTTGGCTTCGTTCAGGTTCGAATCATCATGTCCAAGTTCCTCCCAAGCGTGTTCATGGACGCCATGCGAGATAGCCCAGAGGCAGCGGTGCACATCTTCGAGGGCATGCACGAGAACCCCGAACTCATCTGGAATGACAATGCCCGCGAGCGCGTGTGCTCCACCGTGCGTGACATGACGCTCGAGTGAGTGAGCCCGTGCGTGCACCTGGGGGTTGGCGGGCGCGCACAAGCCATGGCGCGGCGCTCATGCATTATTTACGCGGAATTGTTGAAATGGGAAGAATGAGCAAGTTCACTGTTGTCACTGCTAGGGTTCCCCATGCCTATGCGGCCAAATTGGATCCACCTGCACATGCTGGTCCAACGTTTTTTTTATGGCAAGTTCTAAGAAAATTAACCCGTAAAGCAGGAAGGACTTTCAAAAGGACTGATTGAAATTGTTTTCTGCATAAGTCAAGTACAAAAAAAATGGAAGGTCATATATTTATATTTGTCATGCATACGTTATGATGGGTTTTTTTTAAATTATAAATATGAGTTATCGATTATTGTTTAGTATTGATGCTCAAAAAATTCCAGCGCAATCGCAACACCTTGGAATTTTCCTTGTGGTTTATAATTAATATTTTACAGCCGTTTGTTAATCCATTGCTGGATGAAGGTCTTCCCCTGCAATGTTGGTTGTGGGAGTTTGGCCACACTTGACACTGCTCAGTGGGGGTTGGTGAAGGCAGCGGTGGGTCCCAGGACCGGTGCAGATATTTGGCGCACTCCTGTTAGCTGTGGCCCAGAATGAAGTCAGATCACCGGGTTCATAGCACAGTGTGCTAATCACTGTGTTACCATTCCCCTTAGTGTTGTTTGCCCAAGGTAAAATCTGCAAAACACGATGTGGATTTGTAAGGAATCTGAATACAGTTGTGTCTTAAGATTTAAGGCATTGCGCAATGGTGCTATAATATATTGCAGAATAGAAAATATTGTTTCAATGTGACATGTCATGAAAAAAAATGTAATGAGAAAAAATCACCATGGGAATCTATCACGTTTTAAGCCAAGACATTTAGTGACGATGTACTCTTTTTTTTTTTTCCAGGCACTACAAGGAGCAATTTAACAATCTGGATGTAAACTGGAAGGTGTGTGAAATGTACCCTGGGGTTATGTTTTTCTTGAGACCACACATTGCAAGTGTGTGTGTGTTTGTACATTGAGATGGGTGCAATTCAGCACAGCCTGCACCCATTAACAATTTATGTAGCTCTTAAGCTTAGTAACTGGACTGTATATGGACTTTGCACGATTGTTTCCGTTATGTGTGTAATGTACATAGTTCATCCGTCACTTAAAATAAGACACGTCTATTCCACATGTGTACTCTGAGAGGGAAAAACCCTAAACACATCCTGGTGCCTGAACTTGATTTGTCCAACTGTGATGTCCTGCCGCAGCTGCCGGATGACTTCGCGGTGGCGTACAACGAGGTAGAGGACGAGCTGGTGGTGGGTGGAGTGTTCCTCCGCATCTTCGTGGCGCAGCCCGGGTGGGTGTTGCGCAAGCCAAAGGAGTTCCTGGTGGCGCTCCTTGAGAAGCTCACGGAGCTGCTTTCCCGGAACAACCCACACGTGAGTTCCCCCGACGATGTCTCTCGCCCCCTTCATTGACGACTGCCACCCATCTAACCACTCAAAGCTAAACCTTTACACTCGTTTCCTGTCAACCGTTATGTTGTGCTGCCATTGCCTTTCGGTTAATGGGTAAGGAAATGCTGTTGCATGCCAATTTTTTTTAAATATTAAGTACTTTCATTTTATGTAGTATAATTCATGCTAATCGTATCCCATAACGCTGTATATATATCCAATTTTAAATAAATTACATTGATTTATTTCTGTCCTGTGTATAACAACGCAAGGGCATTTTGTAAATCTAGATATATTTGTGTATTACTTTTTCGTCCTGAGCGTTGAGGCCAATTGTTAGGAACTTTTGTGAGTCCTTGGTGCAGATCCATGCCACGAGAAGAGGAGGGGAAAGCACACAATCGACCATTCAGCACCTCTCTTCATTTCCTGACCTATTCTATCTGCACGAAACCCTGTTCTAATTTTTCAGGGTGAAACACTGGAAACGGTGACGACAGCAGCCGTGGCTCTGCTTAGCACCCAGCCCCAGCTTGCCGAGCAGCTGCCTCCCCTCGGCCACCTTCCCAAGCTACTGCTGGCGCTGAACCACCGCAATAATGCCATCGCCAAGTCCGCCATCCGCATCGTTCACGTCATCTCCGACAGCGAGGTCCGTCCGGCCAGCTGGCGCATTTGATACTTAACAAGCTGAGCCGATGTCTCTGCAGATGACAGAGCTTTATGCTAAGGACAACACCTAACTTTCTACAGGTTTCCCTCGCTTTGTGGTAGATGCATTCCAAAAAAGGGGCATGAAAAGCAAAATCGCGTAGCATAGACCACACAGTGACCCAACCCTCGATGCACCGTATGTATGTATACGTGTTTAAATTATTTTGTACCATACGTATCCAACCGTGCACAAGACAGCTGCTAGAAGCATATAGAGTACAGACATTTTTGTCCCACATCCTACGGCATGGCCCCATATGAGTGAATTCAAACTGCATTTAGCTAAATCAAACAAACAACCCACAAAGCCAGGGAAACTTGTATTAACTTTCAGATAATTAGAGGCAAACTAAAGCTGCCACTGCATGACATGCTCTCGTGCATGTGTTAAAACCTCAAGGAATTTTTCTTGTTTTGTACGTTTCTTGCTCCTGATGATCACAAACCCTGGTCTTGGCCCACATCTCCCCATACAGCTGTGTGTTCGAGCCATGGCATCGCTGGACACCATCGGACCTCTCATCGTAGCCATGCGCAGCCGCACAGACATGGTTGGCTTGGCGTGTGAGGCGCTCAACAGAATGTTTCAGAAGGACCAAACCGACCTCGTGGGCCAGGTGAGAGAGAGGGTGCAATGTGGATCGTTCATCGCGTGCAGATTGTCGCAACGTCTGCTACACCTTGTGAAAGCAGCGTTCTAGTAACCTATGCGGTAATTCGGCAAAGCACACCATCATAAAACCCCTGTGTCATTGTTTGTATGGCTAAAGTCATTGTGTATTAATTCCATAGCCCAAATTACCTGATTTAAAAAGCTTGTAAACTAAGTTTTTAAAATAGAGATCCCTGCAGAACAAGTGACTCGGATGTCTTGCAAAACATTTATTTATTATTACATCAGATGAAATAATTTGTATGAATGTAAAATCATATTATAATCATGAACTCTATTATAAGACTACAGTATGCTCTTTTATATGGTAATGCATAGGTTCATGGTTGTCAATTCCATCCCATTGAAATGTCCTGCTTGAAAGCATGAGCAAAGGTGTGGGTCAATTTGTGTTGGCAGGCCTTAAAGGCAGACCTGGTGCCATACCTGCTGCGGTTGCTGGAGGGAATAGGGCTCGAAAACACGGAGAATCCAGCCGCCACCAAGGCCCAGGTGGTGAAGGCCCTCAAGGCGATGACTCGCAGTCTTCAGTTCGGCGAGCAGGTCTGTTTTGTACACACGCAGATGCAAAAAAAACAAATAATTGCTGCCAAGAACATTTTAAAAACCAGTGTAGCGACCAGTGCGGTGGAGTGGGCCAGCACAATCCCGAGCGTGTGTTCCTAATGTTAATCGTTATCACACTGCATTAGGTAATTCTTTTAGGCTTCAGTCAACCTATTTGGGGGGGGGGGGGTGACCATACCAAATAATAATTGAGCTTCATATTCTATTTTCCACCAGTGTTGTGTATGTCAAGAAATTAAATCCTGAATGCCAGGATCATAGCATTTTGAACCAACACTCCCCCTCTGAAAATCATACTTTCATGACTTTTAGTCTGTATTTCTAAGATGAATTACTTTGCAGTGTGTCATACGGTGTTAAGAAATTGTTGAAATACAACAAAACTACAGAATTCTGTCTTAAAGCGAGACAAACACAGATGCCTAATTCTATCCTGCTCACTAAACTCAATTCTTGATAGGGTTTTCTTAACTTTTTCTGCATACATGATCTTTGAAAGTGCATGTATTATCGGTCAGTTTTATTCCTGTGATGCTAAAGTCAAATGGACCACTTTCCGTGCTTGCCATGCGTGCGTGTTTTTTCTCCAGATCACTGAAATCTTGTCTCGCTCCACTGTGTGGAGCGCCTACAAAGACCAAAAACATGACCTCTTCATCTCAGAAACGCAAACAGCTGGCTATCTCACGGGTAAGGTGTTTGCTGTGTAATATATATTTATGGTCCTGCCATTTAAAGCCGAGTGAAAATGCACGTAGCTTGGATGCCAATCTTACACTGCTCGTTATGTTTTTTATGCTATAGTCTGACTTGTGCGAGATTGTGCATTCCCTGATAGAAAGAATATGAAGCGTTATGTTGAACATAAGGATTTTTCAAACACATTATACTTTATAAGCTAATTGTGACCTTTTCTTAGGTCCTGGAGTTGCTGGCTATCTGACCGCAGGGACAGCCTCCACGATGGCACCCAGCGCCCCACCCCCCATTGACACGGAGAGTGGGGATCACCTGGGATGATGTCATGCAGCCACTCATGCCAAGGAGGGGCAAGACTGGCAGCACCATCTACACCAGCCTTGTTATCTTGATACACCCATCAAACATTTACACTTGTATACACACAAACATGCACTGAAGCACACTCACACTTTTACAGCCTCTTGTCAACTGAAGTGTTTTGGGAAATGCTGTTAGCAAGTAACTTTTTTCGTAAGCTGTACAATAATGGAGTTGATGGGGCCAGACACGCGCGCTGCTGCCTGGGTTACTGGCGATTGCACACCATGTCAAGTTGGAGATGATCTAGAAGAAGGGCTGCGCAAGAAACAAATGGCAATTGCTGCTGAAGTGCATGGGCAGGGATCAAACCAGGTAAATTTATATTGCAGAGCAATGTTGTAACGACCATCAAGCTTCATACACACCTATATACATATAAACGCACAACCACCAGGATCGTATGTGACCATGCCAAGCCTAGCAGTACTGCATTTCACTTTACATGGAGCAAAGGAACAACCCACCCCTATTCTCTATAACACCATCCCACGCTTTAAAACATTGCATTTATGAGCCCACTCCCAATGCACATTGGAATATAGTTCCTCAAGCCACATGCTGGACTCAGCGATTACTCACACAGCTAAGATATGTAGTTTTAATGTCGAGTTCTGTTACTGCAATACAAAGTGGGCTGCAAACCACTAAATATATTTAACAACGGTTATGCGAACCTTTGGCACTCATCTTCTGGAAGAGTCCTCTGGTCTCAAAGAGACCCATTTAACCCACCAACCACATATAGACTCCAGAGCATAACCATGGCTTCTGCACATAACTTATCATGTACGAGTGGTGGTGCGTCCACTGCTTCAGCTAACGCAAAGCAAACAGAAATATAAGTGAAGTTTAGGAGCTGATCTGCCGTTTAGTGTGCCATGAGAGTAAATGCTGCACTTCCAGCATGAGTTTGCCATTGGTTTACAATTTGTAGAATATTGCTTGTCTGCCCACATTGTTTTGTGTGAAGGAGCCCAAACTTTACAGTCATCATGTGTGATGAGCAACAAATGCCTCTTGTGATAACGAAAAAATAAAAACTTGTTACTGCATGAGCAGTTTACTGTCTTAAGGCATCACTGGACTTTCAATGGGAACCATTGACAAGTGATGTAAAATTAATTAATGGAGGCCTCTTCACTCGTAGCATGAGGTGAAGCGCTTGTAACATTGCGTTTGTCAATGAATGAGTAGCATTTATAAAGGTGACCTTGTCCTGTCGTTTCATCTGGTATGGGTTTTAGCCCAGGGTATTTGAAATTACAGTCCTGCAAAATGGATGTAATTGCAATGACATAGCCGCAAAGCAAGTTGTTTTGATGCACCGCAATTATGTTCCAGTTAGTGACAATGTGAAGGACCGTAAGCATCTCAGATTTATCAACACGCTCGTTCGACTTATCATTGCGACGAATGTTGGCCATGGTTTGCGGGGGAGGGGGGGGGGGTGTACTGAAATAAATGGTGGTGGCACTGTTTACATTATGTAATTTATCAGCCCTAAACAGTACTGCAATACAGGTTTCCCTCGCTTTATGTGGGTTTGGTTTGTGCGATTTCGCGAGTATGCAGCGAAACCAATTTCTACCCAAAATATACTGTGCGATTTAAATTCACTCATACGGCTATGCGGTCGGACGTGGGACTATTGTGTATTGTTTGCTCTACTCGGCAGGAAGCTGTCTTGCGGTTTTGCTTTTGTGTGCCCTTGTAACGCATATACCGCATAAATCGGTTGAAACCTGTACCACAAAAAAAACGCAGCAACCGTTAAACTCATTAATGAGTCAAATTAATAAATAAAATTTTACACTAACATTACATTTTAAAAATAAATTTCCACCTTGCTGCCAAAATCAAAGCCCATTTTTTATGGTGTCAAGGCTTATATAAGCATTATACCAATATAAAATACTGTGATTATATCCAAACTTAGTGTCTTTGTACAAGCATTTTGTGGATTGAAATTCGTGATAATGAGAATTTGAAGAATTATATTTGCAGGTCTGCCCACTACTTAATTTAAAAGTGACTTCGTAAAAGGATGCCAATGTGTTGATTTTAACTGTTACAAGATAAAATGCAGGACCGTGCAGAATTAAAGAAGAGCCAATTGCATTTGTGTCTAATAGAACTCACTGGTAATAAAAGGATAGCATTATAATAATGCAGTTATACGATTGTTAATAAAGACAAGGCAAAATTATTTTTTCTTGTATGTATCAAATAATGATTGGAAAAAGGTTTATTTTTTTTTCTTTACCAACTGGTGCAATTGTAGTGTCTTCAATGTTATGGTATCCTGTAAAGATTTATATCTGGAGAAAATGGGAATTCTGTTCCCCATGTACATACTTTGATTTTATGAATAAACCTGCACTTAGAATGGAACTATTGTCTGTGCACTCGCAGTTCATAGGGCTACTTGTATTACAGGTGAAGATGTGGACTGTAAAACAGATTCCTGGAAGTACTCATTCGTCTTACTTTGAAAGACTGATCTGCATGCCCCGCACTCAGTGAATTTTGTAAAATACGACCATTTCCTATGTCAGCGGGTTGTCCTGCTGTATCGGTGCCATCTGATGAAGGTCGCTTGTGTTACGATCAAAACGTCGTGATTTATTTTATTTCTAACTACGTGACTTTACCGAAAGAACCAAAGAGTACGACAGTTGATCATGTTATACAGAGGTGTGGTAGCTTTACACAATCCGCACACCCTATACTGTAAGAGAAAAGTATGGAGAATGGGTAGAATTTCTCACTCGGTTGTCAGAATCTTAATTTAGACTAGAGGAATCCGATGAGCTATGAAGTTCTTCGTCACAGATGGCCTGGTCCCCATCCTCGAGGGTTATTCCTGTGTAGAGTATGGTTCAACCAGAAGTGGGTGGGATGTAGAGTACAGGGTGTGGTCCCAGCTATCTTAAAGGGTGGTTTGAGGTTGCCTTGCAATAGGCATGGGATGTGTTGCATACCTTCGTGGACCGGACGCAGAAATACTCAGCCAAGTTCACCCAGAATTCCCAAATAAAGCAAGCAGAAATCATGTGTAAGCAGTGGAACACTTGAGCCATGTTGTAAAGGATTCGTACTTAATTCCCTTTGCAACTGAATGCACACAACGCCCGTTTATGTTGCAATATCGAGTGAGCCAGCGCTGGAGTGACACCCGAGTAGGAGGGTGCAGCAGGTCGCTTGTCCCGACGAGGTCGTCTGCGGTCGTCCGGTGCGTGGATCAACGTTGCGAACGTGACGCAACAGCGCGGTCTTGGTTGAGCGTATGGGCGGTGTCAAGGGGGCTTGGGACGCGCCGGGCACAAGGGGGCCTCGCTGGCGTCGATTCCGGAGGCCAGTGTTCTTCACTAATTTTCAGAGGTGGCGGGGGGGGGAGGCACTTTTGCCGATAAGATATCATCAGTGTGAGGGCCGCCACACCGTCTGCAAGGAGTGTTTTCACTCTTTGTGTAAAGGTGGCCGCCAGTTACCCTCGGGCCGTACATAGAAACACACTGCGCTCGGACACTGGGAAACGGTTCCCAAGCATTTCGAGTGCACGGATTCCTTTTTGGAACTTCCAAAACATTACGCGGACCACCAAATTGCTAATACAGGTTTTTTTTTCAATTGTACAATTCCTTGGTGGAGATATTATTTTTGTTCTTTTTTTTCTTCCACGGACCCCACCTTCTATGAGCTCGCGAGGCTATATCACGAAAGGAATCGCTGCTCCGAGGGAGAGCGGGCGAAGAGTGGCGCTCTGCGGATCTTCTTCGTGGGGGCCACAGCGCCACCTCGTGGGTCGCTACCCGCCGTGGTGCCGGTCTCTCTGCGGGGTGCCGGGTCTCTCTGCGGAGTTCGGGTCTGGGCTTCTTTACGAGTTCTCTCGAAGCGATTACCCACCCTTCACGTGGATTCGCAACAACGCGGACGTGCCCCAGTAAACGACTCATTCGAGACCCAACCATTAATTTTTGCCCCTCGTTGTGGCTCTGCGATTTCCCAACCATCGACCGCGTCGGAACATTGGGCAGGCTGATGTGCACATCTTCTTCAATAGAGCTGCTTTTATGTGGTTAGTTTGTTGTCCTTCCACCCCATATCCGATTATCACGGTGCGATAGAAGTTCAACATGCATTTAATAAATTGAAAATTAAAGACAAGCCACCTTAGTGCGAATGTGGCCATGCAACCCAAACTATGGCCCATATACAGGGTGGTCTAGGTGTCTTGTGACCCCAATTTAATTCTATATAGCTTTTTTTTAAAGTAAGGTTTATTTAAAACATAAATTAATATGCAAAGTAAAAAAATTATGAGGGGTCAATTAATTCTGTTGTCACAAGGGAGGAGGAGCAAAACGACACGAACTCTCTCCCGAAGCCCTCTCGTGTACCCCTGTGAAAATACCTCTTTTGTGTTTGTGCATTGGTTATTGTTGAGCGCACGTTCTGTTCTGGTGACCGCAGGTTCACCGGAGAAATTTGCTCCGGGCAAATGAGGTAGATTGGCTGTGTCCAGGCGCGGCTGCAGTCAGGAGTCATAGCCACAGGTGCAAGGGGATTCCTAAGAGTGGGCCTTTGGCGACATCCTGTCAGCAATAGTGAGTGTGTATTAACTCCATTACTGCACAAGGTTACTATGAGGAGGTTAATAATGAGGTTAATAATGAGAGTGAGACTTTTTTTTTTGGTGGGTGGGAGTGTTGGTTCATTCCGGAGCATCACACAAATTGGATCGGTATTCGGTTTAAGTTGCAGGAAATTTACGGTTGAAACCGGTTTTCATTTCCAGTTTTCGATTCTCCTCTTCCTAACATAAAACTACCCAAACATTCCGGTAATTTTAAATAATGAACATTGGGACCGTGTGCTTGCTTCACCAAATAGAGGATTTACTATTTACCCCGCTGCTCCCTCCCTTTGATTTTTATTTACAGAGCTCGCCTTGTGCAAACCCTGAGTGAGTGTTTCAACATACCCACGCCAAACAATGTGAAACCTCATTGGCAAGAGCAACGAGCTTCTAATTATTAACCTATTGTAATTCCTAAAGACTATCGTTTATTTGGCCAAGCACCAAGTTTTTCTCCATTCATCGAATGCGCAATTTGTAATTACTCTGTTTGCATTTGAATGAAGTCAAGAATTTAGAAAGGTGCCCATGCACGGTGGGAATGTTGAGCTCTCCCGTGACGTGATGTCGCTGCAACTCATTTGCAACATAATGGGGATTTGTTTGGAAGCTTTAATTAAAACAAAAGTCTTATTTCACCTGTGGGAACACGCGACCTATGATGGCTATTACACATCTCTGCATTATACCGATATATTTAGCACGGTATATATGTATGTGCATGTTCTTGTATATTTTAAATAACTATAAATTACCAACGTGAAAGCTATACAGTGCATAATGTAACGTAGCACGTGTGATTCGTGATCGGCATGTCTCAGAATATCACACTTAACAGTGATTATTTACAGCCCTTTATCATACCAATGCTGGATCAAGCGCTCCCAAAGCCGTCGCCAACTCTCACGTGCCTGCGATTTGCTACCAATCCACCTAACGTACTCACAGCTACAACACTCCAGCTGTGATTCACTCCATCCACTCCATGGACACCGTCAGAGATGCTTTGCAGTACGTACATTGCTTGTCCGGCACCAACGATTTTATTGACCCGTAATCAACATCCTCACTTAAAAAACGTAACTTCATTAACCTGCATGGATGCATCACCTAATCCACAAGTTGTAATTTATTTGTGACCGCTATCAATACAGTAAGCTTGTACACATCTCTCTCACACACACACACGCACCCAACGACTCTTTGTGTTGAGTAACGGAGGAAATTGAGTGCGTGTTGTAATCGACATTCAGTGTATTATCAGCAGTAAGGCTTTGCTTGAACCAATGCTGGTGAGTGAACTTGCCAAATGTTTTTTTGGCGAGGCATGGGGCACCCTGCGCAGTTAACCAGCACTGGCTCACGCAAAACCTGACCGCTGAATGTCCAAACCGGTCCAGGGTGGTAGTGCTTTGTGTTGTGCTAATAATTAATTAGACGCGCCCCCAGAAGACCGCGTGGGCCGATGGGATTAAAAACAATTTTGCATATTCATGCGCTGTGAAGGGTCATTGCCCGAAACGTCGTATAGTACGTGTGTGTATACATATTTCAAAGCAGTGATACGGGGTGTTGAGATTGTTTGTTGTTCGTCCTAAACGTGAATATCAGTGTGTCTGTTTAACACGGAGGCTTTTGCAACCAATATTCATAATAAAGTTTTTTTGGGTTAGATCGCGGAATTATGAATGTGTCGTAACCCTCCACCACAGCCAGGTTTGCCATGTAAACAACGCGCCACTTAGTTACTACTGCAGCCCACCGGTGTGTTCGAGAGTACATCCACAACATTTACAATTTGAGTACGACGTTACGCTGGTAATTACATCCAGCATCATCGGGGGATTTGCCAGAATAGTGAAGCAATCCACCTGCTTCCGGTCTTTAAAAAAAAACAACCTTTATTATGAATAGTGTCTGCTCATCTACGTCGCGAGTCCGCGCTACAGTTAATTCTCCACCACCACCAAAAAAAAACCCCCCACAGAGGTGCTGTTACATTTTGAGCCCCAGTCCGTCGCCATCTCTTCTGCTCGGGGCAATGCGGTAAACACGTGGACTCCCCAACGCAGCTGCCGTGACGTCGCTCCCTGGGCGAGGGTGACGTCACCGCTCCCCGCCACGCCCCCCGCCACGCCCCCCCGCGGCACACCGCCGTGTAAACACGCGGCGCCCGCTGTGTGGCCATCAGTGGTGGCCGTGGTGGTGGTCTGGTGGCCGTGGTATAAGAACGTGGGCCGCCCCCCCCCTCTCATGTTGTTCGTATCCGGAGGAGTGAAGAAAACAAACCCCGCAGTAGCCGGCGAGAGACGATGAACGGTACGTGAAACGCCGTCTCGATCGGTGTTGTTATTATTATTAAGTTATCGCGTGGTGGTGGTGGTGGTAGCGGCCCTCTCGTGGAGTTCGTGTCTCCCAATTCGGAGGAGAAAAAACAAACCACCACCACACAGTAGCCGGGCGAGAGACGGACATGACCGCCGTTCGGTGTCATCGTCGTCGTCTTTATTGTTGAGTTAAGACGGCGTGTTGCCGCTTGTTATCGCACTTGCCTCGCGTTAAATACAGCCCGTAGCTCTACGGCAACGTGCCCTTTGTTGACGCTAACTCGGGGGGATGGCGATGATGATGCTGGTGATGGGAAGGTGGAGGGGGGGGGGTGTTTTCGTGCTGTATACTGCCTCGTGTTGGTTTTGTTGCAGCAGTTAAAAAGGTCACGGCGTCTCTTTCCCCTACATCCGAGAATCTCAGATCTCGAGTTAAAGGCGCTGTTAAACAATTTCCCTATCGCTGCCAGGGACCTAGAAGGTTTTTTTTTCACCTCCGAGGTTGTATCTGTATTTAAGAGTACTCGCGACTAATTTAAATGTAATCGATGTACAAGCCCTTTTTGTCAATCTACTGCTGGATTAATTTCTTCTCTACTTTCTCCCCGCGCGTCATTGTGTGTCGTTTGTCCATACTTCACCACCCTTGTCAGTGCGTGTTCGCCACTGATGTTAATCTGGGCCTTATAAAGGTTAAATTTTGATTTAAAGCTTTCGTGACTGCAGGGATTCATATTCTTGGTTCTCTCGGTAAAGTCACCACGTAGAAGGGAAACAATAAACAATAAAATAATATCAAAATAATATAATTTTATTGTTTCCCTTCTACGTGACTTTGCCGATAGAACCAAGCATATTTATAAAGGTTGTTTTATCCTTGTGTTTTATTTAATTGTATTACAGTCGTAATGCTTGTGGTATCGAGATAATTTGGCTGTAAAGGCTCAGTGTTTCAAACATGTTTACCGTTTACATTTTACAAGGCCACCTTCACTCGGCCTGAAATTAAACACGTGTGTCAATAATAACATCTACATACCGTAGTCATGGATTTTAAACAGACTTGTATGCTTGTATTCTTATGGACCAGGCCATAAAGAGAGGTGCTGTCTGGTGTAGGCCAATCCGTTTAGAAGACAATGCTTACATAATTTATTATCAGAGCATGTTTTGTTTGCATGTTTACCACAAGTACGTGTGGTTAATGCAGACTTGATTCCTTGCAAGAGGTATCTCTTTGGTGTTTGAATATATTAACACCTTTTTTTATTGCCAGAAAGGGTAAACGGCTGTTATTTTCCATAATACTCGTAGTGTTTGTTTACCGTGTCTATGGGATTTGGGGATGTGGGTTTCTTTGTCTATTTCTGGGTGGTGAAAAGAGAGGGGGCCCACTCACTGGGTCCACGTGTTGCCACAGTTGGGAATTGAATCCTGCGTGTTGGGGCACTTAGAAACATGCCTTTAGATTTCATATTCTTTGGGTCTTTCGGTAAAGTAACGTAGATAAAGTCACCTAACTAAAAAAAAGATTTTTTTTGTTTATTTTATATTTATTCTTTTTATTAATTTGTACCTATCTACGTGACTTTACCGAAAGACCCAAAGAATATGAATTCCTGCAGTCACGAAAGCTTTAAGTCAAGATTTATGCATTTAGATTCTTTTGCTTGTATACATGTCCCACACTAATCCACTTTTTTGAGCTATTTGTGGCCAGATCGCTTCTGAAAAATCAGCTAATAGACTCGGTGGGTTTTACTTGGTAAGATAATAATAAAAAAATAGTTTAGTCTTTATTTGTATTTTCTATTGCATTGTTTACGTTTCCTATACTCTGCACTCTTATCGTGTACTGTATTTTTATTGTTGTGTAACGTTCTTATCCGCCCCCTACTGAACAAGTGTGGAAAAAAGAGCGCTATAGCTCATCGGATTCCTCCAGTATAACTATTCTGATGCAGGCTTCGAGGGGGGGGGTGGCATGGGAGCCGAAGCACCACGGGACAATGAGGGCATTTTCATTCGTTTGTAATGCAGCGTGGCAACGTGTCTACGGCTACTTGGGGGGGGGTGATGGGCTGAACATATTCCAAAGTACTGGCTTTGCATCGGCGTTGGCCTGGTACAGTACTGTGTAAGGGATTTAACGTTGAGTACACCAGCAAGTGTTTAAATGCGGGTTTAGCAATTGAGTTATATTTACATACGATTAATTATTACCACTCAACCGCACGCCTTGCTCGAAGCACAATGGAGGTTGTGGCAAAAATGCGCAATTTATTAACTGCTTCTAAGTGTACAAATTCCTGTACGGTGAGTTAACTAATTACAATGCTGTAATATGTTAACCGTCTGCTACAAATCGCTAACGTACTACCGTGTATGCATATGTTATAATACAAATATAACGGTGCAGCCATGCAATTTACTAGCCCAGGCCACTGCTGGGTAGACAAGAGGCAAGCAATAAAAACACACCCGTTGTAATTGTTTCAACTTCCGCGCCTGGAGATTGAAGCCGGTGAACATCTGGACTTAAGTGTGCTCACCATTACACCATCACGTGGTAAAAAGTTAGCATTTGTTACCCCGGAAAAAAAGTATCGAATTAAGTCTCGCGCAAGACTTGAAGGAAAAGTCTGAGTTTTAGTATTCAGTTTCAAGACTTTCAACAAAGTCTTGCTGAATTTCAGCACTCATTTGAAATTTCAATACAATGTTCTGTACGTGGACATTCACGTTCGTATTTAATTTAAGTCTAAACTTCTACCAAACAATATACACGTGCATACACACAACGCCAAAACAAGCCTTTGTGCTCAATTGTGCATATCGAAGTTAGAGGGTCTGGGAATTGAAGTGATTGTGTTATTTTTCACCTACCTTCAGATTCAATGGATTCAATGGATGCAATGGAGTTTCACAACATACAAGCTGAGAGTCAAGTTCAGCGAATTACTCGCGAATTGCATGGTAAGTAGCACAAACTCTCTTGTGAACATTTGTATCAGTCCCTTCAAAGTACCGTACAGTACTTGTAAATGTTTACAATTGAAATTCATTGTTCTTGATTTGCTGGTAGATGTAGAACTATATAAAGTTAAATATTTCCTCCAACTCCATGAATACCTTATATTATTTTTGTTTAACTGTTTACAGAATAATGTATACTGGATGAGAGCCTCATGCTTCTACTGGTGTTGAGGGTTATTTGACCATACCTCAGTACACGGGTCAGTACGGGCTGGTGATTTTGGGGAACATAGAAGCACAATACAATAATATTTTGCGGTAGTTTTTTCTACTGCCCATGAACTTGGCTCTACAAGCCGGCACGCATCAGAGCAGTAGCAGGATAAAACTGCTTGGCTAACTTGGGATCGGGTGCATTGATGGTGATTTGGTTATATAGGTAAGATTTGCAGAATATAGTATGACAATGCCTAACATGCTTTTCTACTTTAACGACAAATAAACTGTACTTCTTGTATGTGTGCCTAGATTGTGTGACGGAGCTCAGCAGAGAGTACAGAGAGTGTGGAGACCCTGTGACAGACGATAATGCCAGCCTGAACAAGTTGTGCACAAAACTCGAGTACATGTTACAGGTATCCCAATGCTTATCTTACTTATAACACTGAGGTCTATTTATAACCCGTAGAAAATGTCAGTACCTGGCTGGGACAACACAACCGAGTCCAGGACCATCTGTTAGGATATTTTTGATAAATGGATTTTGGCAGTACTTATTACAGTTTATAGTTATAAATAATCTGCCATAAACCTTTGCTGCAAGCTGTAAAAAATGTAGCACTGCTTTGGAAGGGGATCCTCTTTAAATACACGACTTGGAAGTTTTTTTATGTGCTCTTTCATAAACTCTTTAAAATATTTGATTAACATTCTATTTACATTTAATGAATGCCTTTAAACTTTTTTGTTAGTGTTATGTTTGTTGAGTATACACTGTCATAAAAAAATGGAAGCTGGGTTTTCCAGGCTTGGCTTGGTGATTATGCCATAGGTGTAAAATCTTTTCCGCATCAGTTCCAGCCAACAACACACTGTAAATGCAAATAGATGACTTGGTATTACATAATCAAATTCATCACCTGGGTTGGTCCTATTTAAAAAGAAAACCTCATGGGCCATTTCCTTGAAATGAAATATTCTAATCACTGCAAATTTTAGGTCCTTCCTGCAATACTGTAGTGCAGCCCAAGGCATGTTATCTGCTGTTGTCGCGCATTCCCGATTCCCTGTGCAGAATTTCAAGGAAGGAATCCCCCCCCCCCCATTCTCAATTAAAATGTGGTCACATTAAACTGCAGTCTATATTTAATAAGGGGTGCAGCTGTAGAACAGTGATTTCCATAATGTGCTATAAAGCCGAACAACCCGAGTTTGATTCCTGTCATTACTGATTTCAGTGGCTAGTAATATCTGAACTATTCATAAGAGGCCCCTCTCAACTATGTCTACTAGTGCGGTGAAATATGGTCAGCCCGCTTAACCAAAAAGGCATGGTGAGGATATCATCTAATAGTGGATTCATAATTGATTGTAAAATATAATTACGAAAGATTATTTAACGATTAGTAGATATATGGCATTGTTATTATGGACTCTTGTCAATGTGAACAGGTAAAGTATAAATACAATTTATAGTCCTTTGTCAATGATTTGCTAGATTAAGGAATGGGATGGTGGACTGAATCCGCCCAGATATCATTTGCCACTGATGTTAACCCTAGCGGGGAACTGCAATTGTTTTGCCAGGTTCAAAATACAGTGTGCTAACCACTGCTCCACTGCCTCTACCCCTAGATACAGCATATCAGAGGTTAAATTCATGGTCGTTTTAGCACGTTTTTAAGCTCGCAGTAAAATAAACCGGAGTGCTCTGTGGAGTTTACTTTTGTACGTTATATTGCAGCGTTTCTTTTTTCTACATTCCATTAATACCATGTTGTGTGCTGTTTTTTCAGTTTGGTCAAAAGGAGAAACGGACCCTGATGGGCATTCGAAGGGAGTATTGGGACTACTTTCACGACTGTCTTGCCAAACAGAAAGGAGCTAATGATGGAATCCGTTTCGTCAAGTCGATCCCTGAGGTGAGAAGGCACATTCTTCATGCTGCAACAGATTTAGAATGCCATACTTGTTAAGCCTATTATGTTCAATGGGAGACTGGATTGTTGACCCAAGTGCCTGGCATTTATTAATACATTTTAGGAACCTGTGGATAATGTGACACTAACTTTTCCTCTAAGTGATATCAAACTAGAATGAAGTATTCTCTTTCACTTTGGGGATTTCTCTCTCAAACAGGAAAGTTAACGGTGAAGATAGGTGTAAACGATTGACCAAACTTTTATACTGCAGTAAATAAAGCTGTTGCGGTTTTTTTTACAGTAAAATATACTGTTCTTAATGTATCATTTCTTAAAGTGTTCTCATTGTAATAGTCCATGTAAAATGTATTCTAAATTTTTATTTCCTTGACTTTAAAAGCCATTCTACTTTAGCATTGAATGGAACTTGATACTTATGTTATTCCGTTGCATGTGTGTAAGGTGAAGCAGATTTCGGTGTCCTTTTGCATCTATTTATATCAGACGCTTGGGCAAAGTCTCCACCATTTTATTGGTTTACAAAAGCGCAGCGACTTTCTAGAAATCCTTATTTACAATTCAGGAATAAAATACATTAGCATCATCTAGAACGCGTTTCACCAAATATCAGTTGTGGGCTGGTTTGTGGTTTCGGCGGTTTTAATTGCGAAGAAAATCATTGGTCAGACTTCAGTATGTATAACTGATGCTTTTTAAAGCCATCATTATGATGGCAGGCATTTTGTCAGGTAAGCTAATATACACTAAAATGGAAGCTGTATCTCTTGAATGAGTAACCCCTGGCCCAGATTTGATTCAAGGATACATTTTACAATTTGGTGAATGGTAGTGCTGTTCCTCTGAACTGCAAGGGTGATGTGAAACCACCACATGTAAGATGTATGAATTGAAAACATCGATTCTTACACGTTAAATTTTACGAGCAGGAACCCATGGGACTTCGGCAGTTAAAGGGTGGCGAATATGTACGTTCTGTCATCACTCCCTCTCCGTGACCCCCCCTCCTCCTCCTCACAACATCACTCCAATCTTGTGTGACGTTGGAACTCCTCAACAGCTCAGTGTCTGAGGTCATCGGCACCTCCCCTCTACCTCACCAGCGTGGTGTGACGTCATAATCCACCCGGCCAAACTAGTTTTTCTGCTTTAGACGAACGAGCATATAACATAGATGCAATTTTGACTTGAGCATCTAGCGATGTAAATGTATTCCTCCACTAAATTTTGACTTGAAACTTTCGTGACGGCAGGAATTCATAATTCTTGTTTCTTTCGGTAAAGTCACGTAGATTAAAAAAAAATTGAGAGTGATAAAAACAAAAAAACCCCAGGATGTTTCGATCGCAACACAAGCGGTCTTCATCAGGCGGAGAGAAAAGAGGGGGCAAGCCTCTAAATGCAACTGCTTTATAAGGGTTTCCAAAGTGAGCGGGAAGATTTATGTTATTGTTTTTATTTTCTATCTACGTGACTTTACCGAAAGAACCAAGAACAGTTATTCCTCCGCTAGTTCATAAAGCGTGTCTTCGCCAGGCAAAAATGTTCAATAAATATAATTGTTAACCTGATGTGATTTTTTTTCTTCTTCAAATTTGATCGATGGTGAAACACTAACACGTACTCCAAAAAATATCTTTTTCCTCTAAAAAACACGTTGTTGACGACTTGAGTCAACTTCTTATATTTAAAGACGTACCCATTGGAAACTTAATACTCTGAGAGGAAGGAAGCTCTTTACCGTTTTCGAATTATTCAGATTTCAACATAAAATCCGTATTTTTTTCATTAAAAACTGCTTGACTTCGAAATATCTAAAAATTAAAGATAGAATAATGGTTCTTGCTTTAATTTTGTTTGCTGTTTCATGCTCTATCGAACAAAAAAAACTGCAATCTTATATTTGAAACAGTTTCTGAATGGCAGGCACAAACATGTTTGTGGGGCATTTAAAAATCGAGGTTTGGAGGCCTATTGATTGTCCTAAAAGCTACTTTTGTCTACCAAATTTCAGCTTTCTACCTTGTCGAGAAGTACCCTGTAGGTTTTTGAGACATACAGATTAAGGTTTTTATTTATATCGATGCTTCCTACTGATACTTTGCCTCCAGTCATTCAGACAACAGGAGCAGTCATTCATTACACGTGTTACTTTTGGTAAACATGATAATGAGGTCAAATTGCTGACCTCCACAATGCTTTCGCACTTTGCAGACAGTCGGCAAACATTGGCACACACTTAAGGGCCTGAGCTTAAAATGCAATGTGTGGACCTGGTCTGGATAACACATTGGAATGGTGTGATCAAACTAGAAATACCCAGTTGCCAAATGAATGCCTCAGATACATGGGCCTTTCAATCTACTTTAAAACAATTCAATACCCTGCTTAATAAAATGAAAACTACGTGATGCAATTATACGTGAAATTGGTGGAGTTCTTTTTACAATTGCCACATCATCCCATTCATATTGGCCCTTTAGCAGAATATAAATTATTAAACAAAAATAGTTATTTTTTGCCACAATAGTTATATTGTCAGCATTCATTTTAGCATAAAGCCTCTCCTGGCTTTTCTTCATAATTGGGATTTTATACATAACTGCTGCTGTGACGTGAGTTTGGCTCCGCATTTTCCTAGACGTAGTACGGCAGCTGTCTTGTTTGGCTTTTGTTGTGCTGCTGTCCTTGTTGTGAACATTGTTACATCACAGGCACTTGCCCCTCCGCAGTGGTGGAATAGTGTTGTGCCAGCTATTGGGGGAGCATCTGGCATGTATTTCTGTTCAAGCGTGTCATGCGTGCATGCTGAGGGTCTTGCTTTTGTAAAGTTTGATTTGTATTCGGTATCAAACCTCCGACACGAACTTGCTTATCCACTATTGTATTCGATATAGGGGTGCTTTACTGTGGTGGTTTGCTGTGCTGAAATTGGTGATACAAATCCTGAAAAATAAGAATAGGATATAAATGCAAAATATAGCGGAGTTTAGTCCAGGTACAAAATACAACCATTGACATTACAGTATAGAAAGCATTCTTAAGTTGTAAATGCATCTTGTAGAAATGTATCTGCTTTTAAAGGTCACCAGTTATATAATCTAGTGGCCAAGTACAGTATTGCACATATAACTTACCATTACTGTAATGTAAAAAAAAACATCTGTGGGAATTTTGTCCTGCGTTTTGTTTCAGATAATGTGTTCTTCATTTCAAATCGCCAAGTCAGACTTTTGATTGTTTTGTAACCCGTACATTGAATGGTTGCGTGTGATTTAAAATATTTAATGATGATGTCTGAGATGTTCTACTTGTCAATTTACACACATCTTTGGCTTTTGGCACGGTTTGCTTTTATTTGCAGTTGAAGACTGCGATCGGAAAAGGAAGGGCATTTATTCGGTACTCACTCGTTCACCAGAGGCTTGCAGACACTCTTCAGCAGTGCTTCACGAACAAGCCAGTTACCAGGTATAGTGTTTCACTATTGGCTCTCCATGTAATCTAAGTACGTTGAACTTTGTTTGCACTTTACGTGGCCAACTGCTAATTGGTGGTGTGATCATCATACTTGTGCTAGTTTACAGCTGGGCATTTCAGTTGATTTCCTTTGCACAATATTGAAACTGGTGATACAATAAGTGCCCAATGATGCATTTATTAACATGGTGATTGTGGTGATTATGGCAACTATGTGGAATATTGTCTTCTGATTGCAGTGACTGGTACAGCACAAAGAGCCCTCTGGTCAAGAAAGAGTTGGTGACGGAGATGATTAGCCACTTGTATGAGTTAAACCAGCTCCCTTTCGACCTCGCACCCAGAGGATACGACCTCGATGCAGAATGGCCATCATACGCACGGTGAATAATGGAAGATCAGCATCAGACATAGACATGCGCGACGAATCAATGTGTTGCAGCTGTAAAGTGGTGTAATCTTGTGATGTTTGTTTTCAATCATAGGAGGGCACTTGGAGCTTCAGCATCACCAGCTCAGCTCTGGAAGGCTCCAAGTCGTAGCTCCAGCATTAACAGCCTAGCCAGCAGCTTTTCACCAATGGTAATTGTGCATTTGTCTGTTCGCAAGGCATTCGTATAACATTGACAACAACATAATTTTATATGAAAGTATTAAGTTATAATATTTAATATCTGCAAAATAAATAGTGTGGACCCTGTTTGTAGGTACATGGTGTGCTCCTGGCTGTCTGACATTGGTTTAGAACTTATGAGAAAAACATTGTAATAGCCTGGGTGAGTGTTCTGGTCATTGAATTGAGTGTTACTTAAACTATGGAGTTATTTTACAGTGCTTCTCACTATAATCTCTTTATGCTTTTGTACATTTCACAAAGAACAAATGGTTGGATAGTCCAGGATACATATATATAGGATTATAGCAGTTGTGTTTTTTGTTGTGTGTTTTAAACAATTATGACAGTAGATAGACAGTTTGCTGATAACATTTACACTGATTAAACTTGGTTAATCCATTCATCAGCGATAGTCAATTCACTGTTGGTTGAAAACCTCCCAAGCTGACACCATCTCAATCTTGTGATGTCATAATCCATCTAGCACACGCACACTCGCCAATTTCAATGCTCCACATTCCTATTTGAAATAATTCTGCTACTTTCGACACTTGCAGCACATGGAGGCCTATGCCAAGCACGACTCTGCTTTCATGCAGCCACTGGACACGCCCGGCAAGCTGGACGCCACCGCTCACGGCCACCTCTACCTCGATCATCCCGTGCTCCAGCTGCACCACAACGCGGAGCAGCAGGCTCTGGAGGAGCAGGTGGAGAGCTTGCAGATCCACCTGGACCAGGCCGAGTTGCGGCTGAGACGGGAGCAGGATCGCTCCGACGCTCTGGAGGGCGAGCGGCGGGACGTGCAGGCGACGGCGCTGCTCGCCGAGCGGTCCTTGCTGCAGGCGGTGGACGACGCACGCAGGGACAAGCGGGGGCTGTTGCAGGAGAACGAGGCACTCCAGCTGAGGCTGTGCGATCTGCAAAAGATGCTCGACGAGAGCAAGCGGGACGTCGCCATGCTCGAGGGGAAAGTGTCGAGCTTGGAAAAAGACGCCGCGGCGTGCGAGCCGCGCGCCGATCGCGCTCGGGCGGAGACCGCTTTCCTGCAGGGCGGTGCTCCGATTCACCCCGACGTTGCGGTGTGCGATCCCGAAGGTGAAGACAATGTCGGGGCACTTGCCTTGACAGCAGAGGACAGGCGTCAGGGTGAAGTGTTGGAGGGTAATCGAAGCGACTTTGACCCGATGGCTCGGAGTGAAATTGCCAAGCTACGCTGCCAGCTTGAACTGTCAGAGCAGCAACTGCAATGGAGGCAAGCTGACGTCACTCGGCTGACGACAGAGGTGGGCGAGTTGCGCTCCCGGCTTGGCGTTTCCAAGGAGGAGGTTCAGAAACTCAAGAGGAGTGCGGCGGAACAAGCTCTTTCCAGCAAAATGCAGAGGCAGGAGTTGGAGAGCCTCAAAGTGGATCTGGTGAATGTAAATAGAGTTCATGTTGAGCAACTTCTGCAGATGAAGGAAGAGCTTGGGGACCTCGAGAAAGAGAGGGAGTTTTTGCTGAAGAAAAAATCCGATTACGAGCTAAAGCTGTTGTCAAATGAGGAGGAAAATCTTCAGCTCTCTCATTGTTTGGAAGAGTATGAAAGGAAGAATTTGGAGTTTGAAGAGCGCTTGTATAAAGCTCACGAAGAGGCTGACGAGCTTCGTTCCCAAATTTCTCAAATAGCGTCCGAAAAGGACCTATTGGTGGAAAAAATTGATTCAACGATTTCCGAATTTACAATGAGCGTGCAGCAACATGGACAAGAATCGGAGGAGTTGAAGCTGGAACTTGAGAGACTAACTGGGGAAAACACAGCATTGATGGAGCACGTGCAGAGCCTGCAGTGTCTGAAGGAAGCAAATGATGACCTGCAAACTCACCTGGAGAAGACCAAGGAGAAAATTCACATGCTGCAGGAATCCCAACGTCAAGAGCTGTCATCCATGAAGTTTAAAATGAGTTTGGAAATAATCGATTTCCAGACTCGATTAAAGGTAACATTTGATTTATTTCATAATTGTGGCCTTGTAGGTTTTTTTTTATTTAACTGCAGGAAAACTCCTCATCTGCGGCCCTATTTTCCACGGCTCCTGTTATCCATAGCAGCTGTAGGGTCCACAAATACCCAATTATCTGCAGGTCCTATTCCAATTATCCACAGTTGTTTCCTACTCTTCCCATAAGTCTTTGCAGAATGGCATCCTATATTTCTTGATGTTTTCTCGGACAGGAGGAGTTGATTGGCAAATACACGCTCTTCACAATTTGTTGTTTCTTAAAAAAATGCGCTGTGATGAAAGAGTGCACACGTGGTACTCGCTTTGATCACTCGCTGCACCAGATAACAGTGGCACTCGCCGACACAAACACACTTAGAAACACACACAGACACTGAGATGCACACAAAGACAAGGAGACCCACACAATTTTATGCAGACACGGAGATGCATACAAAGACATAGACACACAAACAGGGAGACTCGAATCCAGATGTAGAGACAGACTGAGACATGGAGACAGACAAGGAGATGCACAGACGGTTAGAGAGCCAAAAACAGACACTCCCACCAAGACAAGGAGATGCACACAAAGAGAGACACGGAGACAGACGAGAATACACAATAACAGGAAGACGAACAAAAACATAGAGACACAGAAACAGATACAAAGACAGACGCAGATAAACACGGATTGAGTGTACGTGTACATGTCTGCAGCAAACAAGTCCACACGGTTACATGGACACTCGTACTTGTACACACTTACAAAGATTCCCCGTATAGCCTTCACAGGCTGCAAGAACAAGTGCTATTAGCGAGCACAAGATGTTTTCACTCGCACGCAAACGCACGTTGTGCTTCCTTGACCCCCAGTGCGCTTTCAAAACTCCGGTTATCCGCAGTGTTTTCTTGGAGACTTAAATGGAGTCCCATTTATTTTCGTGAATAAGAGGAGTCTTGTGGCAAATTGATCCTATTATCTGCGAGTTATTCCCCATGCTTTACCCCACTGATTAAGAGTAAAATCACTGATAACCCCTCTAATAGGATCCATGATATTGAAGTCCCATATCACGAGTGGATAAAAGAAGTTCTGTTTCAGATCAAAATGTATGCTGCTGGGATTTCTTTATATATTTTTGTTTACTTTGTTTTGAAATTGCAGATCAACGTACTGTATTTAAATCGATGTGCGGTCTCGCGTGTAAATGTGAACAAACAAATCTGATATTTTTTTCAGAAACACACAGAAGAGAATGAGAAATTAAAAAGTGGCAACAGCAACAAGGATACGGTCATTTCCAATTTAAATGCCAAGGTGAAGACACTAAAGGTAGGCTAATCCTCATGGCTGTGTAGCCTCCACTCCACACAAGACCACACTATTAAACAATCTCATAATTTGATCTTCAAAAATGAGACATTACTCCACAGGGAATGCACATTTTTTTCCATAAAGACTGGTAACTTAATGTCTTTTTTCAGATGAAACGTTGGTGTGTATAATGAACACAAAGCAGGCTTTGTATTACTCTGCTGTGTGCTGACTAATGTGGTTTTATTTCAAGGCTGATTACCAGCTGCTTCAGGACCTGTCGATAGCTCAGGAAGAGAATTTCAACGAGCAGCTGCGGGAGCGGCTAAAGAAAGAAGAGGAAGGAATTGGCCTGAGGAAGGCGCTGGACAGGTACTGCAGAGCATGAAGTTCATGCACTGACCAAGGGAAAAATGCTCCTGATTCCCACTACAGCACAACCCCCACCCCGTTACGAACCGAGTTTGTGTGTCAATGCGGGGGTACACACTGCGTGTCGATCGTACCCTAACCTTTTCATACGGTAACCACCAACCTGGTGCAATTTTTTTTTTGCTCGAGGTTCATGTTGTTGGTTGCATGCTAAGTAAATCTGCTTGTGAAAATGTTGCTTGTGTTAAGCTATGAATATTGTTGGCTTTGCCTGTTTTTATATTTTTTGCTTTGCAACTGCATGTTTTGCTTGCACTGTAATAGTTGTAGAACTTGCCCATCGCTGCTCCTTTGTTTGCTTTTTTGCTGGGATGTTTTGCTTGCTTTGTATTCGGCCATGCCAAGGTACCCTTTGTAAAAAAAGAGACAATGGACCAAAATTCACACATTGGCACTACTATTAAAACCCAGTTTGGGATAAAAAAAAAGCATTATGTTGAAAGTAATATTTTCATTAAAAAAAGTTTGAACCAAAAGCAACATTTGCTTCGGTGGAAATTTGGTACATTGCATTACAAAGGGACATTGCATGATGGCATTAATTTTTTCTGCTTCATTTATTTTGCTTTTGAAACAGGCAATTCGGCTCCTGGTTCTCTTTCAGTGGTAACACGAATTTGCAACGAATAGACAGGTGCGCATAAGAGCTTCCAATGTCTTCACATTTCATGCTGCTTTTAATGCGAGTTCTGTATTGTACTGCTGTGTCATTTATTTAATCTATGTGATTAAGATAAATAATTAACCTAGTTGTGTCCAGAATTGTCTGCATGCTAAAATATACATGAATATATATTTTTTTTATCTTGCACCAAGTAAAGGAGTGGCAAAAATTACTTATTGTGTCCTGACACCAAAGTCATCTATTGGTTCATTATCGGGTGCGCGATGATGATGATGATATGGCCCGGTCTGTAGCCCTGGCAAGGTCATATATGATACACTACTCTTACAGGAGCCGACAGACCAGTTGATGCTATGGTCTGCGTTTCACCGCAGTGACACGTGTCAGTGTCGATCGAACGCCTACGACCACAAATTATGAATATGGCTATGCAGCTTCTTAACTCTGTAAGTTGCTGTTTAACTCGTTGACATCCATCCGTTACCTGTGGAAATCCATAATGTAACTTGAGACCAGCAACTTAAACTAGACTGTTTTATTAAACTTTATTTATTTTACCTGGTAAGGCCCACTGAGCTCTATAGCTCCTTTTTGATAAGTGACCTGACCACGCTCAACAAAGTGGCCTATGTGGAAATTTATAGCAGCCAAATACTCTAAACGCAAATTGGTTCTTAATGTGGAGGGGGAAAACTGGAGGACCCAACCTCTATACAAGGTGAAGTAGTTGGAATCGCACATTTAGAGATGGAATACTGTTGAATTAATTTTTCTAAACTATTGCATTCTATGCTATTAATGCAGTTTGTAAGGAGTATTAAAAGTCATGATTAAGCCTTTGGAAATCTTGGCGAAATAAGATATGGCCATATTCTTGTTTTTTTCGGTAAAGTCACATAGAAGGGAAACAATAAAATAATAAAAATATAAAACAATATTTTATTGTTTCCCTTCTATGTGATTTTACCGAAAGAACCAAGAATATGAATCTCTGCAGTCACGAAAGCTTTAAATCAAAAAAGATATGGGCAGTTTAATCAAATAGAAAAATGCACTATTCTCAAGTTAAAAAGTGATTTAGTTTGTATATTTTTGCATGAGCATATCCTTCATTTTGTTAATCGCCCCTTATCATGTTGGCTAGGAAACTGCAGATCTATTTGTAGAACCCCAGGCTTCTTCATGTCAACCATTGCAGTCTCCTCACTTTATAACTTGAACAGTCAGGATCACTCATTTACATGCATCTGCGGAATGACCGACAATCTAGGATCATGTCTATTCCTTAACCTGGTGTTGCCCATCCCTACGGTGTGATGTTAGTTGTATTTATATATATTTTTTTGCCAAGCACAGGTGTAAGGAAACGCTTGAATCTGAACAAAAGGATCATAAGAATCTCATGAAGGAGCTGGCCATTGTGAAGAGCAGAGCGGAGGAGGAAGAGAAGAACCTTCTTTCAGAGATTCAGGAGCTCAAGGAGACAATGGCAAACATGTCAGACCGACTCATAGAACTGCTCAAGTGAGTCGTACACACACAGCACCTGTACGTGTCACCAAATGAACATACTTTCAGTGTTTTACAGTTGTACAAACATGCGATGAACCCCTCCCATGACAATATTTACACTCCTGGGTACACAAGGGTATTGACCCTCGTTTTTTACATTAAGCCGTTCAAAGGTACAGTTATTATAATAGAACAGGACGAATAACATTTGTAAATTCGGTATTCTCTACTGCTGCTTTTGCTGCTGCTGAACATGTTTGACACGGCAAGCAAAAATATATCACATAATTTGTACATTTGTTCTTTGTGCCAATCTCATACCGAAAGGTTGTCACGAAGGCGCTTTGAATTATACATTACAGTCTGCAGTAGTTTAACAGTAAGACGCCGATGTTGCTATGTGCCTTTACCCAATTAGCTAATTTGCAATTCACTGTAAAATTTGGTACATCTGACTTGTGACACCGGCATGCATTGCTTACTCTTTTTTATGAAATCATTTGGGATAGATAACATTCATTAGGGAAGCAAACAGTGTATTTTTTTTAGTAAACGCCACCTATGGTATTAACCAGGGCAGCCGCTGGGCGTGTACCGCGAACATATAAATCAAGCAGTTCACTTTAACTAGACCATGTCACCCCCTCATAAAATAAATACAAACATCTTTTCCCACCCTTGCCCATGATAGGGAAGCAATTTCCTGCCCCCAAGTGTGGATAAGATGCCATTTTAAGATAGAAAAGTAATTGCATGTCATCTGTTTCTGTGGAATCTTCACTAATAACTGGGTAATGGACTGCTCTTCGATAGTTCTAATATATTATTTATCTCGTGACATGATGCCGATAACATAAAATTGGAGAAAAACATTTAGAAAGGATATTCAGATACATTGTCTATGACCAAATCACCCAGATCTTGCAAGCCAAGTAAGGTTGAGTCTTTCATGGGTGACCACAAATGTAGGTTGAGTCTTTTACTGGTAGGAAACGTAGTGGACTGGTGCTCAACACGGATTAATTCACAGGAGGCAGGGGATTAATTGTGTGTGTCTGTGGATGTCTGTCCACGTGGGAGGGGTGGGGCTGGTTGGGGAGAGGAGGGTAGGGAGGGGCTGGATGGGGAGGGGAGGGTGGGGAGGGGCTGGGTGGGGAGGGTGGGGCTAGGTGGGGGCTGGGTGGGGTGGGGCTGGGTGGGGAGGGGCTGATCACCCCGTGGTGCCCTTATAAAACTCAATGGTGAGCCTGCTCACGCCGGCTTGTGCCCGCCCTCACAGTCGAGCATGTTTGCGGAATACACCACGTGGTGCCGTTGACCCTGGCCATGGACTGAGCAACCCAACGTTCCTACCAGCTCCCTCCGCAGGAATGTGTTGATTGGTGACCACAAATGTTCAAATTAAAAGTGTCAGTTATTGTGGACAGTAGAGGGCAGTGCAGCAACATCCATGGTTCTGAAATCCCTCCACAAACACACACTGACCGGCATAGTGAAGTATGGTCAAAACATCTCATGGTCTGCAAGAATGTGGGGAGGCTCTCATCCAGCAGTGGATTGACAAAAAAAACGAGCTATCCATGTACAAATACAGCAGTTGAAATTGTATTAGTTCTTGCAAAAATATCACCTACTGTTAATGTATCCATCATATAAATGCATGAATTCATCACTTAGCATAAACCATTTTAAACTAGATTTTTAAATATTTAAATGCTTGCTCACTCAATCATATGCTCCAGATTTTGTCACCATTAAATACTCATCCATCTGTAGTTAAACATAATCTAAACTTAAATTTGCTTTTATAACCTTTCCCAGCCAATTTAATTGCAAATGTGACATTTTAATAATGATGGAGTAAAAATGCAATGAAAGCAATGTCACTCGAATGTATATTTTATACTCCAAAACCTACTTCAATTGTAATTGGTGTGTTTTAATGGTTTAGTGTTCATTTGAGCAACAGTACATTTTTACTCAAACATAATTCCATGTATAATAGAGGTTTTTTGGGTTAGATCGCGTAAATAATTAAATGTGTCATTAAAACCCACCAACACCCGAGACAGCTAACTAGTAATGGTTGCCATGTAAACAGAACGTGGCCAATTCGTCACTAGTACAGCACACCGGTGTGTTGGAGAGCCAAGCCACGACATTTATAATCTGATTACGACGTTTCGCCAGTAACTACAACGAGCTTCATCAGGCCACGGCCAGATTTGTGGAGAAGTCCACCTGTTTCGTTCCTTGTATAGAGGCGACGTCGATGTGGTGACCACACTTCCGCGCTCTTGCGCCACGTGGTGGGGGGGGGGATTACTGAGTCAACGCAATATTATGCATGTGCATTATGCGAGCACTTGGAACTTGTCCTTCCTGCCTCGGGTGTGTATTAAAATAGCCGTACCAACGGTAATCCCTATTGAAGTATGTTGTCCTTCATAGGCATGCGTTTAAAGATACATTTATATAACGACACATTTATTTACGCGATCTAACCCAACAACCTCTTATGGATGATGTTGGTCGCGAAAGCCTACGTGGTAATTCCATGTATTACCTGCAGGTGGCAACATACTACCGTGGTCCTCTTTAGCGGGTGCTTCTGAACCTTTATCGTATGAATGAATACTGGGTAGTGGCATTAGATAAGTGTCTGTCTATAGTAAAGCAGTGGAGTAGGGAGCCGAATATTTCATAGACTCTATCCTATCTTCCATCCCTTTCATATAATTCCGAAAATACCGTCGTACAACTGGGACTTTGCTGCAACAAACCGGTTATGAACCACTGTCATTAGGTGTGATTTCTCTGGCCAGGAACCCACATTTTCCACTCCTTAACGTAACTCTGAGGCTCTTCGCATTATGCTCTTTCATCTGTTAGAAACGGGGATTCGGCAAGCCGGTCAGTAGTGGGAGCAACGCCTGTAATCCAGCACAGTGGAGGGTAAGGGTTCGTGGATTGGCCACGCGTGCTGTGACTTGTTTCCCAGGGGTGTCCAGATGCTGTACAGTAGCTTGCCAGGAAGAAGGCGTTGTTGCAAACTGTGGACTGCACCTGTTCCATTTTTGTGGGATCGAGTGTTGCCCCCTCACACTTCGTGGGTTTTCTCCCAGGTGCTCCAGTTTCCCTCCATATGTAAACACTTATCAAAGGATGGTTTAAAACGCATCATAAAGTTGGTTAATTTTGAGTAAGCAATCAATGTAAAATAAATCATGGGGGGTTAGATTGGAATTTGTGTAATCATTTGTCACTTCTGAAAGATTGATTGAAATGCAGTGCCTCAGTTGACCATTGTTTAAGCTATGTAAGTTGAGAGTGAACATGTAGTGTATCATTAGACCTCCTTTGCCAGTAGCAAAATGTAATAATAGGGTTTTTCTCCTTTTTTTTCTGACAACAAAACTGAAACCTTTTTACAAGGATTCATGTCTGCATTAACCACAAGACCTGCAGTCAAAATGCAACAAAAAAACACTCTGATAATATATGCATTGTCCTTGAAACTGATTGGTCCACACCAAGGGACGGATTTTTTTGTTTGCATTTTGACTGCAGGTATTGTGGTTAATGCAGACATGAATCCTTGTAAAAAGGTTTCAGTTTTGTTGCCAGAAAAAAAGGGGAAAACCATATTATTATGTACAGTGTGATTATTTGGATGAATGCACGATGATCAAACAAGTGTACCACAAAGATCCATCGGTCAATCCTCTACAACGCAGCGTGCTTTGTCAACTACTTCACTTTATTTATCCAGGCGAGTACTGAAAGGGACCAGGATAGTCCAATTTGCAAAAGTTACCCAGGTCACCAAAGTAAAATGAAACAAAACCCTTAGAAGGAAATCAGAACCCCCCCCCCCCATGTTATGGGCCAAATATAAAATAATCCACACACACACATTGAGTGAAATAACATTTCCCGAAACAAGCGGGCTCTGTCAAAATACTTTGCCCTGTTGGTCGTTACAAACGCAGAGACAAGGATGTGCTGTGGCAGAAGAGCGACATGTTGGAGTTTGAGCAACGGCTGCGTGCAGAGGAGCGCTTTGAGAAGGACGTTGGAGCGCAGCACTGCCTCGACTGCAAGAACGAGTTCTCCTGGATGCTGCGCCGCCACCACTGCCGGTCGGTCCCCTAAGAGAGTGTCCCACTGTGCCACCCCTGGTCGAGCCTCTTAGAGTGTCCTGCTGTGCCACCATCAGAGAAACGGCCATCACAGTTCATGCAGCCGCCAAGTGTTGACACGTGTCCTTCACTTTATGTACATTTTTACGATGGTTTGTAAGCTTACGGCTTTCTTTGACGTATAATAACTGTGCTCTAGCAGCCAAATGTTATTCAGAATGATGCATAAACGTGTACTTGCCACCTCATTTCTTCCGTCAGCCTAAATGTACCTTAGTATGAATCCTAAACAATTAATTCTCACGCACGTGATTTGATTCTTGTATCGTGAACTTGAGAATGGATATTAAGTGACGAATCGATGCATTGTTTTACCGCCTTACCCGCTCGCAATGCAGGCTGTGCAGCCGCTCCTTCTGCTACTACTGCTGCAACAACTGGGCATCGCTGAGGACGGGCGAGAAGAAGGAGCGCGTTTGTCGCTCGTGCTTCGCGTGCCACGGCCCCTCCGCCCTCGGGGGGGGGACGCCCAGTCCCTCCGAGTCGCCCTCGACGGCGTCCAACCCACTGGTCTCGCCGGCCGGTACGGGCGCGCACCCCGTGATTCCCCGTGCGGTCAACTCGCCGGTGAACCTACCGGTCAACCCACTGGTGAACCCACCGGTGAACCTGTTGGTCTCGCCGGCCGCTACGGCCGCGCGCCCCGCGATTCCCCATGCGGTCAACTCGCCGGTGAACCCAGTGGTGAACGCACGGGTGTGCCCACGGGTGAGCTCACGGGTGAGCTCACGGGTGAGCCCACGGGTGAGCCCACGGGTGAACCCACGGGTGAACCCACGGGTGAACCCACGGGTGAACCCACGGGTGAACCCACGGGTGAACCCACGGGTCTCGTCGGCCAGTACGGGCGCGCACCCCGAAATTCCCTTTGCGGCGGGCTCCATCAGCCGTGCCATTTTAACCGATGAACGAGCTGGTGCAGTGCCAAAGACTAAACCCGCCATGAGCTGCATGCCTGTTGGAATAAAAAATATGACGAGTGCCTAAAATGTGAATATGAAATGCAGTTTTATCCTTTGGTATTTCTGTTTTTTTTTTCTATTCGGTAGAACGCGACACTTCATTGACCACATGGTTTTGGTGTCATTTTATTTGTTAAGTTTTTAAGTCAATAGGTGTTTTTTTTATAACTTGTCACATTGTGATTTTATCATATAATGCCGTGCATATGAAACTTGCCCCATCATAAGGTCCTGAATTGTTTCAAGGCTTGCCTTAGTAATATTAAAGATGAGGTCAACTCTCTCACATAATATATTGGCAAAATGTCTTCAGAAATTTCATAAACCTACGCAAGCGGGGTCGAGCTGTTATGTGAATCTGCATGGAAATCTAATAAAGTGATTCATCCCCAAAATCATACCTCCTGTGACCTGTTCAGCTCATTGACGCAAAACGTGAAGGAATTTTATTTTGCACCCAAAGACGCACACGCGTAATCTGGTTTGATGCATAACTGCCTAGAAAGGGTGAGGTGTCACTTCTGTTTTCCGACATTACCGTATCTTTGTTTTAAAGCGATGGATAACATCTATCGAATTTTGTGCGTTAAGGAAGGAAACCTAACATTGCACAGTAAATCGTTTTGTAAGACCTTAGTTCATTATGTATAGAACATGAAAATATTTTTTACCTCAAATCTTGTTTGCACGCTTTGGTTGGCCATGATGTTTTTGCGTAAATAAAGTATTGCCAGTAACATGATAGTCCTTGATTTACTCAGGAAAGCTGTTTGTTTATCCAGACTTTTTTTTTTCAACATGGTCCTGTTTGGGATATTTGAAGCAATTGGCAGGACCCCGGGGTCCCATCGCTGCCCCGGGGTGGGACAACCCGCGTAGCGACACGAGTCTTGCTGCCTTACCGACAACAAAACTAGTGTCAATCGATTGGCCTCGTCGAGAGCTACTCGGGGCACTAAGTTTCGTAAAAAGTTGAAACATTACATAAACACGTTAAATTCACTGCGGGGGCGGGCTCGCCTTGGCAAAGAAGCTGAGGATTGACGGCTGACCGGAGGGCGTTGTCTCCGCGCGCGACTGCGGCGGATGCCCCCCTGGGCTTGCGTTTGGCCGGTGGGGTGGCGCCCATCGTGTTGATCGCCGCCTGCTGGTGGCGCTTGTTGGTGCGAGTCTGGGTGGGCGGCGCGTTGCTGTCGGGATCACGAGTGGGCGGACTGGAAAATAAGAATTATTGACCTGATTTTTGCGGGACCCCGGGGTTCCGCCAAATGATTCATTTGACCAATTCTCTCGAACAATTTTTGGTATTAGCCCGAAAATGGAGTATCCGGCGAAACCCCACATACACGAGGAGATAGTACACAAATCTGCACGAAGGTCCGAAGGTCAAATCTAGTTGCTATACTGTCATCTGCAGGGTCATCTTTTAGTTTTGCAGGTGGGTAGGTCACACACACAAGTCACCAACTGTTTTATAGGCATGCACCTCAGTGCCCCGACATGATCTCATTGATGATTGCTTGAAAGATTTTTTTTAAAAAACTTATAGCAATGGGAATTGACGTGATGTCAATATATGTTTACATCGCATAGTAACTAAATGTGGTGTCTTTGTTAACGCATTGTGTTGCAGGTGAACGACCTGCACCTGATGATTTAAATTTTGACATCATCACCGAGGAAGAGGTTGGTGAAAGCAGTCAATTGGCATCGCCATCTGAGAATGAGGAAGCGGAAAAAGAGTGAGTTTATACAATTGGTTTGTCTTTCTGCTTCACGTTTTGTGCCACTTGGTTACTTTTTTTTTACACTTTTCCACGTTTCAACATTTATTTGGAGAAAACATTCACTTGCCGTCGTTTCACATGGACGCAAGTAACAGCCTCTTTTTTTCGTTCGCATTTTACTCCATAAAATAAGTTTCGGCAATAAATGCAGTTGACGATCGTCGTTTATTGAATTGTATCTTTGTTTCACAATGGGTCCATACAATGTAAATGACATGCAACTATCTTCATAACAAATTCATCATTGCCCTTTGTACAGCATTACCCAGTGCTTTCTTAGTTTTTCTTTTCTGAATACCATTTAAAATATTAATAACCCGTGCAGTTCCATTGTGATAAGGTATGTAAAACACAAGCATAAATTAGCCAATCACAGCGATTGGGTGGGGTATGATCTTGAGTAAATGAGTGTATTTATAACTGAGGAATAATTGTTAGGGACTGTGTCCAATCATAAAACATAAAAAAATCTTTAAAAATAAAATTAAAGCATTTTGCTTTTTCAAAGGGTTTTTTTTAACCTAAGCTGGAGTCTGCATAGCATCCATATGCAATATATTCCGTCACTGGTATATAAGCATGGGGAGCTCCTGTGTTGCAGTGGTTCATGTGCTTGGCAATGAACTTGGTGGCCTAAGTTCAATTCCTGGCAATGGTTAACAGCAGTTGCCAGCTTCAGCAGGCCATGATCCAGCAGTAGATTAACAAAGGGCTGTAAATTATTCATTTATAACCACCGTTGTGCTCTTAAGTAAATTGTTATTTTCACATGTATATACCGGCAAACATTGCCTGCAACTGATGTGGATTCTTGCATTTTTTTTTATTCTGGTGTTTTACCAAAACACATTATGGTAACACTTGTGTAACTACAAGAATAAACCATGGTCCTGAATAAAGTGTTCAACGGCGATGCTTTGTAAAATAAGCGAAACACATTGACATAAACTTAAAACTGTATGTAACCAATAAATAACGTGAAAAAATCATGTAAACAGGTTTCCTACAATTCAACTTCCATTCTGGCCTTCTGATCCTCTCAAGGCATTGCCCAAAAATGTCTTATCAGTGCCACCCAGGGCAGCATAAAGCAAAACAATGCTTTTCTTGAACCATTTTATCTCTAGATGACAAATAGCATGATAGCAAGGTGACCGTACTAGCTTTTTTATGAAAAAAGTATTGTTTATCTAGGGTACCATAGTATGAAAAATAATAATAGGTTTTACTTTGCTCCTGGTAAAAAAAAGGTCCCATAGTTGTGTACCATAGTGTTTGAAAATTTTGGGGAGGAAGATTTATGTGAAACGCAACATCTACGGAATATGAAAATAAATAGGAATTGTGTACTGTATATGAAATGGTAGGTATATACGGTCAGCATTCTCCTCTTGTGGACACTGCCCATGGTGCATACTTGGCAGCATTTGTCACCCAAAGTACTGTTGACCAGCACTCATGGCCTACTCGGCCTGTTGTTATTACAGTGTGGCTTATTGCGTCTTAAAACCTTGCAATGTTACGACAAATCTAATACGCATTTAAATAAATATATTTAAACGTATTTCTCTATATTTTTTTTCGAATTCTAAAAGAAAAACAATAGAACATACAGAACTATATTATAAACTTCAAAGTAAAAAAAAAAAGTTTAAAAAATCAATCTTTATCTGCTCTGGTTTGTACACAAAATCAACATGCATTTACACATTAAATCAATTGTAGCCTGTTTTGAACATAATTTACATTTCCAGAATCACTTCCTGCATGTGTTCCTACTATGGTAAAATAAAATAGCAGCTCGAAGATAACATAATACCAACATGAGTATTTGGAAGTCATGACCAAACAGCAGCACTTGTTTTGAACCATGTTGATGTCCTGTTTGTGATGTTTCTAGCCTTATGTAGATCACATTTTGGGTAGGTTGTATGTCATTGTTATTTCTGTGGTTTTAATGTATTAGGCATTGTGACTGGTAGTTCAGTTAATGTATTCTCTGAAATAAAAATGAAAGAAAATACACACATTTTGCAACCACATCAAGGTGCAAATATATATTTGATGCACAATAGTAGAGCTAGTGAAAAGATGTGAACACAAATGTGACTTGTGTAAATCGGCATTGAGGGTTTGGGTCCATTCATGAGCGGCTCTTGACCATGGATATAAAATATAACCATGTTATCTTTAATTCTTGTTTATGACCTTGCTCCATATGGCTTTAATCTGTGCTTGAAACCTCCTTTTGCTAAGCACATATATGTAAGGAATGAGGCAACAATTAATGGTGGCCAGGCTGCGTGTGAGTGGGATGGCATATCTCTCTCTCATCTGCTCCATTTGGCACGAGGAATATTCCTGGACCCAGGAGGTTGCCCTCCAAAGGAGGCAGATGTTATACGGGAACCAGCAGTTGAAGAACATTACGACGATAATGGCGAACTTGAATGCGCGTCGTCGCTGCACAGCTTTCGCGTACGCCAGGGAGCTCGCAATGCCCAAGTAAGATGCAAGTATGACGACGAACGGGCACAGGAAACCGATGATGAGCTGTACGAACACCGTAGTAGATGAAAGCGCGTATTTATCCAACGTGAATCGCGTGCAGAAGTCTATTTGGGGGTTGTTAAAGAGAATGATGTCGGGTACCGCGAGCAATACGGCGAAAATCCAAATCAAGGGGCATATGGTCGTCGTGTACATGATCTTGTGGTATTTCAGAATGAAGTTGGTGTGTGCTGCCGTTAAGTACTGATAGACGCTCAAGCAGCAAAGCGAGAGGCTGTGCACGTAGAGGCACGTGGTGAAGACTGCGTTCACGCAGACGCATGGTATTACACCCATGTATTCGGTAGTCATATTTTCCGCGGCAAAGATGGGCAGGGTCAAAGCAAATAGTATGTCCGAGATCACCAGATTGATGATGTATATGTCAACTGACACCACCCTCTTAATGTTTCGAGCAAAGAGCATGAAAACGAGCCCGTTTCCAATTAGAACTGGAAGGAAAAGTAGGCAGTCCAATATGGGGACTATCGATGGTGGCTTTTCTGTGACGCAAAAATCCAAGGTGACTTCCGATGTATTGAAGTCCAGTGAGGTGTTGGTCATGTTGAAAGTTGAAATATAGGCGGTTGTATTGGAAGTCGCCTCTGCAAAGATGTTGGCATAAGTTTGATTGTTGGTGGGGGAGTGGTTGTCATCCAGGTTGTTTTCCTGTGAATAAAAACACATTTTTTGTAATTAAAGTTCCTAATGCGCTGCATTGTAGTCTGTTCTAACGATAGCTTTAGTGGGCACATTCACAATTGTTGCAATATGAGTTTGAGCAAGAGCAGCATCCCTTTAGTGTCCTCTTCCTATGATATATAAATATTGATCTATAGAATACAGAATCTGTCATTCAGTGAAGTACTTTGGCATTCTCATGCTCGCGTTCAACAGACATACTAACCTAAACACGTGGAGTGGACAAGCTCATAACATCAAACACAGTTTTTTAAAGAACTTATTTAACTTTCAATGGGGAGGCTATAATTCATGAACTTGGATGTCCATTGTCTCCAATCCACACAGCCACCTTCAAAAGCTTAGAAATCTTGGCAAAGTTGATATTCTATATCCAGCATTCAACACATTGGAGTGCACCAAAGTGCATCGTCGCCAGAAATAATATGAAGTGAAGGACAATTTTTATAAGGATGAAATCACAATAGTCACCGTGGTTCGCTTCATACTATTTTATATTGATTTTAAACTGATGTATAATTTATAGTTTAAACGTAGAAAGTCCCATTGTTTACGGTTACTCCAAGTGTTTTATTCCAGATGTTGTTTGCTCTCGTGGCTCTTGTTTGCCTTTTCCAAAAAAATGTTCCCCAATTTGTTCTATTCCCGTCGCATGTTGAATCACTCGCACGCAGAGCGGGTGCAACACTTTGTATTGGAGATCAGCCCATGGAAACGGATATCACAGAGCTCGCTCTGAGATCACTTCAGGTCTCCTGGTCCAGACAGTAAGGGGGGCAGCACTTTTTCCGCCTTCCATGCCACGGAGTATAACGTTTGTTGCGTGACAGTCAGACCATTATTTTTAAAATCCCTAGCTGGAATTTAGCCAAATTTAAATACATTAACAAACTTCTTATTTCGTATGGATTAATAGCAGCAGATTAAAGATGTAATTTGTTATTTGTTTTTCCATTCAATTGTCTGTTCAAAAGGAGAGTGAATCTCATCCATTCCTCCTTTCAAGGAGTGAATACAGCAGCAGCGGTGGCGGAGTGTTTACAATGTGGTCGATGCTTTGGGATTTGTGGCCACACTCGCAGGCTGTCGAACCTTTGCATCATTTGAGCATCAGGTGACCGCATCGGCCATGCCCGGGCCATGCCCGGTCCTGATTCGGATGATGGTCGACTATTGGCGATGTTTGCTTTGTGGAATAATTCTTTGAGGGGGCTGAGACCATAAACTCACCACTCTAAACCAGTTTAATCACAGGTGGCTGCCTGGATTATTTAGATTATTTTGCTGCTACAATTTTCCACATGATGAGCCACTTTCCTTTGTGGCCATGTCGCTTCTGAAAAATAAGTTAATACTTTGGTGGGCTTTACCTGGTAATATAAAAAAGATATAGTTTATTTTTATTAGTATATGTTTAAGTGATTCGTCTACCTTTTACTTTGCACTCCTATCGTGTTTTTGTATTGCCTGTTGTAACGTTCTGACCCGCCCATACTGGACATCTGAAAAAGAGCTTTATAGCTCATCGGATTCCTCCACTGTAAATAAATATTCTTATTCTGAACCTTGTACTCCGTGGTGCCAGCTCAGTACTGTGGCCAGCCACCTGGCTTCGAGGCCACAGCAGCTGATTTAAAGGTTAAAAAAAAATCTGTGTAACTTGTTATTAAAAAAGCTGAAGTCAACAAACATCTAAATTTTGTTGAAATAATGTAATTGAACACTTCTTGTAAAATGTCATTTAACAGTCATGGTTGCACATTTATAGCTCATTGGATTTCTCCAGTATAAGTAAATATTCTGATTTTGATTTTAATAATATAAAGTCGGGTTTTAGCGAAATTACTCTTAATAGTTCAATTTGACATTTTAAATAATTAGTTTGAGTTGTGTGTGTAGGCGTTAGGTTTTTCCGTCAGTTGAAGTGTTTTCTGGAATTGTCTTGCTTGCTGACATCACTGCTTACTCATACATATTGTAAAAAGTAAGCACAGTACTTTTTGGAAATTGAAGTTACAAAATAATTATTGGATTTTTTTTAACTATAGGTTGCATGTGAACTAATTTTGTAATATAACATAGATACTTGGATATTCAAAATCAATTAAGAATTACATTCTGAATTTTAAATGACAAACTGGCTTTTGTATTTTCATTGAGTCATAAAAACACTCCAATGCTATCGTAACTAATGGAGCTGTCTTAGCATAAAAAAGCAAAAACTCACAGTTAAGTTTGTCATGATGCTCGCATTCATGTTCAGAAAATGTGGTGGAAATACGGGCAGTCTTGTTGTTGTACGTCCTTTCAAAGTCTGTAGGAATGAAAATGTGCAAATAAATTATGGTACAGTTTAACACGTAAGCTTTTGTGACCAATATACATATTTTAGTTTTTTTTGGGCTAGATCGCGAGAACATAAATGTGTCGTTAAACCCGCCACCACCCGACACAGTAAGTTTGTTCACGTAAACAGATCATGCCAATTCGTTACTAGTACAGCACACCGGTGTTGGGAAGTAACTTGCATTATAATACAACAATCGTAGCGACCAAAATATAAAAAAAATCATTTACATTTTAAAGTGTAATATGTTTATAGCTTAGCAGTCATAAACAGCCTATATATAGTCAAAACATTTTAAATACTTTTTTTTTACCGGGTAAAGCCCACTGAGCTATGAGCTCTTTTTCAGAGGTGACTTGACCACACGTGTAGTGATAGCTGATCGAAGTGGCTTATATCATCATCACACGTGGAAATGTACAATTGTAACCAAATAATCTAAATGCAAGTTTCTTAATGCGGAGAGAATAACCGGTGGACCCTGAGAAAAATCCACGCGACCACCACGGCGGAGAGAGAACGTACAAACTCTACTTAATATACAGGCATCATCGGGATCGAACCCACAACCTCTCCTCCATACCGGGCAAGGGAGATAACTTCTTACCACCATGACACCCCCACTTACCGAGCCATTTGTTAAAGACGGTCGGAGTAGAAGATGAATTGATATATCACATGAATGTGAACAAGTTTATTAATGCATGAAGTGAGCAGCTCAGCCACATGATGCATGCATTCTCATTCGGCACTTTAGAATTTCGGTAAAAAATCTGTCGCTGAGTGAGTCAATCCATGGATGTTAATCACCATTGTGGCTAGAGCTGTTGGGGAAGATAGCGCCAAACTTTTTTGTTGCTCTTTTAATCCTGATGGGAAATTCATTTTCTAGCACAAACACGTTTTTGAAGATATCTCTTTTTACTGTTTGTATAACATTTGATTTTATTAATTTAATACATGTTCACCTTTATTAGCGTTCAATAAGTAAACAACACGTGTAAACAATGGTTTACTGTAGCTCGAAATAAATTTGAGTTTATGCTCCGCGAAATATAAATAGGCCAAAATTCTCTCGTTTTTTTCTCCATTGCATACACAATCTATTTTATATGGTAGCGCTTTAAATATATAATGGTACACTACTTTTAAAATATGAAATTACATTTCATATCATAGCTTAGCCATATTTTGTAACTACATTATGTAGGCCTTACGTTTTTTGTTGTTGGGTCTTTCATACTGCAGTTCACAATTTCATTTTCTTTATCAATCCATTGTTGGTTGACAGCCTCCCCGAGCCTTTCGGTTGTGGACCTTTTTCGACCACTCTTCACCACGCTGGCCAGTGTAGGTTGTTGAAGGAGTTATATCACTCGACTGTGGCCAGGAATTGAACTCCCTCTACCAGATTTACTGACCTGCGCTAACCGCCACCACAACACGAGAGCCGCTCGCCTTACAATAAACATAACCACGTAAATAAGCTGAATTTGAATACCGATTTTTGAAACGCGAAAAGATCTTACCTGAGCTGTAGGAGTTGTTCTTGTCTGGCCCTTAAGCACAGTAAGTGAGGACCCTCTCAAGTGGTGCGCAAGGGCTGGCCAGCCCCGTAAGTGAGGCGTACAGACGTGCCCATAAGAGTCGCACGTAAAAAAAACCCTTGCCTGTGCCGCTTGACGTCAAACAGACGTCATCTTCCCCTGAACTCAAAAACAAATTGCCATGGCGCTTTTTTCCCCAGGATGCTGTTTGCTTCGTGATTATAAGTTGTCAGATGGCAGATTAAAAAAAAATGGAAGTCAGAGAGCCCATTTGGGTTTTGAGAGTCCATGAAAAGATAAGGTAAACTTTCTGAAGATGGCTTCAGAAAGTTTGTGATGGCTTTTGTATTTACACCATTGATGTATTTTTTTCCTGTAGAGTTAGGTGACATGAAATATGATGAATGGGTAGATAAGGAGCGATTACTCGATTGCCTAAGAGAGTTTGTGTGACATTCCTGGAGGTAATGGATATAAATAGTCCATAATACAGGTTTTTGTGGGTTAGATCACGTAAATATAAATGTGTCGTTAAACCCGCCACCACCCTACGGCCAAATAGTAAGGTTTGTCGTGTAAGCAGAACATTGCCATTTCGTTCCAAGTACAGCACACCGGTGTGTTGGAGTGTAGATCTAACCCAAAAAACCCACTGCTGCTCCTTTTTTATTATAGAAATCACCTTTCCACAATAAATAGGTGTTCCTTAGACAGTGTTGAGCTAGTCGTGGGATATCTGTGGCTAAACTTGTGTTCGCTACCCGAGTATCGAGTAATTGACTCATTGACCGGAACCCACGTGAACACAGAAGTCTCGTCAAAACTTTTGAGAATATCATTCGGGTTCAGCTTAATAGCTTTAATTGTATTTACGAGATGTTCTTAGTTTTTTAATGAACGAAGAGGTCCTACCGATGTAGAGCTGTATAACGTTTCGTTACGCGAAAGCCTACACGTTAAACTGAAAGTGTAGGCCTCGCTTTTTCTTGTCATGTAATGTTGAAGGGTTTTGGATTATAAGTTCATTTGGAAAATTACTCAAAAATGGAATCATTTTCCCCAATTAGTTTTTTGTTCTCGACAATTGTGGCGGGGGGGGTGGGATTAGTTCCAGTGTGAATATTAAAAGGTAAAAATCCTTCACGAGCTTCGATTTAAAGCTTTCGTGACTGCATGGATTCATCTTCTTGGTTCTTTCGGTAAAGTCACGTCGAAGTAAAATAATAAAATAATAAAACGTAATAAAATTATCACGACGTTTCGGGCCACAACACAAGCAGCCGTCTTCAGGTGAAGAGCGCTGTCTTCCTGACTGTTATGTTTCTTCACCAGAAGACGGCTGCTTGTGTTGTGGCCGAAACGTCGTGATAATTTTATTTTATGTTTTATTTTATTATTTCCCTTCTACGTGACTTTACCGAAAAAACCAAGAAGATGAATCCTTCACAAGCTTTGTAATACTCTTGAGAAATGTCTTTTACCAGCTCTCAGGTGGTTAAGCAGCCTTTTAATCTTAAGTTTGTTTGCTAGACGTTATTATTATTTGAATACTTTGGCTCTTGAACTTCTCCATGTAACCCACATGATAGTTAAAGCACGTCAGTATCTACGAATCCACTCCAGACTAAACTTTCATGACAGTCAAGCTGCTCACTCATAAGTAGATGGTGTAACAAATACAGAACAAGTTTTATGCATTGTTAGCTTTGGAAATTTATGCAATTTCAGCCTGTATTTTAAACACTATAAAGATGCTGTTAATAATTTGAAGTAAGTGGCTTTTTCACTTGGGCTTAGTATGTCAACCAATTAGCTCTTTACTTCGGATAGATATAACTTGTCTCCCTTGATATGCAAATATAATAACTCGGTGCCAGATACTCCGACTGATTTTCACTTTTTCATCCACTGATGGTGCGCATTCATTTTCATGTCCGTGACAAATCATTGAAAAAAAGCCATTAAGTCATATTTGATGAAAGCTTTTGATAATTGCGTTCAAAATGACTCCCCACATGTATGATGAGGATGATTTAAAATTTTTTACTGTGACATTGCCTAATTTGTGCAACTGCCACCCCCCCCCCCCCTCCCTTAGTGGATGTGCCTCATAGTAACATAGTCTATCAGCCCATTAAAATTATTATAATTTACAGACCTTCGACAGACCACTGCTGAATGAAGTCCTCCACGTAAATTTCGATTCAAAGCTTTCGTGACTTCCGGGATTCATATTCTTGGTTCTTTGGGTAAAGTCACGGCTGCCTGTGTTGTGGCCGAAACGTCGTGAGAATTTTATTCTATTATGTTAAATTTTTATTATTTTATTATTTCCTTTCTACGTGACTTTCCCGAAAGAACCAAGAATATCCTCCACGTAACATAATTTCCCCCCCCCCCCCCCCCCCCCCCGGTACGATTCCCCACTAGTGAGTGACAAGGTGTGGGGGAACCCAAGACTGGTTCTGTTATTAGTCGCAGCTTGGAATTGAACTTGGCTGGGTTCATAGCGCTGTCGGCTAAACCATTGAGTGACCGCGTCACCCACAAGCCAAATATTTTATAATACGCGTGTGTGTATATATATACGTAGCCGTTGGCGTGCTGCGCTATGAATCTTCGTTCGATCCCCTCTCATCCGTGACGATTGCTGTGTCTGAACTGGTGCTGGGCCTCTCCTAGGTCGACTCTGCCTCAAATGAGTGCCTGCTGCGATGTGTAAGCGTCGCCACTGGGGTGACGGTGGCTGCACATGGTGTTGGCCACACCACTCCCTCGTGTTCCGTTACGACTTTGATAGGTGCTCGCTAACAGCACTTGCCCCGACAGTCTTAAGACTATACGGGGGATGTTTTGCCTTTTGTGTATCTACATAATGTGCTGTTTGGTAACAAGGAACTCAATGTGAGGATTTACCAGACTTGTGTTGATTGATCTGCAGAGGAGCTTCAGCGCTAGCTATTGGTCATGTGTGCTATGGCAGGGAGTTTGGGCTTAGGAAGGTTCTCTGCGCAAACTCGATAGAGGGCACTATTTGCATGCAAGAGTGTATTTCATTCCGTTTATTTGACAGTTTATTAAGGGGCCATCCATTTAGTACGTACAGTGAGGGAAAAAAAAGTATTTGATCCCCTGCTGATTTTGTACGTTTGCCCACTGACAAATGATCGGTCTATAATTTTGATTGTAGGTTTATTTGAACAGTGAGAGACAGAATAACAACAAAATCCTGAAAAACGCATGTAAAAAATGTTATAAATTGATTTGCATTTTAATGAGGGAAATAAATATTTGACCCCCTCTCAATCATAGAGATTCCTGCCTCCCAAGTGTCTTTTATACAGGTAACGAGCTGAGATTAGGAGCACACTCTTAAAGGGAGTGCTCCTAATCTCAGCTTGTTACATGTATAAAAGACACCTGTCCACAGAAGCAATCAATCAGATTCCAAACTCTCCACCATGGCCAAGACCAAAGAGCTCTCCAAGGATGTCAGGGACAAGATTGTAGACCTACACAAGGCTGGAATGGGCTACAAGACCATTGCCAAGCAGCTTGGTGAGAAGGTGACAACAGTTGGTGCGATAATTCGCAAAGGGAAGAAACACAAAAGAACTGTAAATCTCTCTCGGCCTGGGGTTCCATGCAAGATCTCACCTCGTGGAGTTGCAATGATGATGAGAACGGTGAGGAATCAGCCCAGAACTACACGGGAGGATCTTGTCAATGATCTCAAGGCAGCTGGCACCATAGTCATCAAGAAAACAATTGGTAACACACTACGCTGTGAAGGACTGAAATCCTGCAGCGCCCGCAAGGTCCCCCTGCTCAAGAAAGCACATATACATGCCCGTCTGAAGTTTGCCAATGAACATCTGAATGATTCAGAGGACAACTGGGTGAAATTGTTGTAGTCAGATGAGACCAAAATGGAGCTCTTTGGCATCAACTCAACTCGCCGTGTTTGGAGGAGGAGGAATGCTGCCTATGACCCCAAGAACACCATCCCCACCGTCAAACATGGAGGTGGAAACATTATGCTTTGGCGGTGTTTTTCTGCTAAGGGGACAGGACAACTTCACCGCATTAAAGGGACGATGGACGGGGCCATGTACCGTCAAATCTTGGGTGAGAACCTCTTTCCCTCAGCCAGGGCATTGAAAATGGGTCGTGGATGGGTATTCCAGCATGACAATGACCCAAAACACGGCCAAGGCAACAAAGGAGTGGTTCAAGAAGAAGCACATTAAGGTCCTGGAGTGACCTAGTCAGTCTCCAGACCTTAATCCCATAGAAAATATGTGGAGGGAGCTGAAGTTTCGAGTTGCCAAACGTCAGCCTCTAAACCTTAATGACTTGGAGAAGATCTGCAAAGAGGAGTGGGACAAAATCCGTCCTGAGATGTGTGCAAACCTGGTGGCCAACTACAAGAAACGTCTGACCTCTGTGATTGCCAACAAGGGTTTTGCCACCAAGTACTAAGTCATGTTTTGCAGAGGGGTCAAATACTTATTTCCCTCATTAAAATGCAAATCAATTTATAACATTTTTGACATGCGTTTTTCAGGATTTTGTTGTTATTCTGTCTCTCACTGTTCAAATAAACCTACCATTAAAATTATAGACTGATCATTTCTTTGTCAGTGGGCAAACGTACAAAATCAGCAGGGGATCAAATACTTTTTTCCCTCACTGTACGCATGGAGGGGGGAGGGGGGGTTAACCCAAATGCGTGCGCTTGAGTGTGGGGGGTCTACTGACAGTGTACGTACGCAGAGGAAAGGGGGGGGGGGGATGAAGCCTCGATAATAATTTGTCAACATTGGTCTTCAAATGAGCCACAGTTCAGTTTCTTCAGCTGTCAGACTACAAGTACTGCCGGGAGAAGTGGGACTGTGGGAGAGGTGTCACTCTTTGTGTGCCACCGTACCCCTGACTGCAGCTATCACGCGGCGCAGCAAAATAGTGGCCAAGGTACGCAACTTAATTGTTTAATGCAGCCGGCGGTGGACTATCTATTGCTTAAACACGTTAATATTAATAACCCTTGATCTTTTCTGCGTTCTATAGGATTCGGGGGGGGGGGGGCGGGGGGGTGCGTCAAGCGTACGTACGCAGGTGGGGGGGGTGTAAAATGTACAGGGAGGGGGGGAGGGGTCAAACTTTGACACATTTTTGCATACCTTTTAAATGGATGGCCCCTAATGTCAGTGCAGTCCATCAATATTGTTAACATCCTTTCAATCATCACCCAGTGATCCAAACTGTTTCTTCTTAACTTTTAATGCAACACCACACAGCAAACGCATGATATATCTTGTGTAAAGTACGAGTAATATAATAAAAGTGTAAAAGAAGCAGCATGTACTATGTGCACAACATTCTGTCAATCCTATTACGCAAGCGTGGGAGCAGCGTTGAAGTTGGGAGGGTTTGGTTGGCCATGGATCAGTGGTTCTTAACCTGGGGTGCATGCAACCCCAGGGGGTGCGGGATGCCCCTTTCTGGGGGTGCCAGGTGTTTTTAAGAAGGGGGAGATCATCGAAACAAATTAAGCGCGCATGTACAACTACTGTGTTTCATCAATCCGATGTATTAACATACACTTTTTAACGCTTGAGAACCCAAGGGGCCGCAAGGCTGCTGTAAAGGTTAAGAACCACTGCCGTGGAGATAGCCAATAGGGCCCTTTTAAAGCTGTTGGAGTCCAAAATTCGGTGCAAATGCCAAATTCCGCTTTGTGCCCGCATATTCCAATGCTCTATTTGAGATGTAATACTTTTTGACGTGCAGTCATTTAAAAATGCACACGAACACTACTTCGCTATACAAGCGAGTTTAATGTCTCCATGTAAAAACGATTCATCTTGGTGCTAGTATATTTAAAAATTAGCTCTTGTAAAATAGGCTAACAAGTATGAAATGTCATGCCTTAACTGTAGGTGGCGCACATAGATAAACGTTCAAAGACCACCATTATATATTTTTATAAACCTTTCTCTGTTATTTAAATAATATACGTTTAAATAGCTTTCAGATATGGTCAACTTAACTCACACTTATTGTGCCTCTTATAAAAGACAACACTCTTCAACACTTTATTACATTAAGGTACATAACAGCTCAGCAAATTACATTTCTAAAGCCATACCATACACGATTTTCATAATACATTGTATAATACTTATAAATTGCAGTGAACTTAAAAAAAAATCCCACTCAAAGGTGGGTGGTGTCCATCTTATTTATAGAGCTAAACCACTAGCGAAAATTCCATAGTGCTATGATGAGGCCAAGGCTATGCATATGATTACCACTGTTGACTGCCATCTAGTGGTACTTATTTAATGACCCTTGACTGGGATTTTAATTATTTCAATTAATTTCGTCTTTGTCTACAACTTTGTAAAATTTGCGCTGTCAGTATAATGTCATGAAATAAAAAAAAAAATATCCAGTCTGAATTCACTGAGCACAGCGTTATCACCTTGTGCGAGAGAGCAGTCCATGCAAGCGGATGTCACAGAACCATTTCCGAGATCCCTTCAAACACTGGGGGGGCAGCACTTTCCCACCCATCCTATTGCAGAGAGGTAACGGTTAATCACCTGACAGTCAAGCCTATATTTTTAGTTCTCTGAGCTGGTAGTTAGCCCATTGAAGTGCCAAACCGAATGTAACATGATGGGGTGTTTTGTCTAATCATTGTTCACCAGGCTAATATTTTTTATATTTTTATCGCGCTTAACTGTACTTTCCAGTTTGTTTGCATCGTGTTTAGAGATGTTATTTATATTCAAAACGTCTTCACAGTTGCAGAAGGTGTCGTCACAAAACTTCTGACGTTCTTTAACTTTGCCTTCCTTAAACATACTAGGGGAACACCTTTTATTTCCCCTACAAAGACGGTTCATCACATAACTAATCAAACGCTCTTCTATTTTTTTATTTAAAGCTTTCGTGACTGCAGGGATTCTAATTCTTGGTTCTTTCGGCAAAGTCACATATTTTTATTATTTTATTGTTTCCCCTCTACGTGATTTTACCGAAAGAACCAAGAATTTAAACTCTATTCTATCAATTTATTATACTTTGAAATTCAAATGTAATCATGGATGACTCTATTTGAACCCATGATTCCACTGGTGCTCTTTTATATGGCATGATTTCCAGAACCACCGAATCCCCAATCAACGATTTGATCTCGCCGCCTTCAAATGTAGAGCCGAACGCCTTTTACACAACGTCAAACAATAAAACATCGTGAAAATGCAATCAATTTATATGGATATAACTTTAAACCCCTGTAAGGTATGTTTATGAATGACGTCGAGGGAATTGTGTAAGACTTAATTCCACGGTTAATCACAGTTTGTCTTTTAAAACAAAATTATTCTATGTGGAATTATGGATCGGTGAGGACGTATTACCTTTATCTGCACATGTATGAAAGTTACAGTGAAAAAATATTTAAGTGCGCTAAATTGCATTCACCTACTGAACATCGAAATAATGTTTCCGATAATAACATTCAGAAAAGTGTATTGAATGATAAAATATTAGAGGTGCATGCTTCATCTCTCATAGGACCCAGTTGTATAGGGACCGATCACCACCTTAGTCCAATCCTGAGCTATTTGATTACATATCTGTTTTCTCCCAACTGATCACTTTGCAAGAACATCCATTCCCAGTAGTACGTACGATGATACGTTAACACGAGCCCCCAATGGTGAGCACTGTTGTGGTGTTGAGGGTGAGCCCCCCCCCCCTACCCTTCCGCTTTGTTGAATTACAAAGTGGTGAATGTGATTACATTTATCAGTCAAAAGAGCATTTTTACAATTGTAAATATCATTAACGGTAATCTTCAATTTTGAGCCCCTCGTCAATCACCGCTTACGTTGGCCTGTGCCAGCTAATCAACCGAGGTCGCAGGGTTTAAGCGGAATGCGCTAAACGCCGTGCCACCATTCTCCCAAATTATTAACTTTGACCGATAAATGTAATATGCATTTCGTACCAAACAAAGAATACAATGTCATATAAAACTAAACTAAATTAACCCCCGGATTTGACAATTCAATTCAGGATTTTGTAATTCAAGAGGATGCCTAAAAGCATCACAACAACAGTGGCGGTTAAGAGCTACTTTTAAGGGTCCCGCAGCCTAATTGGCCAATCGGGTTGTGACCCAATCTTGGGTGGGTCACAATCTTGGGTGGGTCACAACCCGGTACAATACATTGAAGTGTCGATGCACGATCCGATTGGCTGACGTGATCCAAACCGACCCGTGCATTACATCCTGTCAGCTACGTTATTACTATGCTCCGTATTTGATATTGGTAACAGATGTGTTGCTCTCGGCATCAGAAGCTTGCGATGACCGTGTAAAACTGGGCTGCCTGGTTCGTCTTCGCTGCTTCTGACTGATCAATCTGACTTCACTGAGCAGCCGCATGAAATCATTTTTGAACTTGCTGCCTATGAATGCATAGAGAAATGGGTTCAGACAGCAGTGGCTGAAGGCAATGCCCTCTGCAGCTTGCTTGGCATACATTAAGCTTGTTTGAGCCTTGCATGTCATTGCATCATTGTATCCCAGGTACGCCTCTAGAAACATGATGACATTAAAGGGCAGCCAGCAGAAGAAGAAAGCCAACACCACTGCCAGAATTACGTAAAATGCTTTTAACTTTTTGTAGTTTTTCGTGTGCATGAGGGTGATTGTTATGCTGGAATAGCAAGAGAGCATGATTATAAATGGTATCAAGAAACCAAAGATGTTTTGAACAATTGCCAGTCCCAATTTCCAGTCAAGAATTTTGCTCTCAATGTTGTGTCCGCAAGTTATTGTAATACCATCGTCAAAGGTTTGGGCTTTACATAAAACAATATCAAAAATGCTCAGGGAGGATGCAAATGCCCACACAAATGCACATATATATTTCACATTCTGCAGCCTCCTTATTTTGTTGAACTTTGTGGCAAGGACCACGGCATTAAAACGGTCAATGCTCATGCACACCAGGAGGAAAATCCCGCTGTAAAAATTAACACTGTAACAAGCAGTGACGAGTTTGCACATGATGTTACCGAAAATCCACGTGCCATTGGCCGATTCATGAGCCCAGAACGGCATTGTCGCTGCAAAGATTAGATCGGCAATGGATAGATTTAAAAGGTAAAAATTGGTCACTTCTTTGTGTCTCTTGAACTTGACTAATATCAGTATAACTAATGCATTGCCTATGAAAGCCAGGATGAAAACAATTGAATAGATGATTGGCAGAAGTGTCTTGCTGAGCTCCTCTGCATCAAAATCACATGACATTCCATTTCTTCCCGATGCGTAATCCGATCCATTATCTTCAGTAGACATATATTCAGTCGTCTCCGTGAGCATATCGGCATTGGTTGACCATATGACGTTACCCTTTAAAAGATAACAACATGGAATTGTTATTTATTGAACAACTGTAATATTTATGAAATAATACATTTTCCCAATAGTAACAACATTTTTAAAACATCCAAATATCCTTAGAGGCTAATCATGCTTTCAAGCAGTTTCAGTAAATACATTTATCATCCTTGGGTATATTGCAAGTATTTATACAGCATTCTGAACGAGGACTGATGTTAAATATAGCGCAAGCTCTGTTATCCGGCACTTTACCATCCGGAATGCTCTATTAACCGGCATTTGTCATAGACGGAAATTCATATCTTCCTTCACTTGTGCAGAAAAATACTGACGGCCGTCCGGTATCTTGCTGTGTGCCTCTCATAGCTCTGTTGTTTGCGGGAGCTTCAGGTTCGCTGCCGAGTGGTAAGCCAAGTGGCAGTCTGCACATTACAGTATTATACGACTGTATACTGTACTCTAAACGGCCCTGCTGCTTCTCTACAATAAAGAGTATATTATTTATTGCATCGGAGTTAAAGTGCAGACTCAGATTCTTTCTTGAAAAGTGTTGTGTACTTGGAAAATTTGATGAACCGTAAGTGTAACTCTCAGATAACGGTATATTTAATTAACCGGCACCCCCCCCCCCCCCCCATTTCGGATGGATGCCGGATAACAGAACGTTTTCTGAACAGTGCATAATGCTTAGTTTAATATAGCATCGTCGTTCACACAAATTGCATCTCACAATTGCTTCAGGACCACACAAACTGGAGGGAAACGAGATGGTGAGCTGGCACCAACAATCGCCAAAGATCTGCAGTCCACTATATATCAATATATTATCGGCCATTTCATCTACTGGATAATTGCGAAAAAGACCTTTATAGCTCATCGGATTCCTGTATAAATACATATTCCGATTCTGATATTTATATATGCATGTGGGAGGAAACCAGAGCACCCGGAGAGAATCCGTGGCATGTGAGACGGCAACCTATCATCCCATACAGAAGGGACAAATTGTGTTAGTCTGCACTTTGCTGTGTTCCATTCTCTTGGCAAGCCCCAGGGTATGGCGCCTCGACGCCCATGGTAAGGCAACCAAACCTTGCCTCCACAGTGCTGGATTATAGGTGTGCGCTTCCAGTGCCAGGCTACGTGGTTGTGTTTTTAATGGCAACACTTTAAGAGACGATAGATACGAAATGAGTGATTCATCCTATTTATAAAATTCAATATAAATAAAAGTCACTGTTTTAATGGCAGCGTACTGCTATTCTGCCACACGAAAGTCCCTTTTTGAAATGTATACAATAAAAGGCCCAATTCACATCTTGATGAAATGTCTGAAACACCTCGCCTTGACGATTTGAATCATTGTTTGCTGATAAAGACCTTGGCACATTTTTCAGGGGAGAAAAGACTGCACAAACAACTTTAGACGTTAAGCCAGAAATGCCGCTTGTTAGCTACATCATTGAAACATTAGTTAATTTATAAGCTGACGTTTCTCATCCCCGTTTAAAAGCCACAATGCATGCAAGACACAATTCACTGTATTCCATTTGCCTCTTGTGAAATTCTCCAGATGTGTGGATCATGTAGGAGGATTAGTGTGAGATGAATGTGGGACACGTGAAAGATGAGTGAGCATAAACAACTTTATAATTTGCCGTTTAGATACATGTGGCAACCATGATTTTAGCAGTATGTTGATTAGCTGTAATGCAATAACTTAGCTTTAATGCTTTCACCGATCTTAGTCAATACAGTAGTACATCTACAATATTATGTTAGTGTAAAAATAATGTGCAGTAAAAAAATAATCACCCCCATTGCAGTCTCCGATCGCGGTTAAATCTTCAAAATCTCTTCTGAAGTCTTGTATCGCTAGTTGGCATCTGCAAGAGTATCGTATCGTATTATATGTTGTGTTTAAATACGGCTGTCCAAATAATTACCAAGGCATGTATATCCATGCCGTGAGGGTGCCGTGATGCCCTATTTGATGGTCGAGTATTATGTAGAAATTACTTGCTGCTAAACACGTTTCATTGTTCATTCTCATTGGTCGTAGTAAAGACTGTCATTGGCAAATCTGAATTGGGTAACATTTTCTCCAATTGGAGTTATGCTTTTGTATCTCCAATTGAATGGACACGATTGAAGAATTCATAAAGAAGGCAGCACATTGTCTGTAGATAATTATGTGCAAGATAAACAACATGTACAGCAAGTTTTATAAATAATTAAGATATTTATCAGAGGGACACTACTGGAAAATATCAGTGTGTGTATACCTGTGCCAAGCAATGAAGATGGATCGCCACCAAACGATTAAATAAAGAGACACGAGATAGCAGTGCTTTTGGAAAACTAAACTTAATAATAGTAAGCAGCATACAAGTGGGCCTGAAGAAGAACGTTTGATTGACAAATGAAAGCTTAGATGTTTGCACATAAGCGTAGAGTGGTGCGTGTTTGGAATTCACTGACAGACAGAAAGAGGAACACCTGGGGATTAAAGAACATACGCAAGTTAAAGATAATATCGTTTACGATGAGAACAGGTAAGTGGCCTTGGGCACAGCATGTTTTTAGAAGGGATGATGGTTGGTGGTCAAGACTGACAGTGGAATGGTATCTATCGCAGAGAAGATACAAAAAGGTCCATTCCAACATGATGGAGAAATTAAATCTGCTTATGTGCATGTACTCGATCGATTGTTACATTGCAGGACCGTGAAAGATGACAACATCTTGGGGAGATCTTCATCCAGCAGTGGATTGATCATGGATGGTGATGATGTAATTAATCCCAAAACGTTAGTCCCACAATTGGTTGTTAAACTTTTGACCTTAATCCTGTGGTAGAAAGTGACTTACTCGGAATTGTGATTCAAGTTCTCCAGAACAAATACAGCTGCGTTTCAAAGTCATATATGGTAATGTGGAAGCTTTGGACATTACTCACTGTTTAACTCGCTGTGATGCAGTGGAATATCCGCACACTTACTGTGGAAATTTCTTATTAGCTTTGCTTATCGCATATGATGTAGTTTATCGATAAAGTCTTATATTTAACTTTAATTAAAAATATACCAGATGTTAGCTGAATATTTGTAAATGTTTATACTGTAGAACTTCCATGAAAATGTGAAACTAAACAAATACAAAAACATTAATGTAAGAAGACACTTTTGGGCATGAAGCTACTCCTAAATATGTAACTATCAGGATAAAATATTATTTGCTAAATTAACTTATTATTATGCTTATTTATACATCAAAACCTCAGTCTCGCGACTCATTTCCCAGAGGGTTCTGGCAGGTTATCACAGTTCAGTATTCCCTCGTTAATCACGAACTTGCTGTCCTAGATTTTGGCTCTCTGCGAATCGCATTTGGAACTCGACACGACTGCATCGAGAAAGAGAGCATGATGAGAGAGATGGAGAATAAACTTCTCGAAGCTTTCATAGGCATCTGCAGACGTTTGCGCGTGTACGATATTCGTAGAGCCGATATTGTTATCCACGAAATTTCATCTTCTCGACCATCTCCGGAACATATCCCTCGCCAATAATGAGGGAATACTGCAATGCCAATCAAGTGTATCTTGCAGGTAACTGTTCGACTATGGACCATTACGCTGGCATGATGGGATCTCTTTAATCTGCGCTGTGAAACCAGCGGGTGCACGTATTTTTGCGCTCGATGCAACCGCAGTCATGACCACGACAACTCTTGGATTCGAAGCGTCAACCTGCACAGCAAGAGCAAGCAGGGATTGCGTGCCACGGTTGGCCATGTAACCACCTGGGCTGCCGTTAATAATATACTCGTTGATATAAAGCGCCTTTCAAATTGGTAATCTCAAAGTTCCGTACATCCAGAGGTGTACACTTTTTTCCCCCGCCCGACTGAAATTACATTTAGACGATTCGCGACGTGCCACTCTGGGTTTTACCGCACATCTCAACAGAATCCGGTAAAAAGTTAAATTCCCCCCTAAAGATGTAAATACTGTAATTTCCACATACATTTTATTTACAGTGAATTCATCAAAAGTTACATTGAATTCATCCTTGCAGATGTATCAGATGCCCATTTTTTATTGTATAAAGGTTACAATGCACGCAGTAACTATCACATTTCAAATGTTTATCAATCGCAATAAAGCATCCTTTTTATCAAAATCTTACCAGTACTTGGCAAAGTATTCAAAACCTTTTGCCTTTGGCAGTGTTCCCGTGAAAAGACGTGTTTCCCACGGTGCAGGCTGGCTTTTTAAATGATCTGGGAGGGTCTTAGGCAGGATGCACAGTGCGAAAAGTACCAAATTGCTGGTTTATCAGCAGGAACCTGTGGCACGCAGTTCTCTATCTAGCCACAGCAGCAATGTAACCAGGAGTTGGGGCAAAAAGGGAACCTTCTGGATAAGGATTGAGAACTTTGGAGGTGTGGTTTGCGATAAAAAAATTAAGGCTTTTTGGTTTTTGTGATTGTGAAAAGGGTTTGGTTTTCAATGTTAAACCAATTTTTTATATTTGTTAGTGCTATAATATACAAATTCGTAAATGTATGCATGATTTAAAATTCGGTACAATGTTGTAGTACCACTGCTATATTTTTAGAACATGTCAACATAAACTTATGTGAGTAACAAAAACTGGTGATGCCGTAACCATACATTTACATGTGAAGTTATTTAATATTTTGCATGTATGTTTAAAACTATTTTAATTTACTCGCATGGATTAAGGATGCACAGTGGGATTGAACCACACCGATTGTAATGGAACAATGCCTTGTAAGGTTTTACCCAATATATAACAAATTTCACGGCCTATGAACATTATCCCTGAAGCATCACATGCATTGACGTAGGAGATCAAATGTTATTATTGCTACTACATTATATGGCTCATTCTTAAAGTATCATTTTGTATGTGTAAATTCTAAGTTTTATATTTCTTATAGCAGCTCTCTACACTTTCAAAACTGTGTGATCCGTTAGCTGCTTAATTTTAATGTTGGCAAAAGCCTTAATGTTTAGCTCCGCTTTTTGTGTGTTATTGTTCCTGCGTACAGATTTTGCACCACTAACCTGTACAAGGTCTTGAGTGTACCAATCTTGGCTCTGCGGTTAGTGGACTCATGCCCGTGACTGTGGTATGTGAAATGGAGATTATTTTGCACAAAACCGCAAAGGTGTACACAAACGTGCGTGGCTTTTGATGATTGTTAAATTCTGCTGGACTCTCACTTGAATGACATTCTTAAATGTATTCTCACATAAAATGTAATGGTTATTATAGCTAGCAACCCCTTGTCTATCCATTTCTGTTTGAAGGCCTCCCCCCAAGCCTTTTACTACTCGTTGTGGTTGTTTTTCCATACCTCACCACTCCGGTCAGTCTATGTGGGTGGCAAGCGGGGTCAGTTTGAATACTACTTGCAACTGTTGTATGTATGTATGTTGAACTTCTGTGCTCATCGGAGGTGCGGGAGAAGGTTGGCTACGTACGGTGCGAAAGAAGTTCACTATACATACAAACGCAAAAAGCAGTTGTAAAGGAATTCGTTTTCAATTTAGATTTCAAAGTGCACTGCTCCAGTGGCTTCCTAATATTGGAAGGAAAGAACGTTCCAGGCAGCAGAAGAAGCGCATCTGAAAGCGCGTAATGCTGTGACCGTCTTTGTTCGATGGTTCGCCAAAAGCCGCTGCTGCGAGGATGGATCGGAGTTTGCGCGATGGGGTTATGCTCCTTGACGAGATCAGTAAAGGTATTGTGGTTCATTTGTGGCAGGTACTTTGTGCGTAATGAGCGTGACCTAGTAATGAGCACAACCACAGTTGTTAGCTATTGACGAAAATCGAACTTGGCAGTTTCTTAGTTCATTGCCTGATCCACTTCACCACTGTGCCACCTGAATACAGAATAACCAGCCTACATTGGTATAAAACTGCAAGCACATTACATAATATTTGTACGAGTGTGCATGCCGCTATAACGCCAGTGCACAAGTCTCTCCACTCCTGTTGTGTTAAGTGCATGGCTCTGGCTTCTGTCTTCCACCAATGGGGGGGGTGGGCGGGGTGGGGTTCCAGGTTTCGGCAGCCCGAGTCACGCGTTTCACACGCAGAGACACTGCCATGAAGTGGCGGCAATGCACGCGGCCTATAATCCAGCACTGGGGGGAAGCGCGAGGGTTGGTGCATCGCACAAATGTTGTGAAACTCCTCTTGCCGTGGGCGTCGAGGAGGTTCCTTCATACCCTGGCTCGCCAGCAGAAGGTGGATTAGGTACTGCAAGTGAGCTAATGGGCGGGCTTCCTTTTCTATCTTTACGGGGATCGGGTATTACCGCCTCGCACGCGCGTGTTTTCTCTGGGTGCTCCGGTTTCCTCCGACTTGTACAAACACTCATCATGAGTTGGCTGAAAACATCGTGAAATGAAAACCCAATGGCAGAACCCTCCCTGGCTTTCCTGAATAATTAAATAAGGAATTATTTATAAATAAGGGTTTATCTGTTTACACTTCCCCCATGTATTCCACACAGGTTGTTGGGAAAAGTGTTATTACCCGTTACGGCCCGATTAGTGACTTACCGTTCTTTTTTTTTTTACCTACACCTCCATGCTGGGATCTCATCCCTCTGGAATGATAGAGGCGTCACTGATTATTGAAGATCTGAAAAAAATAATCGCCTCCTAGGCTTCATCCTTTACCGATTTTGATACTTTATTGTTTCACCCTTAACCCTTGTGCATTACTAACATTATAAATGAGTCGATCAGTTCCCTGGCTGGAGTGAGGAGTTGAGAATTCACCTCCCCGTCAATGTTTTTTTATTTGTTGATTTCTGCACGTAATAGTTTTGTTCACGGATTCCTTCTTTGGGATTGAGCTGCTTTGATGTCAATTTGTAATTATTGTTCAGCATTGTTTCGATGCAGTTGCATGAGTGAAGCCACGTAACATTAAGTGTCGTTAATATCAGGGCGGTGCAGAATTTGAGTTCCCCTGCACAACCGGTAACCTGTAAACAAAAACATGTTTTCGTAATGTTTGGCCCCCGCCCACCCCCTGCGTCTTTGGTTGCATAGAAACAGTGTGAGAACACCTGTGTGCCATTTGCGTGGCTTAAGTCTTGTGGCTCATGGCTGTGGTTGGAATCATAAGTTTTACAGTTGTGCAAGAAGGGTTCCTGGACAAATTATTTTAAAATGTATGCAGTTTGTAAATAGAAATGGTTGAATGTTCTCTCTGTTAACACAAAGTATGATGTCTCTAATATATGTTGTCTGTGTGTTGATCTTCATCTCTCGGTGTAATTCCAGGTATACATCTCGACGGTTCTCTGTCTACATTTCAGCTTTTGTTCTTTTCCAAATTCCCATGTTGCCAATTAATGTACCATAATATTCTCCACATCGAATGGCCCGGCTCGTAATACACACCACGTATTTGTGCCCGGTGCCAATTAAACTACAAATCATAAACACCTACCGAGTTAGAAGATGCATCCCCAACCTTTGCTTTCAAATACATGGAAAAATTGCGTGTCTCTATAATGTGGAGAATACAGCAATTGTTTAGATAAATTGTTGGTCAAAACTGGAAAAAATGCTTGCCTCTGATCACACACATTCATTGTTTTACAAACATTATTGGGAACAGGATATTGTATTGGACAATTTAGAGGCGAACCATCACGAAAGCAAACCGGTTATAAGACAGATATACGCATCTGGAGATTAATAATGAAGTCACTACTGTTAGACTGATGAGGCAAATGTCTCGGTGGAAGATGCAAAATACATATCGGCAGGAAGATATGCTGTCATTTTGGAATATGTTTTCTGAAAATATAATCGTAGAAACAGAGGTTTAAACACTAATAAATAATTATTAACCATCTCAGATTTGCGGATCATGTAGTCGATAGAACAACTAGGATTGTTTTCTACCTGATGACGATTGCTCGTGTTGCAACCGAAACGTCGTATTCTATTATTAAATGTATTTTCTTTCTACGTGACTTTACCGAAAGAACCAAAGAGTAACTAACGGAATGACGTACAGGAAATTGAGTAACATGAAAAACGGCTGAAATCGTGCTCAAGATAGGTTGAGGAAGTTAGTTACCACGTCTATATTCATATAAGTGATACATTAGTTTAAAACCTACAAAAAAGCAACATTTCCGAGCAAGCGTTTTTTAATTCATGTTTATCTGATTAAAACGTACGTTCAGTCGCGTGCTCTCTGTGCTTAAAGGTGGCAACGTGGCACTTGGGAATTAGTTGCCGCGTGCACAGGTCTTTGGACTTCCAGGAGTTGTGAACAGTTCATTTACTTACCGCATTGACGCATGAGAGTGCTTTGGATTTTTTTTGCGTGCGCGTGTGTCGTGGTCACGCGTAGCACGCGCCCGGCTGTGAGTCAGTGCGCGCACGATTGCGTGCACTTCTTTTTACGCTTTCCAACTGAGCTTGGCATCGCCAGTGCATTAGCTCCGTCCAATCTGGCCTCATGTCTGTCTATCTCTGTATAGAGAGGTAATTTTAACTCCCACCAAGATAAAACCATTATAAAGTAAACTATGGTTGGGTTGCTATTAGGGACTATATATATAAAACTAGCAAGAGTTTATATGTATTAAACTCTTGGCCGTTTTCCCTTGGTCGATGACGTTACATGTCGTGCCAGCTCGCACAGATTACGTAATCACACGACGTGATCTCAAGACGTTAGCTGTGATATCGTCTCCTAATCCACCTCGAACACGAATGTTATTCATCATTATCCGTGATCGGTCCACAGCTGGTTGGAGGCTTTCCCAATCCGTCGCCATATCTCACATGTCTGCGCTGTTGAAATCCATCCCGACGCCTGCACACAAGCTGATTTCAATGCTCATTCTTCCCGTGTGTCGTATTCCTGGACGCGTTCCCTAAGTCTCCTATGCTGTGATTCATCATTATTTTTTTTTTATCATTGGCCATCATCTCTTCTAGCGTCATGTCCCGCCCAAGCCCACTGACTTTTCAAAACAATTTGAATAATGTAATTATCCTGTGTATGTTCTCTAAAAAAAAAATGTATCACTTCCGAGTACAGATTCATTTTGGAAAGCGTCGTAAAATCCATGCTTGTGCGTGAATTTTTTGCCCGTTTTGAGAATTGCCATGAGTGCAAAGGTTGAGGTGTCATCCTTTTCAATCGGCGCTCACTGCAGCCATTGTTGCACGTTATTGTGATCTTCCTATGGGGACGAGATAAAAAAAACTCCCTTGGTGTTGGCTTATTTGGTTTTCTGAACGTAGAAGAAGACCTGATGCAGGCAGTGATGAGAAGGGAACCAGCTGTATTTGGACACACATGGGATGGACAACAGGAAAATGAAAAGTGTGTTTGTTGTTTGGAAAAATGGTAAGGAACCGGAAAAAGTGGGAGACTTCACAGAGAATGACTTGACGGCGACATCGGAGATTGGTGTCAGATGTGGCTATGACTTGAGCATATTGGCATAAGACAGAGGAAAGTGGAAACAAATTACAAAATGTGCAGTGGACACCTGAGGGGCTAAATCTGCCCTTGGATTGTGATGATGAACCTTTTGACGATTTAAATAACATCGCAACAGTTTTAACTGCATTCGAAGCTTTCGTGACTGCAGCAATTAATCTTTGGTGTTTTCGGTAAAGTCGCGTATTTCTTACTTATACGTGACTTTACCGAAAAAACCCAAGAGTTTCAACTGCAGTTCATCTCTACGTGTTATAGCACTTCTCTAGATTTTCCACCCACCATGGCGCATCTGAAACTTATTGTTTAAATTTGGTAGAATGTTTGTGGATATTTGCAAAGCACCACATGTTTTTTTTATAGACAGCACCGTATTCTCCAGATTGAGACACAGCTTTCCCTCCCCGCCCCCCCCCCCCCCCCTGTATTTTAAATCAAAAGTTGGGGGATTCGTTTTATAATTATAATCTGGAAGGTGTGTGCGTGTGTCACCAGATTTGCACAAGTTTAGTGACGCCAAGCATCTATTTGGGGTGTCTTACTTCCAGGAGCCATGTCATGGCATGTCTCCACCCCAACAACGAATCTCTAATGTTAAAAACATGCGATTACTTTCATATACAAACATTGAAAGTCCACCACTTCTCATAGCTGCACAACTCATAACTTCCATTTACAAAATAAGGAAATTGTTATTCCAGGTATCCTATGCAATTATAAAACAGCTTCACACTGTTTTTGTAAATGTGTAATATATATACATGGGAAGTCTAAGAGGATGCAGCTGGTGATTGAAAACATGATACTGGTTTAGTTAACTTGTGTGCAAACACACCCACGCACACACATGTGACATCACAATTCAGCCCGAGACTATTGATTTTCCATCTTGGAACGTCTACGTTGTTGATGATGATGATGGAAGTCACCGTAACGGGCTGGCGCCGTTAGTGAACGATAACGAGTTTTCATTCTTGTCCTTTGTGCGCAGTGTCTCAATCGATCGCACTGCGGAAGAGTCCCAGCCTGCCCCCTTGGCCTTGGAACCAGAGATTCTACTTCTCAAGAACAGCGACCCTTCGTGAGCAGTGCATTCCGCGATCGTCAAAGTGGCCATTCTAGTTACTTTCATTCGAATTTACAAGAAGAAGGCAGTAGTATCTTTCATCTGCGTCTGGTTTTCAAATGTCAGGAATGATGTGCGATCACACATCTTTTGTGCAAATGTTTTAGGTAAACTTGTTAATGAGAGGCTTTGTAATTTATTAACCAAATCTAAAGACATTGCCCAGCCATTTGCTGGACTCGATTACTGTAATTGCACATTGAATGCGCCCACATATCAGGAGTATATTTGTAAATTAATATTTGTTACCTAGATTTATTTATTATGTAGAGGGTTCATAATGCTGGCATATAAATGTTCCCAAGTTAAAGTTGAGTGCTTACAAGAATAATTAATTTGTAAACATACAGCTTTATTTGTGAAACCACTTTTTGAAGAGAGCCTCCTAGCGCCATACTTCATGCTGGTCATGCAGGCGCATGTGTACTCGCTGCATTGCAGTCGGCTGATAAACTTAGCTCCGTGGCAGCCCACGACAACGCGTGATTTATGCATGGTGGTCAAAACTATCCAGGCTGAAACTTGCTTATCTTGTGAGATATGATGAGATCGGCACACACTTGTGGTTTTGGTCATCGGGTAATTAAGAATTTTATGTAACTAACATTTTGTACGTACGTTTAATTTGAGGGTGCTTAAAATGTAATACAATGTACAGTTTGAACATGCAAGCAATGTCTCAAGGTGCTGCTCTCACTGGTGTCAGTAAACACTGTGACATTAACAGGACATTTTAGGAAGTTTATTTAAGCGAATTGGGTTCGTGAGTCGGATGACATGTTCTTGCACGCACCAACATTCCTCTGCTGGCCTTCCCGTGAACTCTGCTGAACTTTCATGAAAATGTGCAAAGATTAAATCACACTTGACATTTAATTATCCGAGGTCGTGTTGAGTCATCGCATGCGAAGGTGCGCACTTGGTATAGTTTGCTTAGTTGGTAAAATTAAATTGGCCCTTTGACAACGCATGGGGAAGTAATTATTTCACTTTGGGCACAAGCCTGGTAATGTAAGTTTTCCTCATCGCCAATCCCAGGCTGTGCTGTCCAACTTTTGCTCTGGCTACGTTGACGTTGGTCTCGCTCCTGCCGCTGCCCTGGTCTTATCCGGATGCCTTGGTGGCAATATGTTAACTACCTCGCCCGGTATACAGGAGCTCGTGGGTTCAATTCCGACCCTGATGCCGGTATATTTGGAGTTTGGATGTTCTCCCTGTGGTCGCATGGATCTTTCTCAGGGTCCACCGGTTTTCCCTCCACATTTAGAAACATGTGTTTAAAGAATTTGGCTACTATACATTGCCACATGGTCATCCAACTTATTGAGCTATCATTTGTGGCCAGGTCACTTCTGAACAAAGGATATATAGCTCAGTCGGCCTTACCGACTTTATCGAGGGCAATTTTATCACATAAAACTAGATTGATTGATCTGGAAAAAAAATATATAGTAAATCGTTAAATAGTTGTTGGTCATGGCTGTGATGCCACAATGCCTTGTTTTACTCTCTCCTGCGGTTCCCCGCATGGCTCTTGCGTCAGCTACCCACTTGCTTCATCCCTTTTTAGTTGCTGAATACATTAAAGTTGTACGTCTAGTATATTCCGTTTCATTTGATCATTGGGTTACTTTAACTAGAATCTATTGGCTCGAATACAAGGGCCTGCAATAGCACGTAAAGTCTGCACAACTGCATTAGGCGAAAAGGGTCCAAAGGCTGATGGATTTTATTTTGTATTTACGTGCTGGAACCGGACCCTTGTTTAATCATCATGTTATTGCCCGCAATCAACGTGGCTAGTGGCTAATAATAATGGAACGTAGGAATAGCATTGCTGCCTTTATGTTAAAGGTTGCGTTGATTGTAACATTTCTCGCGGGCGCGCCGAAGGCCTTGTGCCAGCGCGCAGGCCACACCCCACGGGTGGCACTAAATCGCACGAGGTCAACACGTGAAGGGGGGTCGAGGAACCCTCATGGAAGAGCTTGCGTCTTTTTATCCCCCTCCTCCAAGGTTTAACGTGCCCCTGAGTCCCGAGGATGTGCGTTGCTTCGGCGAGTGCCGGCGCGAGCTGCACGTCAAAGCGGGAGCCTACGCGGTCATCACGATGAACGTGACCGAGAGCGGCCTCAGCCTGGCCTGGGAGTTCTCTTCCGAGAACCGCAACGTGTCTTTCAGCGTGGTGTGGCGCGACAGGCCCGAGCAGCCCGTGGAGAGTTCCGTGGTACGGAGCTGCCTGCGTTGGCACTGGCGCACGACCCGAGGGTGTCCGAGGCTCGTCATTGTGTTGAACCGATTCTGCTGTTGGGGGGGGAAGAAAAAAAAAATGCACCCCCTTTGAAGGCTGTTTGGCCGGGAGAATGTGGAGCAAGCAAAAACAAAAAAACTACTTAAATTATTAATGCAGAGACCAATAAGGGGAGGGGAGGGGAGGCATTCACAGCTCTCGGGATGAGTTTTGTAATTAATTGTTTACATTTTTAAGGGCCACTTTTAGATTTCATTCAGGGTTTTCAGATTTAAACTCTCATAATTTTAATTGTTCGCACAAAATGGAATAATTTTCATCATGTATCATTAATTATTTTTAATGTTAACTTCCATCAGTAAAACAGTCATTTAAATGTCATTTTTTAAATACTTTTATCAAAAAATTTCTGGTTTCTGAAAATCGATAACACATCCTTACCCGACTGGATAACAGAAGTTGCACAGCATGATGTTTCGGTTAAACAACTGTATGTACATGTGACAACAATGTAGCTACGGATAATATATCTGGCAAAATTACGTAGCTCAATGCACATATTCCATTGTGTATCAGAGATTTAATCGCTGTAATTCACAAGGCTTGCACACCACCTCGTGAGAGTTTTGCATGCAGCTGTGTTCAGGCAGGAGACATGAATCACACTTCTGAGTAAGCTACTTTCCACCACAGGATTGATGTCAAAAGTTTAACAACCGTTTTTGTGTTACAAAACGTTGAACTCATTCACACGATCTTTATCCACGATCTATGCAGTGCTAGACCAAGTCCTTTCCAAGCTTCCCCCCCCCCATTTCTTCCGGATCTTGCGATGCCGCAATCAATCTCGCCCTTGCAGACGAGCTGAATTCCTTGCTCGATCTCCGCAGTAGACATCCTCTTCGACTTGCTCTGTTTGTTTGGCTGTCGCAGCCTTGACCAACCAGTCGTATATAAAGTCTATACGGAACTCTGTCGCAACCACAGGCTGCCTGATGGTGCGTGTCATGCAGTCACGTTTATTGTCACATTTTTGTCTGTTTTTTTCTGCACGTGTCAGACTGCAACGATGTGCAAACAACGTTTTGTGTAGTTCTGCAACTTGTAAGTCGGTTCAAAATTATTGGCCAATATATTGTTGGTGTGCAACGGCTCCTCGATTGGCTGGAGGAAGACGCATTTGTCTTTCCCATGAGGTGCAATCATCATTTAACGTGGTGGATTTTCATTACACATTTTCAATGTAACGAGCATTGATCTGTCATTAAATATGTAAAATAACACAACAGCTTGGTTGTTGTTGAGACCAGAGTTATGTGTGGAAAAAAAAAACAATTTTACTTCGGCTTTGACAAGCAGCTTTGAAGGCAGCTTATTGCATCATCTGGCTTGTAAGGTAATATAATCAGAGATGTCATGTCAACAAATGTTCTTATACTGTATCATTGTGGATTTACTAAAAGTAAAAGTTTACTTAAAGCAAACATCACTTTCAATGTGTGACCACTACAGATACTTGCATTATGTTGGCACTGTCACAAACCATTATTTACTTTTGCTAAACAAGCCTGGAATGTCACGCCTCCTTTTGGTCATGTTTTGGAAAATGCAATTTTACCATTGTATAAATTTGGGGGTTTTTTTCGTTTACAACATAAAAAGCATATTTATATAAAATGTGATTGATTAAAATCCAAGTTTAAAGTTTTATTTTGTTGGGCCAAGTGAGAGCTCAAGAGGCCAGGATCATCGCGTTTGTAAGGAGGACTTGGGTCACCAAAGTAACAAAATATAAACAAGTGAAATGAAGTAAAACAAGTCTAAATCAACCATGTCTCAAAAAAACAACTGTCACATGAGAACTTACAAATATTGTGCAAACATAGAATCAACGCGATACAAATTCCCCGGTAGCGCAGGTCGGCTCGGGCACATTCATTTTTAGACTGATCGTAGTACAATTACAAATGAAGTTACAACCCTGGCATTGGTAAAATGAGCACCAACTAACAAGCACATTGTGTTATCTACGGATGAAATATGACTGAAATAAATGTAATTTCCACTGCTGGATCAGGATTGTCTTAGGAGTGAAAATAGTCCAACACCAACGTGAGTTTTTTTTTTAGTGTCGCATAGATTCACGTCGTGAGAATTTTATGGTTTTATATTTTTATTATTTTATTGTTTCCCTTCTACGTGACTTTACCGAAAGAACCAAGAATATGAATCCCTGCAGTCACGAAAGCTTTAAATCAAAATGTGTCGCATAGATTGTTAACATTGTGGTTTTATCTTTCACGCATCTTTATCTTTTGTATTCTCCAGGCATTTTGGGCAACACGATACGATAACACTGTTGATTGCACGTTCGAGGCGGGGAGTTTTAATGCGGAAGCAAATCGTGACGGACTCTCTGCTGAGCATCCTTGGCACTTAGAAAACAAAGCGTGACGTGAAATGGAAGGGGGGGCAAAGAGTGACAGGTTTGCATCGTGTGCTAAGCGTTTGGCGTGCGTGCATCTGCAGGTGCTGATTCCGCTGACGCGCTGCAATTCGCACCTGCAGCTGGTTCAAGGCCAGCTGAAGGCGAGGAGGCCTGGCCTTTATCTGCTGATATTCGACAACAGCTTTTCACGGTAAGTCCCTGCACGGCTTTCCCGCCACTGCAGGATAAGCGGTGGAAAAGTGAGCAACACGAACCTTGTGATTACTACGTGCAGCCCGTGAATGAGTGGCCTTTGTATGACCCACGAGAAAAGCCCAATGAGACGAAATATTATTTTTTTACAAATACAACTGGGTTAATTATAAAAGATAGAAAATGTGTGGTAATTGTCAGACCCGTTTCACTAAAAGTAGCCGGTTGTAACCAGCAGTGAATAATAAAGCCTAATTTGCCTTTGTTATGGAGTGCAACATTTATCCCCCCGCGTTATTAAAACAGCGTTTTCATCTTTTAGACACAAGCTGTGGTTCCAGGTGTTAGTCGCAGCTGATGTCATCCTTTAAAACCACAAAAGAGCCCCTTGCAGCAATGCAAATTTGCAGGTGCACATCTTCCTCCTGGGGTCGGGCACTGACCACATATGCTTCTCTATGCCTGATTTTTTTTTAATTCCCTTAGATTTTACGGGAAGAAGGTGTCCTACCACTTGACGGTCAGCAAAACGCTCATGTACGATGGCACTGACGAGACGGACCCCTGATGAGCTCCGTCGGCAGAGAGGTGGCCACCTGCTTAAGAATTCGACATCCATGCACTGCATGTTTCCCCATGCTCGCAATGAACCAGGTTGCTTTAAACAATCTCTTTATCGTCCTCTTGCCATATGTTTGCGTTCGCATTGGGGCTTTGCCCATGGTTTCCTCTTAACATGTTGTTGTCACAAACACAGTCGTACGTGCAATTACAATTTTAAGATCTTTCCCACCTTGGCTTGTTGGCTTCCTGCAATTGCTTTCACTGGATTCGTTCGGTTAGCGCAGGGTTTGGCAGCCAGCGGCTCCAGAGGCACATGCGGCTCTTTATGGACTTCTTCTTGACGTTAGTTGCATGCATTGTGGTTCTTGAAATATTTACGTCTTTTTTTTTCCCGAATTCGAAAAAAAAATGCCCCTTTTTATTTTGTTTGTCGACCCCTGAGGTGGCATGTTAGGCATTTCTGTATGTTAACGCCCGTGTAGAAGTGGGAGAATCAGCTTATGGGATAATGATTTCTAGCGCATATGGGTGATCTTCATGCTGCTGCTCTTCAATATACCAGTCTCCGCAATAACGGGGATACGTATTTTTCCACACTATAATTTTACCCATTTCGTGTGACCCCTGGAGAATGAAATCTCCATGATCTAAAAATGACAGCATTTTACTCTGTGGTAAATAACTGGCAAGTCAGCTGGTGTTATCACACCCAACAATAGGACAGCCACGTGTAAAATAAAGGAAAATACACTTTTAAAAGTTTTGTGTGGCGTTAACAATCCTGTATATGTAAAACATTTCTCGATACAATGCACATTTCAACCAAAAGGGTGTATATTCAACAGCGTTGACGCTTTTACAGCTGGTCCCACTGTTAATCAACACTTGGCTATTGATCAGCATTAGCCAAGCGCTTGTCACATTATTCATACGAGGGAGGTGAATTCTGCGTGCAAACTTTGCACATCTGTATCGCATACGACTAAGTGTACTAGTGTAGTGGTTAGCCTGCTACGAAACCAGCAACCCGAGTTCGATTCCTGCTCATGGCCAACAACAATGACGATTATCTGACTGGTCACTGGCCTCCCCTAGGTCCACTCAGCCTTAAATGAGTACCTGGTGCGATGTGCAAACATCACCACTGGGGAGACAAAAGCAGCTGGGCGTGGTGTTGGCCACCCACCCCCTCGTGTGCCGTGCCGGCCTTCATAGGTGCTCACTAACAGCACTTTCCCCAAGTCTGTTCAGGCTATCCGGGGGATTTTTGTCTTTGTACTCTCATGGCAACATTGTGAAAATACTGGTGTGTCCATCACTACGTTAATGTTAAGAAATGCTGCATCAGTTTTTAAACTAAATATATACTTTGTGTGTAAAACTAATATAATAATAATACGTAGCTTAAAGCTGTAATCGTCTGGACTTTATACTGCATGTTTTATGAACTGATGTTTTGTCGTCGTTGGATGATGTGCTTGGTGTCAATGAGAGGACGAGGTTAGCGTGGCAAATCGGATGTGGCCCAATGGGGGCAGCCAGTTATACAACTGCTTGCAAAAGGGCATTTGCTGGTGGGGCATGGTACATGGCCAGATCAAGGAGCGTACACACTTGCTGCGATCACTGTAAGATAAGGCTCATCAGTCCTCGGTCCCGAGTCCACTCGGTCGTCGTTGTACATTGAGCATGTGGTTGAAGTTACGATACGTTTGGCATGGGGAAGCCCCCACTTGCTTTTCAACGTATGAAAACAAAATTCAATGTGGGCAATACTCTTACGAAGAGAAATATGAGTAAACAACAGTACATAGGTGTGTTGTAAATGTGCAAACGGAATATGTATTGTATATAGTTTATATCTAGTATATCTGGTATTTTAGATACAGGCACGTAATATACTTTTCTACGTGTGGGACTTTATGCGAGTCATTTGTGAATTTTACATAGATACTTTTTTAAAGTACCGTTTCTTGCACTTGTTTGTGGTGTATACTACCTGCATGATGGTCTGTTGGTGAAATGTCTTTGTTGATTGTGTTATTTTTCCGTCGCATAACACATGTGCAATGAGTGTTTTGCCCGTTTTAATTTAACTGTGTGTGCTGCTTCGAAATAAAGTGTATCCATTACATCGGCGTTTGGGCTTTCTTCGTGCATTGAGAGTTGCGTCACGAAGAAACTGCAATCGAATGTGACAACACAAACATTCAATTTAATTTCGAGTTGGTGACAAATGAATGCCGTTTGAGAGTGGTATCAAACTGTCGCAGATGTTTCTGCCTGGGAGTTGCCACTTCCAGAAAGAGCCGTTTCCTTACAGCGGGGCCCCCCACTGGAGAGATTGTTCTGGAGATCGCAAGCACAGCATTATTTTCTACTGCTTGGACAGACATTGTTTTTGCACTTTGGCAATGTATTATCTAGTTAAGTCGGTCGTGCAGTCCGTCTCCCAGGACGATGACATCTCTTGCATTGGCGAGTCTAATCCGTCGGCATCTTATACGGTTGTGGTGTTTGGTTCCCGTGAGTTCGCCCGTGACTCGCAAGACCAGGGTTTGAAGGGCACTGCGTTAGTGTACAACAAATGTAGAATTCGGCATAAATATTCCAACGAACCTCCGATTAGCACGGTTGGCTACGGATGTTGCGAAAAAAGTTCAACATGTATGAAGTTCAACATGTACGGTAGTCGTGGGTATGAGACCCTATCACCAATGCAAAAATGAGTTTAATTATCAGAATAGATTGCTTAAATATACACTGTAAAGTTATTGGGCAGTGTTCGCGATGATGTAGGACTCAAAACACCATAATGGAACATAATGGCTTTCCTTGTAATACATTAATCCTTCATGCATCGAATTAACATTGTTCAGGTATTAAATATGTCGCAGGTGTATTAATACTTAAATGGATAAGAGATTACCCATCTCCATTGGAAATCTTAAGCGAGTCGTGGAAGTTAAACATTTACTTTATGGGGTAACAGTCTCCTAAGAGACCCGGTTTAAAGTCCCAACACTTCCATTATATTTTGAAAATGTATTATATTCTTTGTTCTTTCGGTAAGTCACGTAGAAGGGAAACAATAAAATAATAAAAATATAAAACAATGAAATTCTCACGACGTTTCGCCTGCAACACAAGCAATCATCATCAGGTGTGAAAACCACAGCAATACACATTTTTCTTGCTGTGGTTTATATTTTTCTTGCTGTGGGTTTCACACCTGATGATGATTGCTTGTGTTGCAGTCGAAACGTCGTGAGAATTTTATTGTTTTATATTTTTATTATTTTATTGTTTCCCTTCTACGTGACTTTACCGAAAGAACCACGAATATGAATCCCTGCAGTCACGAAAGCTTTAAATCAAAATTGAATGTATAATCAGTGACGTTTTGGGCAGTAGCCATTCGAGACCACCGATTTTTGTTGTGCATCGCCACGTGACATGTTTACATTGTGTATGCTTTAGTAGGTGTATAAATAGAGCTGGACAGTGCTCCTGATTCCTCACCTGGAATCACAATCCTTAGAATAAAATACACTTCTTCACGGAATTGTGCAATCAACGGAATGTTGAAATAAGGTGGCGCAGTTGTTGGCGCTGCCATATGAACCCGCCTCCCCGAGTTCGATTCCCGCTCGCAGAAAACGTTAACGATTATTATAACCGGTCCTGGGCCTTCCCTAGGTCCACTTGGCCTCAAATGAGTACCTGATGTGGTGTGAAAACGTTGACCACGAAGGGAGAAAAAAAGCGGCCAGGCGTGGTGCTAACCACCCACCCCCTCATGTGCCGTTTCTGCCTTCATAGGTGGTCGCAAACAGCACTTGCCCCAAGTCTGTTGAAGGCTATATGGGGGAGCTTTGTCTTTTGGGGGAGCACACAACCCGATGTGGTGTTCAAACAAACAAGGAGGGCCCATTTGTCCTGGGCAGCCTTATGGAATTGCCGTTGAAAAGTATGGCTTCTGCCTTTGGGGCCGTCCATAAATGACGTCACGCACCTAGTGGGGGGGGGGGGGGTGGCTCAGATATTCGTGACGATGTGTGACGAGGGGGGGGGGGAGGTTTGAGAAATGTGACGTCACATCAAAATGCGCAACTTGAAATAAATATAGAATTGTTACAACACTAATTTTGATTAATTTTCATTATTAACTATTTGATTGAAGTTTACGAAGGTCACCTTTTATTTATTCCATGAAGGAGCATTTTGCTTCTCCATGGGAGAATGGAGAAACATACATTTTGAACATTTTTTTTATAATTGTTATTAAACATTTTGATTCTAATGATTCTACCAGGGCTTTCCATTCTGTGGAATGAATATGTGATTGTTATAATTGTACTCTCCATTTTGCTTCGTTCTCCTACAAAGTTTCAAGTATTTTTTTATAGTTATAATTACTTTTAAGTTTTAATATTTTATAATTATAAGATAATTTCAATATAATATTCTGAACATCTGCAGTTTTGGTTAGACGTTGAATATTTTCAAGTGAATTTTATGCCAAACTAGCTTTACTACCCGGCTTCGCCCGGGGCTTTGATTCACCACGCCCGGCCGCCTTTGTCTCCCCAGTGGCGATGTTCACACACCACACCAGTTACTCGTTTGAGGCTGACTGGTTAAAATAATCGTCACCGGTGGTGGCCGTGAGCTGGAATCGAACTCGGGTCGCCGGGTTCGTAGCGCGGCGTATCGCTAACCGCTACACTACAATGCGTTACGCTTCCACACACACACAGACACACACACAGACACACACAGACACAAAGACACATACACAGCGCGCTAACCGCTACACTACAATGCGTTACGCTTCCACATGCGAGGGTCACGTGACAGATTTGACGTCACAGCTCACTTGCCGTGCAAAAAATATAAGCATTATTGAGCTCCGCCCCCCCCCCCCCTAAAAAACAACAACAAAGTGTATTTTTATAATTTTTGCATGGTGTACAGTCTGAAAAGTAACCACATGGCAAATTTCAAGTTTGTTGCATGTCGGGAAGTACGCTAAACATTTTGAACAGACACATTCACAACTTTGCCTTATATATGGAGATTTAAGCTTTCCAACGCCTCCTTTTTAATGCGTGTTTTCTCCTACATCAGAGTGCAGCGCCACATTAAATACACACGACAGTGACAATAGTTTAAAGCTATTTGAAGCATGTTTTATTTTCAAAATGGAAATATGGTTTGGGGGGGGACAGAGCTTTGTGACGTCATTTGAGGGGGGTCTGACTTTTTGTGACGCCGTGTGACGAGGGGGGGGGGGGAAATCGTCCAAAATCGCGTGAAGTCATTTATGGACGGCCCCTTATGTCAAGAATTAGCCAGACTCCACCACAATTCTGGAATGTTCCAGTGAGGGAAAAAAGTATTTGATCCCCTGCTGATTTTGTACGTTTGCCCACTGACAAAGAAATGATCAGTCTATAATTTTATGGTACGTTTATTTGAACAGTGAGAGAGAATAAAAAATCCAGAAAAACGCATGTTTTTCTGGATTTTTGTCCCTGACATCCTTGGAGAGCTCTTTGGTCTTGGCCATGGTGGAGAGTTTGGAATCTGATTGATTGCTTCTGTGGACAGGTGTCTTTTATACAGGTAACAAGCTGAGATTAGGAGCACTCCCTTTAAGAGTGTGCTCCTAATCTCAGCTCGTTACCTATATAAAATACACCTGGGAGCCAGAAATCTTTCTGATTGAGAGGGGGTCAAATACTTATTTCCCTCATTAAAATGCAAATAAATGTATAACATTTTTGACGTGCGTTTTTCTGGATTTTTTTGTTGTTAATGTCTCTCACTGTTCAAATAAACCTACCATTAAAATTATAGACTGATCATTTCTTTGTTAGTGGGCAAACGTACAAAATCAGCAGGGGATCAAATACTTTTTTCCCTCACTGTATGCAGGCAAGGGATCGTGGTGCTGGACATCCTAGTGGCCACAGGCCTTGCCTGAGCGAATGCGTGGACGGGATTGCCAGATTTTCCCCGTGGCAAAATGTCCTGATAGAATTCCATTGAAATTGAGATTTTAATATGGAATTAACTCGTCGCACAATCGCAATTCCTGCAGGAATCTTACTGAGTGGAGTTGTAGGTATCAAATGTCTATTGATAACATTAACTTATCAAATGTGTTCTCCGGCAATATAATTCATTATTCTAGATTTCAAGCATTCGTGACTGCAAGGATCCATACTCTTTGGTTCTATTCGGTAAAGTAACGTAGGAAAAAAATAAAACAACAAAAATTACGACGTTTCGGCCACAACACAAGCGGCCTTCATCAGGTGAAGGGACCAGACTGTCTCGAAGACTGCGCTGGAGTGGAACAGAGCCAAGCTCAGACTACGACCTTTAAGCTGTGTGAGAGGGATTAAGGTGCCTCGACAAAGGAATTAGCATAAAAGTTAGCATTTGATTGGCGGACTAATCATGATGAAAGGTGTGCCGGTGCCGATCATCATGATAAGTCCGCCAATCAAATGCTAATTTTTACGCTAATTCCTTTGTCAAGGCACCTTAATCCCTCTCACACAGCTTAAAGGTGCACTGCCGCGTGCTACACCTTTCATCATGCTAAGTCCGCCAATCAAATGCTATTTTTTATGCTAATTCCTTTGTCAAGGCACCTTAATCCCTCTCACACAACTTAAAGGTCGTAGTCTGAGCTTGGCTCTGTTTCACTCCAGCGCAGTCTTCGAGAAAGTCTGGTCCCTTCACCTGATGAAGGCCGCTTGTGTTGTGGCCGAAACGTCGAGATTTTTGTTTTATTTTTTTACCTACGTGCCTTTACCGAATAGAACCAAAGAGTATAATTAATTATGTTTTGGGTTAGGCCACGTAATGATCTTGATGAATCTGATTGGTTGTTCCCGTGATATAGTGACACTTATTCAGGAACTCTGGTCAGGTGATATGGTTTTGCCGATTTCCTGGATATTATTTTGAAGATGCTTCGTGAAACGTCGTATCTAATTGCTTCGTTAGGTTGTGTGAATCGTTCTTCAACTTACCGGTGAGCTGCACATTAAGTGCCTGTATATGTGAAAATGTTATTTGTTGGGCCATATTAACTGTTGGAGAGCCTTGCGGACCCAAATGG